TTCACCGGACAACCCGCTTCCAAGCTGCATGAACCTATTTCACTGCGCATGTGCTATGAGCGCAGCCCAGCCCAGCTGTTGAAACCACTTTTCCCCCCAAGAGCTGGGGAAAATTAGTGAATCGTTTGAACGCCGATTTCGCACGGGTTTTTTCATCGCGTTATTTTTCAACTTTATAAGTTGAATTTGCATTTTTGATGATTTGTTTCGGTAAGTCCATACCGAAAGGTATCAGAATCTGCAAAGTTGTGATTTATGTTGCATGTGACCTTTAACCATTGTAACTGTGTCCCAGATGTGTGTATATAATCACGATTCGATCGATGTTCACTATATACTGGCAATCTACCAACTTTTCCAGAGATCTTCACAACATTTACAAGTTCCACAAATGATGGACCATAACAGCCATAGCAATCTTGGGAAATTAAAATTTAATCTCACCATTCCTTTGAGTTTGTATCTAGTTATGCTAGAACAAGACAAATATTTGTCAGTTTCATTCAGTGTTGTATCAAAACTGATGCAGTGAGACTGGTTCAGATTTCTGGCCCTCAAATGTCACAAGTCAACATGGTGAATGAGGACTACCATCACTGAATCTTTCGTCTTCCGCACAATTCAGTTGTCTCAGATTAGCATACTATCTTGAATTTCAAACACTAAGACATCTCAGTTTTAATCATTTACACCACAGTAGGTTTTTGCCAACATTAAAAGTAAAATTAATTGTAAGATCTTTCAAAGAAACTAAACCCAGAATGGTTTCCTTGTCACTATGGTGATTATCATGATCACAGTGACGGGACCAGGTCAGGATATGAAAATCCAACAATGCAAGAAATGGTCTTGCTATGATGAATTTGGTGCATCCAACTTAACCACTTCACGCATTCAATTCATTATTCATTAGAAAGTAAGATACTTTATGGATAACAACTTTTTTATTATACATGATGCGACGTTTCGGTATACAGAGGCCCAGATAAGCTGCGTATCCGGGTAAAATACTCATAGAATTACTCATTGAAAAATAATTGTTGCGTACCAATTACACATTTAAAATGTTAGATACGCAAAAAGTTTAAAACAAATGCGTACGGAATATATTTATAAAAATAAATTGCGTAATGAAAAAGACATCGATTTCTATGAAGTTGTACTGTTAGTATAGGACAAGTGTTGTAATGTCAGTATAGGATGAGTGATTTTTTATGAAATAATTTCCATTATATTTAAGTTGGTTTTGATTAGGTATGACATAAGGCAGAACATACCTGCTTAGTAAACTTGCTCAATGACATAATACTTAGGTGAGTAAAGTGACTGAAATACGCACATATTTGAAAGCAGTGGGTAACGGAAAATGAAATACCCACTCAACATTCATAATACCCACTCCAATAAAATACAGTGGGTACAGTACCCACATGAGCTAAATCTTATCTGGAGCTCTGGGTATAGATTCTTAGATGATAAAGAAGTTGTTATTCATAAAGTATCTTACTTTCTTATTACTCACCAACTTCTAAAATGCCAATCAAACAGATCATTATTCATTAATCGAATATTTTAAAATATTTTTCAGAGAATGTTTTACTTTCAACTAATTTGTTGTTTATCTAAGTGAGATATGCAAAATGGAATATTGTCAAAATATTATTGTGCCAAGGCCCCTTATGGCACTGTCAGTGCATTGTTCGGGATGCATTGCCATTTTTGTTTGCTTCATACAAAATATCATTTAAATGTTTCAATTTGCATGTAGCATGTTTGTAATTTTGATTGCTTGAAATTCATGAATAAATATTTGTATTTGTTACTACATATTTGGTAAACATATTGTATTCGCCTCATAATGTATTCGTTGCGGCCCTTGTAAGAAAGTAGGACATGGTCACAAAACAGGTCAACAGTAAATCTCTATAGCATGTCAAATTGGCTGAAGAAAAGCACTTCATCATCGAGATTCAAATGACCAAGTGGGCACTATATTCCCTCATGTTGCATGTAACATCAGTGATCATTAATCAATGATGAATGGTAAACTGACTAAAACTACAGTCATTATTTCACCATTAGCACTATATTAGTAAATAACAATTACAAGACATAAACATGAAAATCATTAAATATTTTTGTTGGGCATCATGTTCTTGTCATTCACCATGTTTAAATGGGACCAAAAATGATTAAAATGATTGTAGCGCTAAATTTATCTTTGTTGATACCATTTATCCTTCTTTAAGTTTAATTTAGCATCCTGATTATTCCAAATGACAGGAAAGACAGTTTATTTCTATATTAATGACAATCTATTATTTATTATAGGATATTTATATAGCGCACATATCCACGCAACTAATGCATGCTCAAGGTGCTGACATTTTTCCCCTCGATCACTGGATGTCAATCTCAACGGCACATCGTATTATCAATCTCAACTCCCCAGGGAGCATACAACTCTTGCAGCCACTAGGTGCACCGAGCTACTGCGTTTTTCAGGCTACATGGGTAGTTTTGGAAATAATAGTCTTTATCATCATGGCAGTGTGTGGTCCTATGCATAGCTAAGGTCACAATTGATGAAACTTTCATCAATGTGTTAGAATATTTTCTTCAACATGCTTATAACATGGTGGGGTGTGGTGGGCAAGCTGACTAAGGCGCCAGGCTAGTGATCCAGCGGGCATGAGGTGCCAGGATCGAGCCCACCTGTGACCGGGTGTAAAAACCTTGGAGTCAACTTTGTGTGCAGACTCTTCCAGTGTTGTCACAACCCCTAGTGTACAGTACAGAACCCACCAATCCATTGGTATATGACCAGATGGTAGCCTCATTAGGCCTACCATACAAACGGTAAACAAATCATCCAAACTGAACTCATATACACCAAAACAGAACAAAAATCACCAAAATAGGAAAATAAACTTCCAAAACTGCAACAATATCCTCTAAAACCGAAACAATACATCTGTACTGGAAGACTAATCGTTTGAAATGGAAACAAACTCACGTATCAGCTACAAGAGCGAGCGAGAACGGTCGCCGAGCGTACAAAACGGCAGTCATAGCGTCCCAACACGGCAGTCATAGCATCCCGAAACGGCATACAAATCATCAAAGATGGCGGCGAGGGGAAACGAACAGGATTTGGTACATAATGTTTTTCGTCACTATGAGTCTAATCTTGAAATTTTGATATCGGGATGTAGCGCATCAACCCCCTATTGTAGTAAGCTTCAAACCTATGTCCATACTTCTCAATGTCAGGCTTGCAATTCTGCACTTTGTGGTCCCTCGTTCGACTGAATAGGATTTGTTGTCAACATGTCGTGGCTACTGTTTCTCTTCAGTTTTGTAAATAAAGTATTCATAGCGTCACATTCAACATTACCATATTTTAGTGATATAAAAAGTTTATAAAAACTTTGTTCATTCTCCGTGAATTGCATATCTAAGTGATCATTTTTACTTTGACTTCCCAAATTGCCTTTTTCTTAATTTCTCAAACTTGTATTCACAGATTCCTGAGAGAGACGTGTTAGTCCTCTTGTCAACTGGTGTATATGAGTTCAGTTTTGCTGATTTGTTCACCGTTTGTATGGTAGGCCTGCTCATGAATATGTGCCAACACCTCGTTGTGGGTACAGCAACGTGCAGTAAACTTGGACAAAGTACTGTGACTATGCGTCCCAGTCCACCCAGCTGTGAATGGGTACCTCGTAAGGATGGGAAAGCTGCAATAACTCGGTGCGCCTTGTGGCAGCAAGAGTTGTATGATCCCCAGGGAGTTGAGATTGATAATAAGATATGCCGTTGAGATTGAGATCCAGTGATCGAGGGGAAAAATACCAGCTCCTTGAGCATGCACTAGTGCGTGGAAATGTGTGCTATCTAAATATCCACTAACAATGCTCAACATGTCCACATTGCTAATACATTTCATCTTTATGAAATTTTCAGGAACACATCAGGTATGTCATTATGGTTCAGTGAGTTGGGATGAATGGCACTTTGAACAGTATTTCAGTAACATCATAATGATTTAGCTTAATGTGGGAAGAACTCTCAAAGTGATGCAGGTCCCAGATATTGACCATTTTCGTGATGCCCATAAGCATGATAAGGCACTGACAAGCATACAAACATAACTAGGGCGAACCAGGAGTAAAGTAGGAATCAAATGATGATATGTTAACAATATTCTCATCTAAGAAATAATATGCATCCATATTACACACACTCACAACTGAATTATGTTTCAAAGCAATATACTGACAGATTTTGAAATGTAATACTGGGCTATATTTAGCTTAATTTTTTGCAAGATAAAACAGGAAAATACTGAATTAATATAGACATCCCTTTATCATGTGTTTCAGGGTAAATATTACAGTATTGTGAGCTGATGACCTATATTACAGAATAAATCAGTCTGGAAAATGGTCGAGGTTAGCACGTCTTTACAGTCCATGTTTGAAAACTTTGATGCTGATCATCTGAACAACCTCTAGTTTGCCTTGCCCAGACTTGATTGTTTACCATTTTACAGGCCTCTATGAAATAGCTGGAATATTGCTGTCCGCTCAGTAAAACAACATTCATTCAATGGCATATTACACAGGGTCCTGAGATTGAGAGATGATTGAATACAATCTTCATGGTCAGTTTAAGTGCCTCCATCATTACTTAAACAACAGTAAATCTTCTTATTCATTCATTTATCATCTTACCTTCATGTAAGCCATTTTACACCAGTGCTATTTTTCAGTCATCATTACATTGTCATATCTTACTCTTTCACTCTCTAGTGCTCTTACCTATTTTTTTGTTTATTATCTTACTCTTAGTGCTTGTTGAAATGCAGTATGTTGTGATTCCATTTTTTGTTGTGTTCTACATGTGTTTCATGATGTAACCAAAATTTCCCTCGGGATAATTTAGTGTTATCGTTATCTGTATATGGCTAATGAAACTACTTTCACAAGGTCACTCACTAAGAACAGCTCCTCTAATGAATCGCCTGGCTCCTGGTCTTTCTGGCATGAAGTTGTACTTGCAACCAAATGGACTGAAGCGGCTGAAGTGGTCTCCCAATAGCTTTGTCCCCCAGTATCGGTCACCACATCGGTAACAGAAATTGGTCCGGCACTGTGAGCATGTCATATGGTCACATCCAGTTGTTCGCTCAATGAAAATCTACAATTTGAAGAGTAGTCAATATGAGATTTCACAACTGAATTAACATCATGCTAACTGTAAAACAGACACAACCATAACTTTGATCTCGACTTAAAAATGAAACAATACTTTTGATCTACAACAGCTCATAGTACTGAAATACACATTACTTTCTTGTCACTATTCCATGCTGTACTTGTCATAATCTTGATAATGTACATGATGTAGGGTTGTTGAAACTTCTTGTCCATGTTGTCTGTGAGTGCATTCCTACATATTCTGTATGTACATATATGGTGTGTTAAGATTTCGGAACAAAAAAACAACTCATTTTAACATGTATAATCAGTACTATGTTCAGCAATAACAATCACACTACTTCAATCAGAAATAAAAGACAATGTTGTACTCTTTCACTCAGCATTTCATAACTGGTGAACCATTTACTTTTAATCAACTTTGCAATTTAACAAACATTATGTACCTTGCACTTGGGGCATTTTTGAGCATTTTGTTGGCCATAGTGATATTCATTAGCCCATGTTTTGACAAGGCGATCTCCCTTTCTGAATTGTTTGCACGTCACACCTTCATGCCAAGGAGCCTGACATGGAAAACACCACTCAAGTTCACATTTTGAACACTGTACTTGAATGCCATCCTTTACATGTTTCTTTTCTTCTCTGGTTATAACAGCTCGGTCTTTTTTCTTGAGCTTCAAGGCATGCGTGTTTAGTCTCTGGTTGAGACCGCTCAGTCTCATGACATGACTACATCGAGGACAGGTCTTAACATCGGGATCCTTGTTTGCATCCACAAGAAACTTGTAATATTTGTCTTTCAGCTCAGCAGGCAGACGGGCAAGTATTTCGTCTCTGTGTACATAGGAGCTGCACTCCGTCTTCAAACATTCAATCTTGACTATTCCCTGGTTCACCTGGGTGATTAGATACATTTCAATGCACTCATCACACACTGGAAAGTTACAGCATATGCGTTTTCTCAGTTTCTTGTTTTCAAAACATATCCAACATTCAAGTTCTTCTAAAGGACTGTGGGGATAGGGTGGAGGGGGTTTACTGGTCGAATTGTCCTCCCATGATCCAGAACAGGGTCAAATGGATGAAGATAGAAGTCAAGGTCATACTCTGAATTGTCTGAAGAAAACATGTCATCTTCGTCGTCATCATCTTCATCATCATCTGAGAAGTCGTCATGGAATAAATCAGATAATACCTCTGCGGATATTTCTGACGGCGTTCCTTCTATATCATCCTCTTTCGGAGTACCCCATCCAACACTCGCCATAGCTTCTTCCGATAGCCCCGCGTCCACTTCGAAATCATCAGATTTTGGATCTTGATCTTCCTCACCATTAGCCTGTCTCAAATCATCAATTTGTGACTGGACCGATTTAATCCATGCCCTGCTTGTTTTGTTTTTCCGAATCTGTTCTAATGTAACCCTTAAAGTTGTTCTGTCTGACCTGGCCGCCATGTTTCATCAAAAGCAAAACAAAATATTTTCACTTCCTCCCTTTACAAAACTTTCCCGGAATAAAGTCCCGTACACATATCTTTAACGAATGTCATCTTCATTCTGTCAGTAAGCTACCGATATGTCACCGACAGCCACGTTAAGCGAAGGTCCATTTTCATATCACACCATAAATAACAATTTCGCTCTTATTTATAACAGCCTTATTTACGTTGTGATCCAAACAACGTCACCACAAGGAGAAAAATCTATAATTATCTCGACCAATGATAAAAGATCTTCTGTTGGCATAGGTAACCACTTTATACAACGACAGTTGTCATTGGCTAAAATGCTTTTGGGTTGAAAGGTCAAAAACCAAATTTCTGCAAAGCTCCTTATCAGCGCGTGCCCTTTCTTAGTTGTCGAAGTTCAAGACCATCGACTGCGCAGTTAGGAGCTTTCACCAGGAAGTTGTATTTAAACGCAACTAATATTATTATTAACGATGTAGACGTGAAGTATGTAATTACGTTACCACACTAAGAATGTATATACAATAAATATATGGAAAATATTTCCTTTTAGTAAATGCAAATTACTATTGACAAAAAGAAATATTTTCTTATCAGTTGTTATAGTTTTTAGAAAAAGAAACCAATATGTGTTGCAATGAACATGCAATAACCGGCACTCCGTATTTCCGCTAACTTTTCTACACTTGAGTTCTGTTTCATTCACATAAACATGGGAAAATTTACCTATCCGAATGCGAGACGCGACGAACTTGTTGAAGATTATCACGGCACCAAGGTATTCCAATGTTGTGAATTGTCACATTGTGGATTGCGTAAAACCATTATGAAACAGGCGGAATAGTGCACCTAACACTTATGTGCCTATGATAAGAAAATTTCCCCGTGACAGTAAATAAATGCTTGACAATATAACACGGTATTGTTAAAATTTAAAACGCATCCTGTGTTTTAAAAAGATTTTGCAATTGTATTTTAAGCTGATGACTCTCTTTATATTTTTTAAACGGCAAAGGCCCCTGACTACATTCCTGAAATTCACATCAGCAGAGCACTGCCTCTGAGAAACGACGTAAATTCGGCACGTTATAAATGGTATGGAGAAAGTGCTTCCTTGATAATTACACGCTAAAATTGCAAAGTTGTCGACATGAAATTTACACATTATTCAAGCCTACAACATGTTCAGTATAAACTCACTTTCACTTTCTTTGGGTCCATTAGGGGATGAAACTTTTAACAACAAAGAGAATATGGAATCTGTTTTTTTTTTAACCTTAGTAACTTGTTAACTTCTAAATACCGGAAGTGAAATTCCAGTAAAAACATACACTTTTCATGAATTCCATAACTGCAGTAAAATAATGAATAAAAGCTCTGATATACATATTTTTGGATGAAATAAACAACTAAGAATGTAGAAGTTAATTAACATCAACTATGCATAATATGTTAGGATATCCTAACGCTTGGGACTTATTAATTTAATTCAATCATCACTGCTGGCCTCATTGTCCTGGCCCTGTTGTCCTTGTATCTATTATTATTAGGTCTGGCTTCCATTGGTTTTCTTACCACCATTGTTACCTCATCAACTATGCCTGGATTAACAATCCCTGGCTTCCATTTGTCCATCCACCAAGTTAGTGCTAATTATCATGATTATACCCCCCTGGCTTCTATTTGTTTTCGACCCGGGAAGATCCGGGGTAGAATAGGTCTTCAACAACCCATGCTTGCCACAAAAGACAACTATGCTTGTCGTAAGAGGTGACTAATGGGATCGGGTGGTCAGGCTCGCTGACATGGTTGACACATGTCATCGGTTCCCAATTGCTCAGATCGATGCTCATGCTGTTGATCACTGGATTATCTGGTCCAGACTTGATTATTACAGACCGCCACCATATAGCTGGAATATTGTTGAGTGCAGCATAAAACTTCACTCACTCACTCACTCTATTGTTTTCTTATCCCTTGTTAAATTGCCACCTTTGTTACCTTAATCATGCCTGGATTAACAATCCCTGGCTTCCACTTGTCCATCTACTACTGGTTTCCCTTGTTATCTCATAACTGTTGTTGTTTTAACATGTACATATATAGCTGTCTGTTCCTAATTGTTTCATTCACCTGATGAAGGAGTAAGAATATACTTCGAAACCTCGTGACCCTTCACAATAAAGAAGTTGACATCCATAAAATTCTTGCCTTTATGTTAGGGTATCAGTTGTAAGAATGGTGTCAAACAAGTGACTAATTACTTCGAGATCTTGTAGACCAATCCTCCCTTTCCACACACACTTTGACACATGTGATATTTACTAACTGGGCTGATTTCATAGAACATATTATTAATGACACTAGTTAGTTTGTCTTGATTTTCTATTTTGTCTTTGATCAGGTGTCTGAATACTATCGGTGGCTGGAGGATCCAGACAGTGAGGAGAGCAAGGCATTTGTTGAAGCTCAGAATGAACTGTCCAGACCATTCCTTGATGCATGTCCTATCAGAGAGAAGCTGAATTCAAGGTGCGATTTGGGGACTAGCCATTGGTTAAAAAACCAGTGAAGATCTGGGCTAGAATTGGTCTTCAGCAACCCATGTTTGTCGTAAGAGGCGACTAACAGGATCGGATGGTCAGGATCTCTAACTTGGTTGACTCATTGTATCCCGATTTCATAGACCGATGCTCATGCTGTTGATCACCAGATTGTATGGTCCAGATCCGAGTATTTACAAACTGACGTCATATGCTATGATATAGCTGGAATAATGCTGAGTGTGGTGTTAAACAACTAACAAACAAACTTTACTTAAAAACGTTTTTAGTGTCAGGAGGGTTCAATTTTTTACACTCATTATTACTGATAATTATAATGTGTTTGTTTTTATTGAAATTGTTTGTTCATGATTGATTATGATAAATATCTGTGTTCACATACATCAAGACTCACTGTTATCTTAGAAATCCTATTGTCCTGTTTTCAGTATCCTCATGAGATTATTTCATGTCTCTCCCACACATCCTGTCATAAGTCTTGGAGACCTCCCCAACTCCCCTTCTCACACTTATACCTTTAACTGACATTTAGAAGATGACAATACCTCCATTTTTACCCAAATTGTTATGAAGGAGTGACATGTTCCATACATTTTCAGGATTTAGTCTGTGTACTCGTATCCTGCATATTTATCGAATCAGTCACGTATCTGTGTACATGTAGTAGCATGTGACAGCAGCATGTGACAGCAGCATGTGACAGCAGTAGCTGGACAGAGTTGACAGGCATTGAGTAGTGTGCACAGGAGCAGTCCTAACTTGTGTGATTGTGTTGATTTCTCTGTTATTTGAATCTTGTCCATAAATGGGCTATTTCCATCATGGATATTTTGCCAATATTTGTCACTATTCTACCGTAGAGAATTCCATCATGAAACTTTTGCTATTATTTGATGTTCTCCAAAAACGGAGTACACCATCTGGAATATTTTGAAAATATTTCAAATGACTAAATTCACAAATGTTCCATCATGAATATGTTGCCAATATTTACTGCGATTCCTATGATGAGTCTTTACCATGTAGACTGTTGTTTTCAACTGTTGTTTTGTAACCTCTGTGCAGAATCACTGAAGTCTGGGATTACCCAAAGTACAGCTGTCCAGGTCGTCATGGCGATTACTTTTACTACTACCACAACACAGGTCTACAAAATCAAAGGTTTGTTCAGTCGAGTTACATAATACAATACTGACGAAATGCTGCAACATATATGTTGTATTCTCTGACATTATCATTTTCGACCAACATATCCCGCCTTGCTAGCTTGTATGTGGGCAAATGGTATCACCAACAGCCCTTCATCTTGTTATATCAAAAGAGTTATGGTTTCATTACTATCAACAGTTTCCGATCTTAAAAGCAGAAAATTTGATTTACAGAAACTGTCCTTACAGCTAGCAACCAGAATGATTATTTAATTACTCAAAAAAATTAAAGTTTTATTTGTTTATCACTTGTTTCAAATAATGTCTAAACTTCATAACAACGATATGGCATATGTATAGTGTTTTGTTGAGCATGTTTCTTGTCTGCTTACTGTAAACCATGAAATGTTTATGTCACAATATTTTTGCAAGTGGCGATCAACAGACGTTTTTGCGTCACGATATTTTTGTGACTTGCCTAATTCTCAGAAATAAATTGCAACTGAAAGTTCTACCTAAAGTAAATCCAATCACATATTAAAGGCTGCCGCTAATCTTGAACTGAGCTCAGTAGAGTACTTCCATGTGTATGGATTCGGTGATGTTTTCCTAAGAACAACACATGCTGCTAAGGCCAGATAAGCTTGCAGAGGTATGCTGAGAAGTTTGGGTGAACTTGGAAGACAATGACATCACCAAACCTGTTGATCTCCAGACAAGTGTGATGAAACCTATCCACGCTTGTTGGATGGTGTCGGCCTATCAAGCGTTCTCTAAAGACAAAGAATTGTGTTGCATGGTTGGCACCTGTCTGGACCATTAGACGTACTGATTGAGTAACTTTTGTTCGAGTATTCCTTGTTTGACATGTGACATGTGAGTACTAGTAATGCTAGTAATTAGTATTCCCCCAAGTTGTTGTCATTGTTTAATTGATGTATTATCTAGATCTGTTGTTGATTTTATGAACTGGTGAATAATAAAGATTTAATGAAACACTTGTTGATTGTTTACTGCCTTTGACCAGCAAATTGTGTCATGGTCTTTTTGCGAGTTAAAGTCATTTTGCAATTTTCGCAAAAATATCATGCTCTCAAAACTTTCGTGATTTACAGTATTAGATGTTGAATAAGATATTTGATACCGCCATGTAATTGTGAAAGGCTAACACTATGGGGATTTCAGGTTAGGACTGATCTCCAGCAACCCAAACTGGTCGTAACCGATGACTAAAGACATCAAGTGATAAACTCAGTGATTTGGTTGATTTCATGTTACCTCCCTGATGGTGCAGATCTTTGCTCATAATATCAATCACTGGATTGTCTGGTGAAGTCATATGGCTGAAATATTGTTTAGTAGGACTGCACGGTATTACCGATATATCGCAATGTATTTATTTGCCAATACACAGCCCTGTTGTTGAGTGTGGCAGACAGAGGTGAGGTACAGTTGAAGAGACTATAGTGCAGCTTCTCTGTGTTTCAGTGTTCTGTATGTGCAGAAAGGGCTTGATGCGGAACCCTCCGTGTTTCTGGACCCCAATTCCCTGTCTGATGATGGGACAGTGTCACTGCGGGGCACTGCTTTCTCTGAGAATGACCAGTTCTTTGCCTACGGCCTCAGTAAGAGTGGATCTGATTGGGTCACTATCAAGGTTTGTCTTCTGTCACACTGTACCATTGCCATCAGGATCATTATAACCATGGAACAATATACACACTCTTTATATTAGGCACATACTTTGTTTAGGGCTTATCTAGACTGCTCAGAGGCTGATATTGAGCCCCAAGTCTGCAACAAATGTCAATAAACATCCAATTGGAAGTTTCATCTCCCAATTCATGTTTTGAATATAACTACAACAATTCTGAAATCATATGTCTTTCCCTTTATGTCTGTCAAGGACACTTAGCTTGGTACCCTAGCTAGTTACTTGTTACCACTCTCTCTGTCTCACAATCTGAGAAAGCTGTTTTGGTAATGAAGGTATCAACATGGAAAACCTTTGTTTTGATTTATATTCAGTTTAAGAAAGCACCATCAGGTGAAGATGTCCCAGACACATTAGAAAGAGTCAAGTTCACAAGTATGGCCTGGACCCATGACCACAAAGGGCTGTTCTATAACGTAAGTTGGTTGCATAAATGTGTCAGTTTATCATGTTTATTGAACAGAAACTACCAATTCATCTTATATCATGTTATATGGGGAGTTGGGTAGCCTAGTGGTTAAAGTGTTTGCTTGTCATGCGAAGACCCTGACATGGGTACAATGTGTGAAGCCTATTTCCCACCATGATATTGCTGGAATATTGATAAAAGTGGCGTTAAACTAAACTCACCCAGGTTATATGGATGCCCTGATTTTGGCAAGAGTAAAAGAAGAAACAAATCTATGATCTTTTCTAATTTGAGAATTTGTTTCACAAAAGTGGCAGTTCATCCAACAATATTCATTATATTTTGCATCCTTTTTTGAATGGGGCTCAACTCAAAACAAAAAAAAAGTACTAGAATATTCAAGAAAGTGTACTTATCTGATATATTTGATTTTAAATGGCTGTGTAATAATATTCTTGGACAATGTTCAGAAGAATATCAAGTAATGGTTGTGTAACTTGGAAATGTTCAGTAATGGTTGTGTAGGGTAGTTTCTTTGTTTGCCTTAGTTCTGCTTGCCATCAGTTCATCAGTCGGCTATGTATCAGTAATTCGATCAGTCTCTCCGTCCTTCATGATGAGTTTCTGCACCACAGAGATACCTGGAGCAACAAGGCAAGTCAGACGGGACAGAAACCACCATGAATGTTGATCAGAAGCTCTTCTATCATAGGATCGGAACAGACCAGTCAGAGGATGTCCTTGTTGCCGAGTTTCCAGAACAACCTCGATGGATGATGTGAGTCTGAGAGATCCATCCCCAGAGAAGAGTGTTCTACCTGTTTTTGTTTCATAGGGAGAAAAAAGATTTGTTGAGTGCTGTAAAAACTGCATATGCCTTTAGTGAATTCAGGTAAACAAACAGGTCATAAAAAACATAGTCAATGTAATTGTCACCTTTGGAACTTCCTGCGCTACATGTATTTTTATTGTGAAAACATATTATTGACATATAATGGGTAAACCGCAAAAAATATGACATTGAACTACTTAAATTATGGCATATTTAATGCATGTATCACTCAGTTAAGTTTCTAAGTTATCAGCACAATACCCATTGGGTTTAACAAAGACATAACCATGTACCACCTGCATAGCTTCAAGTTTTCCCCCATATGCAGAACTGGAATACTCTTCAAAGTGGCATGCACTCACTCCATACTTATATAACGTTTTGATGCAAGTAGTTTGTTTTTTTTACCAACTGTCCAATGCCTGCAGATTGGATGCCCAATGTGTAGAATGTAGTAGTTTGTCATAAGTTTGACCTTCAGTCTCCATAGTTGATGTGTTGCAGTGGTGCAGAGGTCAGTGACTGTGGCCGGTACCTGGTGGTGACCATCCATGAGGGATGCGACCCGGTCAACAGGCTCTACTATGTTGACCTCAAGTCATTGCAGAATGAGATTAAAGGTTAGTGTCAGCAAGTTATCGCTCAAAACATAATTCTCCCTCTTTGACTCCATCTTAAATCAGGTCCCTAAAATGTCACTCAAATGCTTTCCTGTACACCACTACTCCCTATTAAGTTTATTTTTCCTTATCCTGACTCATGCTTATTGCTTGTCTTCTTCTTCTTGCGAACCTAGTGGAACACGTGTATCTCCCAATTGAAGTTCCCTTCAATAAAGAAATCACTAATTAGTACTCACCACGAAGTTACCTCCCTGCCCAAGCTGGAACGAGGGCCACCTCAACCCATGTGCCTCACTCTCCTTCTTCTTCCCAGTGAGCTGGTCGTGAGAGCACCTGTGTCTCCCGACACACTATATCCTTTATTTATATTTAGTTTAGTACCTCTTATATTCATTTATAGAGGTGTTACTAGTATCCTTATTCAACTTGCATTGATTATTAGTCGTGTTTCTGCTGTTTTATTCACGGTTCGCCGTGTTTGTTCAGCAGTTTACGCAATGAGAATCTACACAGGTTGTAAACTACGCTATTCAGCTACCGATCCACATTTAAAATGCCCTAGTTGCATTACTCCATGTTCTATTGTTTCTAGTTGTAAATTATGTATTAATTTACCAATTTCTGCCTTTGATAAATATCTATGTTCCGCTTTTGAGACGGAAGGCAGATAAATCTCGCAAACAATCTTCAGTCATGGCTAATAGATCGGAAGCTAATATACCCTGTCAACTGTTGACTGATCGCACCCACCACCGGGCTGGTGGCATGCCTGAGTTTCCCTCGGGATAAGCGGGACGAGTCCGCTATGTCCAAGAAGCTTACCTGCATCTCAAGATCTGCCGCCTTCTCAGTCTAAGACTAGCAAAGCGCCCATATCATCTCGTGACGCTTCAGACACCCAGGTCTACAACTACGCCAAAGGGAAATCTACAAAATCTAATAATTTTGCCTCTGATATTTTACCAGTCACAGAATTAACCTTATATGATGATGACATTCCGATTATCATTCCAGATGTTCGCCACAAGAAACGCCCTGTATCTGCGACTGTCACCTCAGCGCAGATTAGCACACAACCGAGATGCCTACGCTGTCACCAGAAATTTTGACTGAGGGTCCCGCCACCTTCGCAGAGAGAGAACCCTCATCATCAGCAGACCGCCTCAGACGCACCTGGTCAACCAAATCATGAGGCTGATGGAAGACCGTTACGGTTTACAGAGGCCCCAGAGCCACGGGCCCCAGAGCCCAACCCATATTAAGTCATACAGGGCCCCAGAGCCCGCCTTTGGCTTCGCTGTGAGGGCCCCAGAGCCCACAGACGCCACCCGCTGGCAAGGGCATCCCAGCCCGAGCGAAGCTCTTTGCATAGGAAGTCTCAGGCCACCTCCGGCGAAGGAGCTAGAGCCTCACCTATTGCGAGAGGCTTCACGGAGAAGGAGCGCCACGAGCACGCACCTTGTAATTCACAGAGGTCGCTCATGGCAAGCCATATGTCGATTCGACACTGACTCGGTGACATTCGCTGGCGGACGCTGGCTAAGTGGTTCCATTTCTACCTCGCTTAGAAGAGCTTAACGGAAGCCCCCAGCGTTCGCTAAGCCCCCAGCGCTCGCTGGGCCCCCAGTGTTCGAGAAGCCCACAGCGCTTATGGCTTCTCACCGCTCATGGAAGCCCCCCCAGCCTTCGCTAAGGATGTCTTCCAAGGTCTCCGTGACACTAGCCACTCGCCAGTCCGTTCTCCACAGTCCTCTCATAGATCTTCCTATAGATCTAGGACTCCGACATATGACCATACGTCAGAAGAGGAGGATGGTATCATTTTCTCAGATGCTGAGATAAGATATATCCCCGGCGTTCGCCGAGGAAGTCTCCTCCAAGGTCTCCATATACTAGCCACTCGTCATATATAGCCACTCGTCAGTCCGTTCAAGACATCGCATGAGTTGTCTATCAACTGTATGCCATATCCCGTCTACAAGCCTACGCGAAGACAATTGCACAGGCTATTTACAACACAGAACGTCGCTGTATTAATTTATCAACAGATGAAGAGCCTAATTAAGGATCTTCGCCGACTACCTACATCAAGGGCATCAACGACGCTTCAGATCTTCACAGGAATCAACATTTCCGTGATAGATTGCTAGGTATGCAATCCCGACTACGATACGATTATTATCTACATGCGACCATTACGCAGATCTACAGACAATTCAATAACGAAATTGTACAGCAGCCTTGTTACAGCGAGTAAAACTCATAATCGTCAACAATTTCCTGAGAAGAAATATGTACAACAAGTTCAGCTTTAACAGTCTACAAGCTGACAACTTGCAAGTTTTATTGAACCTTATATAAGGAAGTCGGAATTATCTTCAAGACTGAAGTTATTTTCACGACAGCCTGGAAAATAACCTACCCAGCATTAATATTACAGAGCGAGGTATTTCGCCCGGAGGTTTCGCTAAGCACCATTAACCCTCAAACACGTGGTCACTCGGGTAACTTCGAAGCTACGGTGAAGACCGACGATTGTTCTAATATCAACGACGGCACTATATTATACAAGGTTCCTTTTCCTGCTACACCGGTGACATCACAGCTCGGGTACTCTACAGAATCAAAATGCCTTGTTCTGATTGGACCGAGATGGACAACGCCCTACGCAGAGGTCGATCATAGTTCACAGTTCAAGACATAGGTTGCAAGTGACAACAATATATCAGTGAACGAGCAAGCCTCCTTACAGTCCAGCTAATCTGAACCTTTATGATTGGGCTGCCTTCTTGAGGTTAGAGACCTCCCCTGTCAAGTAAGGACGAGGGCACGGCAGTCAGGCGAATTTTTACATAAAGTTCAACGATGGCAGTCACCCCTGGTTGTGCACCTACATCGTCAAGGACTTCGCAGCGAATTTAACTCGACGGGATACAAATGGATCCAAATCCATAGCGTCTCAGACTACAGTTGAATTCATCATCAAGCTACTAACACAACTAGATGGTTAGTAAACCTACTTAAGTTGGACCTAGAACCTTCGCAAGTTCTGCTATTCTAGGTTTTTGATTTGTAACGGCGCGAGAATCGTGATAATTGTACCGAGGACCATGGATCAAGATCCAACAGTCATTCCATTAAGCCTTACTATCTCCGCTACCACTACGACAGTGACAGAGCCTGTTGGGGTTACGCGACTTCAGCTCAAGATATGACAGGCAGAGGCAGACTACTATTACATCCGCTACAAGTCATCATCAATTCGATCTAGACGAATCTCTACCGCTCAATTTATCGGGTTCAGGTCAAACCTCATCTACTATGGTGGACCAAGAGATCGAATGTTTGAATAGGCGCCTCGCTAATAGAGCTGGAATCGATAACACTTCTCTCACGATGTGTCACTACGAGGTTGGGGAGCCCATCTTGCCAACAGGACGCATCAGGGCTATGAGCAATCAAGAGAGCATATTACACATAAATCTGCTAGAGATGCAAGCAGTAATAAACGCCTTTAATGCACTGGAGCAACTTACTACAGTATACCCAGTGGATGATTCACACAGTCAATTCGACAGTGGCGCTTTATGTGAACAAACTAAGCTCAACCAGGTCCCCGAACCTATCGACTCTATGTTTTCAATTGTTCGATTTAATCGACAATCTCAACATACATGTCAGAGCATATCACATTCCAGGAGCAAAGAATGTGATAGCAGACGCCTCTCTCGCCACACATACCATCGCCGACAGAATGAATGCTCCATACAGAGATATTCACTCAAATTATCAAGGAAATAGGAACTACACTAATAGACCTATTTGCCACTGATTCAACAAACAACTGACAGCATTCGTGATCGCCAGTTCCAGACCCACTAGCTTTGGCAACAGAAGCACTAAGCATATCGTGGAAGGACTCAACGCCAGACGCTGTTCCGCCACCAGCGTTAATCTCACAAGTTTACTCTAAATCAGTCAAACGCAGAGCCTCCATCTGAATTTGGTCGCCTACTGACTGGACCAGCAGAACGTGGTTTCCAACTCTTATTCAAGAAATCGACAACCAATACTACATCTTACAGAGTGCTCGAATCTGTTAATACATCCGCACACCAAACAAGCGCGGAAAGCCAGATATATTCCAACTTCACGCATGGATTGTATCAGCATGCGTGTCTGAATAACAAGTTATTCAGCCAGAGCAGCAAAGCAGTCTAGCTTGCCCTGCGTAACTCAACTTGCAACTTATAATGATGACAAATGGCACAGTTTGTCAATTATGCTGCAAAGGAAGGATTTACAGCTAGATATGCTACTCATCCTCAAGTGGCTGACTACTTATGTTATCTACGTCAGACTAAGATTTTATAAGGCTCAACTTGTCCACCTATCTTGCAGCAATAGCTCTGTCATAACTGAGAACGGGCCAAGTTAACCTAAACCCAGTTACCGCCTTTGCTACGAAGCTTCCGATTAGAGGATTAAAACGGAAGTTTCACGCCCAACTTGGGATCTGATTATAGTGTTCCAACACCTCACAAGTGAGGTTTATGAACACGCTTTGCTGATATACTTGGACCCCATGATACAATGAATCTATCACGATGGCCAGTAGAGCACTGAAAATATATCTCCACCGAGCCAAACAGGAGGGAAAAATTCAAGAGATTTATTTCCTCTATCAACAAGCTACGCAGACTGAAGTCTCACGCACTACTATCTCCTTTGGATCAAAACTGTCATACTACGCGCCTACAAGACTGCAGGACTCGACCCTCCAAGAGCTTCTAATCCCTCATGATATTAGAGCTAACATCTACACTTGCTCTACTGGACAAGTGCAATTGAAATAACATAATGGAGGGTTAATTCTGAGATCCGATATGGTGTTTGCCAACCACTATCTGAGAGATATCACCACCGAGGACGCCTCAGGTATCCACCAATTGGGTCCCATGGTCCCGCAGACAACAGTTGACAGTTCCTCGAGAAGATAAGTCAATCTTACAGATTTCTACTTATTTTATAACAGTACTAAATAGCTACATGCTATATATATTTTGCTTAAGTTCTTTTATTATCTTAAGCTCAGTACTATGGTTATTATATCATACAATATATAAGCTAACAACTCTAATGGAGTTTGTTATTATATATTTAGCTTAAGTTAATCATATCTTAAGCTCAGTACTATGGTTACATTATAAATGTGTTAGCTATCAAACTCTACAGAGTTTTTGCTATTATATATGTAGCTTAAGTTAATTATATCTTAAGCACAGTACTATACTCATATCATAAAAATATATTAGCTAACAAACTCTACGGAGTTTTTGCTATTATATATGTAGCTTAAGTTAATTATATCTTAAGCACAGTACTATACTCATATCATAAAATATATTAGCTAACAAACTCTAAAGAGTTTTTTGCTATTATATATTTAGCTTAAGTTTCATTATATCTTAAGCATTATGGTTACATTATAACATGTATTAGCTAACAAACTCTAATGAGTTTTTTGCTATTATATATATGTAGCTTAAGTTTATTCATATCTTAAGCTCAGTACTATGTTTATATCATATAAGTATATTAGCTAACAAACTCTAAAGAGTTTTTGCTATTATATATTTAGCTTAAGTTTCATCATATCTTAAGCATTATGGTTACATTATAAAAAATGTAATAGCTAACAAACTCTCACGGAGTTTTTTGCTATTATATATGTAGCTTAAGTTTATTCATATCTTAAGCTCAGTACTATGTTTATATCATATAAGTATATTAGCTAACAAACTCTAAAGAGTTTTTGCTATTATATATTTAGCTTAAGTTTCATCATATCTTAAGCATTATGGTTACATTATAAAATGTAATAGCTAACAAACTCTAACGGAGTTTTTGGCTATTTAGGTAGCTTAAGTTAATTATATCTTAAGCACAGTACTATACTCATATCATAAAAATATATTAGCTAACAAACTCTCTACGAAGTTTTGCTATTATATATATAGCTTAAGTTTATTCATATCTTAAGCTCAGTACTATGTTTATATCATAAAAGTATTTTAGCTAACAAACTCTAAGGAGTTTATGCTATCATATTAACAAGCTTAAGTCTATTAGTCTTAAGCATTGTATTAATGTTATATATACTTTTATCATAATAAAGTACATTGTAATAACCTTTATATGGCAGCTGATAAGTTAGCAGCAGGAATTCATCAGTTCAGTGCCTTTATGAAGTTCCCATAGGGTTATTACAATCATCACAGTTCAAATCACTAATTATTAAAATCCAAAGTATTATATATTAAAACCCACCTCCTTTCCGTCCGGATTCTACAAGCAATAAGCATGAGTCAGGATAAGGAAAAATATGTAATTTTAGAGTAAAATTGATATTTTATACTTATCCTGACTCATGAGGTAACTCCCCCATCCTCCCCACCCACTGGAAATCCAAGTGTTGGGCTCAGTATATGAGGAGAGAGTGGGGCACATGGGTTGAGGTGGCTTCTGCCCTCGCTCAGCTTGGGCAGGGAGGTAACCTCGGGTGAGTACTCATTAGTAATTTCTTTATTGAAGGGAACTTCAATTAGGAGATACACGGTTCCACTAAGTTCTGCAAAGAAGAAGAAGACAAGCAATAAGCATGAGTCAGGATAAGTATAAAATATCAATTTTACTCTAAAAATTACATTTTGTTTTATGTTTCAGGTGTTTTGCCCTACGTCAAGATTGTGGATAACTTTGATGCTGAATATGAGGTGAGCCTAATTACAACACAGACCACTGTACACACTGAGTGTACAACACTGACCCCAGTACACTGTTACAGTACAACACTGACCCCAGTACACTGTTACAGTACAACACTGACCCCAGTACTCAGTACAACACTGACCCCAGTACACAGTACAACACTGACCCCAGTACACAGTACAACACTGACCCCAGTACACTGTTACAGTACAACACTGACCCCAGTACACAGTACAACACTGACCCCAGTACACAGTACAACACTGACCCCAGTACACAGTACAACACTGACCCCAGTACTCAGTACAACACTGACCCCAGTACACAGTACAACACTGACCCCAGTACACTGTTACAGTACAACACTGACCCCAGTACTCAGTACAACACTGACCCCAGTACACAGTACAACACTGACCCCAGTACACAGTACAACACTGACCCCAGTACACAGTGACAGTACAACACTGACCCCAGTACACAGTGATAGTACAACACTGACCCCAGTACACAGTACAACACTGACCCCAGTACACAGTGACAGTACAACACTGACCCCAGTACACAGTGATAGTACAACACTGACCCCATTACACAGTACAACACTGACCCTAGTACTCAGTACAACACTGACCCCAGTACACAGTGACAGTACAACACTGACCCCGGTACACAGTACACCAATGACCCCATTACACAGTACAACACTCACCCCAGTACTCAGTACAACACTGACCCCAGTACACAGTACACCAATGACCCCAGTACACAGTGACAGTACAACACTGTACCTGTCTTACATAATCTCACGCAGGTTATGAAAAATGGCATATACTATTGTTACTATTACAAGTGACATTTCATGTGGCATATCATGAAACAGACTATAAAAACAGACAATGAAACCTACCCTGTGGGTTGCACGGGAGTGTGCTCCAGCACCCAGCAGCCGGGCAGCCAACACGTGCAATAATCCTACATAAAATAGGATACACTGATGAGAGGTATTGTCCATGAGACAACACAGAAAATAATACCATGATATCAACATATATACATACTTGAAACTACCACTATGGAGTTACAAACAAGATACAGAATTGATGAAATAGATCAATCTTACATCATATACATCATTTGTAAAACAAGAACTACAAGCCAACATAAACATATAGCAAAACCAACCATACATACATTCATACAGGTAAAATAGCATACTGTGTAAATATTTACATTTGATTTATCTTGAACATATTTGTGCCTATGTTATACAATTATTTATATTAGGGTTTAATTAGCTATGTAAATATTACAAACAGTATAATTACTAACCTTAGATCCAAACTCAATCTTCTAAACAGTCCTCATGTAGAGACTGTGTGGTGCAAAACTGATTAGTAACATGGCGGTGAGAAGTATATTTGAAATTAAACCAATCAACTGAGAAGCTGAGCCTGGGCTATTGTTAAAACAACTAAAGACAATGACATAAAGTAGATCGACCCAGATACCCTTAAATACACAATGAACCAGCCCTGTAACACAGAACTGAACAGTTAAGGCAAAGACAAGATGCAACTGGATTGACAACATATAACATATACCCCGGGTATATAATGTATAGAGAAGTCGCCTGTCGGATCACCTGGAAATAAGAACAATAATGAAAATGATTAATTATAAATGTATGTACACAATACACAATCCCTGGATTTATCCCTGTTACACAGTGACAGTACAATGCTGACCCCAGTACACAGTGACAGTACAATGCTGACCCCAGTACACAGTGACAGTACAACACTGACCCCAGTACACTGTGACAGTACAACACTGACCCCAGTACACTGTGACAGTACAACACTGACCCCAGTACACTGTGACAGTACAACGCTGACCCCAGTACACAGTGACAGTACAACACTGACCCCAGTACACAGTGACAGTACAACACTGACCCCAGTACACTGTGACAGTACAACACTGACCCCAGTACAGTACCCCAGCACAGTACAGTACAACACTGACCCCAGTACACAGTGACGGTACAACACTGACCCCAGTACACAGTGACAGTAACACACTGACCCCAGTACACACTGTACACACAGTACAACACTGACCCCAGTACACAGTGATAGTACAACACTGACCCCAGTACACAGTGACAGTACAAACACTGACCCACAGTACAACACTGACCCCAGTACTCAGTACACACTGACCCCAGTACACAGTGACAGTACAACACTGACCCCAGTACACAGTACACCAATGACCCCATTACACAGTGACACAACAATGCTCACCCCAGTACATCAGTACAACACTGACCCCAGTACACAGTACACCAATGACCCCAGTACACAGTGACAGTACAACACTGTACCTGTCTTACATAATCTCACGCAGGTTATGAAAAATGGCATATACTATTGTTACTATTACAAGTGACATTTCATGTGGCATATCATGAAACAGACTATAAAACAGACAATGAAACCTACCCTGTGGGTAACACGGAGTGTGCTCAAGCACCCAGCAGCCGGGCAGCCAACATCGCAATAATCCTACATAAAACAGGATACACTGATGAGAGGTATTGTCCATGAGACAACACACATAAAATAATACCATTATACCAACATATATACATACTCTGAAACTACCACTATGGAGTTACAAACAAGATACAGAATTGATGAAATAGATCAATCTTACATCATATACATCATTTGTAAAACAAGAACCACAAGCCAACATAAACATATAGCAAAACCAACCATACATACATTCATACAGGTAAAATAGCATACTGTGTAAATATTTACATTTGATTTATCTTGAACATATTTGTGCCTATGTTATACAATTATTTATATTAGGGTTTAATTAGCTATGTAAATATTACAAACAGTATAATTACTAACCTTAGATCCAAACTCAATCTTCTAAACAGTCCTCATGTAGAGACTGTGTGGTGCAAAACTGATTAGTAACATGGCGGTGAGAAGTATATTTGAAATTAAACCAATCAACTGAGAAGCTGAGCCTGGGCTATTGTTAAAACAACTAAAGACAATGACATAAAAGTAGATCGACCCAGATACCCTTAAATACACAATGAACCAGCCCTGTAACACAGAACTGAACAGTTAAGGCAAAGACAAGATGCAACTGGATTGACAACATATAACATATACCCCGGTATGTAATGTATAGAGAAGTCGTCTGTCGGATCACCTGAAATAAGAACAATAATGAAAATGATTAATTATAAATGTATGTACACAATACACAATCCCTGGATTTATCCCTGTTACACAGTGACAGTACAATGCTGACCCCAGTACACAGTGACAGTACAATGCTGACCCCAGTACACAGTGACAGTACAACACTGACCCCAGTACAATGTAACAGTACAATGCTGACCCCAGTGCACTGTGAAAGTACAACACTGACCCCAGTGCACTGTGACGGTACAACGCTGACCCCAGTACACTGTGACAGTACAACGCTGACCCCAGTACACAATGACAGTACAATGCTGACCCCAGTACACAGTGACAGTACAACACTGACCCCAGTACAATGTAAACACTAACATTACAACACTGCTGACCCCAGTGCACTGTGACAGTACCCCAGTAAGTACAACACTGACCCCAGTACACAGTGACAGTAGAACACTGACCCCAGTACAATGTAACAGTACAATGCTGACCCCAGTGCACTGTGACAGTACAACACTGACCCCAGTGCACTGTGACGGTACAACGCTGACCCCAGTACACAGTGACAGTACAATGCTGGCCCCAGTACACAGTGACAGTACAACGCTGACCCCAGTACACAGTGACAGTACAACGCTGACCCCAGTACACAGTGACAGTACAACGCTGACCCCAGTACACAGTGACAGTACAATGCTGACCCCAGTACACAGTACAACACTGACCCCAGTACACAGTACAACACTGACCCCAGTACACTGTGACAGTACAACACTGACCCTAGTACACTGTGACAGTACAACGCTGACCCCAGTACACTGTGACTGTACAATGCTGACCCCAGTTTGTTTTTGGACTTATCTTAGCTCTATCTGCTATATTACTTGGTGTCCAAGTGCCCAAGAATCTCTGACTGAGCACAATCCAGTAATCGACTTCCCAGTATAATACTTATTCAAGTTGTTCAGATGTTTGTATTTGCAAAGTCAAATTTTACCAGGGTTTTACACAGACTTTTAAAAATGGGAGTCATGGTGACTCACAATATTTATTTTTGGGAGTCATTTTCAATTTTTGGGAGTCATGTAAATTTAATATTTCTTTGTGTTTATCATTCTCAGTATGTAACTCTGTATGTCACACCACCAAATGAAACTACAGCATTGTTCAGTTCAAACAGCCAGGATTACTGTCTCCTCTGAGTTCTCTGGATCAATCTGACAGCTCTGCAAAAGTCAAACTATCATCGAACAATAATTTCTTGCTTATCAAATCGATTTTATTGAACTGAATTGTGAGGGCCATCTATAAAACCTGTGTCAAGGTTGACTCGCAGGGCTCCAGATAAGGGCCGTATCGGCATATGTACGGATATAAAATAAGCACGATATGGTAGGAAATAAATCAGGAAACATAGCAGATACGCATCACAGCTAATGGTGTACTGTACTAGAATCATTTACAGACGTATTTATCTGAAAAAGTATTGTTTTATTGTTTATTGACCTGTTTACACAAGTGTACTAATGTTGTGGTGCATATATGAAATGAAACACAAGATTACTGATACTCCATTATTTCCATTCAGTACCCTTAATGTACTCTTATTGTTTTCCAGTATGTTGAAAAATAAGGAGTACGTACTCCTGATCATGAAAAATTATCTGGAGCCCTGGACTTGTATAACAGTATTTTGAGAGTCGTTAACAAAATTGTTGCATCAAATACGCAGGAATCCTGCGTCATGTAAAACCCTGTTTTACAGGTCCAGATATAGGTCAATACGGTCAACTGATAACGACCAGCTGGCCAGATGGCTGTTTCCCAGACCCTACAATTTCCATGTTACCGTGATACTCTGTTTCTTACCAGTCTTAATCAGCTGATTGTGCCTTGAAGTTCACCAACTTTATGAGATTAGATTGTTAAATAGAAACATTACCAGACCTTGGTCAGTTTCTTAAACATGATGTAACATGAAAGGAAGTGACAACACTGACTATTTCAAGTACAACATAGTACAACTCATTCAAACACTGAATAGACACTGCCTTGAAGAAATGACAACACTGACTATTTCAAGTACAACACAGTACAACTCATTCAAACACTGAATAGACACTGCCTTGAAGAAATGACAACACTGACTATTTCAAGTACAACATAGTACAACTCATTCAAACACTGAATAGACACTGCCTTGAGGAAAGTGGTTAAATGCAGCATATGTTATATGTGGGGTTCCACTTTCTAAGTCAAGTACTGATATTAATACAACACAGATCCCATAAATAACACAGATCCCCTATGCACAGTGATAGAACATCAACTTGATATGATTGTATGTGGTTTCTTGTTTTAGCCTACCAATATACTTAAAGTACGCTCTGCATGTTTCAGTACATCACAAATGAAGGCAGCAAGTTCATCTTCAAGACCAACCTGAATGCATCACGATACAAACTCATTACCATCGACTTGGCTGACCCTGATGAGGTACAAACATGTGTCTGGGAGGACATCCTAGTCACACCCTAAAGCCACTCCTCGTACAATATCATCAACTGTCTATAACTGGTCCTCATATTATCTTCCAGAGGGTCGCCCCTGTTTCCTCTGGAGCAGATATGACCTATAATATGCTTTTGTGAAAGGCAATTAAATGAGGATTGAGTGGACAATATGAAGGCAATGTGTAGATAGTGGTAGTGGTGGCGGAAGCTGGAGCTTCCAAGGACAGTTCTCTCCACTACTCCACTGAGCTTTTATCAGTGATCTAAAAGTTCAAGTAAATACTGATAAGAAAGTCCTCATCTTTGAAAAAGAAATGAGCCTGTAAAGATCAGGGTTAAAATTGATCTTCAGTTACCCATGCTTGTTTTAAGAGGTGAATTAACAGGATCGGGTGGTCAGGCTCGCTGACTTGGTTGACACATGTCATTGTATCTCAATTATGAAGATCGATGCTCATGCTGTTCATGCTGATCACTAGATTGTCTGGTCCAGTCTAGATTATAACTAAACTCAGACACTCATTGAAAGGAAATGGATGTATGCATACGTAGGATGGTTCCATTATTATGCCACTATTGATATACATTTATTCTAATACGTGATACATGCCATGTTTAAACAATGCTGCTGCTGCTGCTGCTGTTATCCTCCTCATACCCTTGATATGGTGATTCTATGTTTGTTGTGTACAAGATACAGATGGTGTGATGATGTTTCAGAGTAACTGGACAACCCTGGTCGATGAGGATGAGAAGTGTGTGCTTGAGTGGGCTGCCTGCGTCAACAAAGACAAGCTCATCCTCTGCTACTTGAAAGATGTCAAGGTGAGATCTATCACATACAGTGCATGCTTATGTAAGTATATTTGTTACAGACTTCTGGTCCATGCTCCATGATTTTCAACTTAGCGCATACTGTGAAAAAGTTGGACAGGTTTTTCCCCAAACTGTTTAAGTCAGAGAACACAAATTTCACACGCTGTTGTTACTGGTCACAATATAAATTGAAAATGACTTTGAAAAAAAATTGTAATTGAAATTTTTCACATGGTGTGTGTTGTTTGGAGGTTCATATTGTGTGTTGTTTGAACACTGGTTGATGTGTGTGTTGTTTGGAGGTTCATATTGTGTGTTGTTTAAACACTGGTTGATGTGTGTGTTGTTTGGAGGTTCATATTGTGTGTTGTTTAAAGACTGGTTGATGTGTGTGTTGTTTGGAGGTTCATATTGTGTGTTGTTTAAACACTGGTTGATGTGTTGTTTGGAGGTTCATATTGTGTGTTGTTTAAAACACTGGTTGATGTGACTTTGGAGGTTCATATTGTGTGTTGATGATGTGTGTTGTTTGGAGGTTCATATTGTGTGTTGTTTAAAGACTGGTTGATGTGTGTGTTGTTTGGAGGTTCATATTGTGTGTTGTTTAAAGACTGGTTGATGTGTGTGTTGTTTGGAGGTTCATATTGTGTGTTGTTTAAAGACTGGTTGATGTGTGTGTTGTTTGGAGGTTCATATTGTGTGTTGTTTAAAGACTGGTTGATGTGTGTGTTGTTTGGAGGTTCATATTGTGTGTTGTTTAAAGACTGGTTGATGTGTTTGTTGTTTGAGGTTCATATTATGTGTGTTGTTTAAAGACTGGTTGATGTGTGTTGTTTGGAGGTTCATATTGTGTGTTGTTTAAAGACTGGTTGATGTGTATTGTTTGGGGTTTCATATTGTGTGTTGTGTTGTTGTTTGTTGTTTGGAATATTGACTGGTTGACTGGTTGATGTGTGTGTTGTTTGGAGGTTCATATTGTGTGTTGTTTAAAGACTGGTTGATGTGTTTGTTGTTTGGAGGTTCATATTGTGTGTTGTTTAAAGACTGGTTGATGTGTGTGTTGTTTGGAGGTTCATATTGTGTGTTGTTTGAAGACTGGTTGATGTGTGAGTTGTTTGGAGGTTCATATTGTGTGTTGTTTGGAGATTAACAGTATGTACATTTTAGGAGATTCATGGTGTATGTGTTTGGAGACACATAGTATTCATGTTGTTTGGAGACTCATGGTGTCTGTTTTGAGACTAACAGTGCGTTTCTGTTTCTCTACTTTCAGAACGAGCTGTATGTACATAACTTGAGCTCAGGGTCAAGGACGTCCCAGCTGCCCCTGGAGGTCGGGTCAGTTGTGGGGTACTCAGGGAAGAAGAAGTATGATGAGGTGAAGCACTTGGCAGATAGGCACCGTATGGTTTAAGTCATCTAAGTCATATCCATTATTCTTGTTTAGACAACCACTGTGGTCTAGTAGCTTCTGCCCATAGAGCAGACGGCCAGTGGTTCAATCTGCTTCATACCAAGAGGCGTATTTAGATGATGTTTGTTGTTTCCCTGCGTGGTTAAGAGGATAAAGCAGGTCTGATCAACTTGAAGTTATTATACTGTGTTCGAGTGGGGTATTCATCTTAAACTGTGACATGAAACAAGCACTACTGAAGAGTGGCATTAATCTGCACTAGTAGAACCACCTCAAATCAACACTGAACAAAAAATTTATGCATCATTCATCTTTTCTTATTAGACAAAGAACATTCATCGAAGAAAGGAAATGCATTCCCAGAAGATTTCATTGTGTACATCAGTTAAAAGCAAAAACTGTCCACCAACTATTCTGTTGATGAATTCTTTAGCTACAGAATTGATGGAAGGATTTTATAGGGTATTACTTACAGAGTCTTTATATTAATGATGGACTTGTGGCACCTTTGTCACTGTTGGAACTAATTAGAGGTATTACTGAAGAAGTATTTTTCTGTTTCAGATTTTCTATCAGTTCACATCATTTTTGACTCCTGGGATCATCTACAGGTGCGACATGACGACAGACAAGTACACCCCCAAGGTAAGTCTGTGTAACATCATCTACAGTACATGTCAGTGAAGCTTGCCAATAGCTAACCTGTCACAGGACTTTATTAACAGCAGGTGAAGGGTAAATACATAACTGGGAATAGTGTTGCATGTTTTGGAATATTTTCCCAATCAAAGTTTCATGTTTATCTAAATATTCCTAGAAAATAAAACTAACAGAAAATGTGAACTGATTACCTAAGTTGTATGTGGGAGAGAGATTGGTTCCATACATACAGCCACAAATAGCTGCAAAATTGCTGATGCAGCTTAAAGCAACATTTTCTCACTTACTCCATTCACCCATATATTGTGATCTAGGCTTTTATAAATACTGGCTTCTAATAGTGTTTGAGTTAGTATTATCTAGCTCATCCATAAGTAAAACATAAATAGCCATGGGAGTTTACTCTGCACAGTGCCTGTGTTGTTAGCTTAGCTGTATTTAGCTCTTTTGTTTGGGTTTAAGAACTGGATAAGGCATGAACTTTACGTGTGACGTGACACTTGGAAAGTACATCATGCATGATTTAAATACACATGGGGCTGTTGGCATACTGTTCCTTTGAGCCTCAGCTACACAGGCGATAAGAAATCAAGACAATGAAAGAGTGCAGTATGTCATTTTTAAGTGTTCACTATGCAAAACATGTTTTCTTTTTCAGACTTTCCGTGAAATTAACGTAAAGGATTTTGACACCAGCAAATTTGAGACAGAGCAGGTTTTCTTTCCCAGTAAAGATGGAACAAAGATCCCTATGTTTATTGTTCACAGAAAGGTATTGTCACTTGCCACTGTTTACTTACAGCTTCATATTACCCTGTAACAATGGAGGAAATATAATCCTCAAATGCACAAAATGATTTTCATTTTATGCAAACTAAAATGTTTACTGCAAACATATCTGCATACAAATTGTGAATCTGCAAGACAGTAAGGCTTCATACGACATGCTTAACCAGCACTGCGGGGCTGTGGGGTAGCCTAGTGGTTAAAGCGTTCGCTCATCATGCCGAAGACCCGGGTTCGATTCCCCACTTTGGTACAATGTGTTAAGCCCATTTCTGGTGTCCTGTGCCGTGATATTGCTGGAATATTGCTTAAAGAGGCGTAAAAGTAAACTCACATAAAGGTGTAAAAGTAGAAAGTTTTACTGTTTAAATGATATTACCACCATTAATCAGTGTCTGATGACTATAAATCCCAGAGCTGCCCGAATAATGGACATTGGTCCGTCACCACCACTTTCTTCCACTGGTGTCTGCAACATTGCTAGTAGGTTTCACTAAAGTCACACCTATTTAAAGCGTCCCTTCTGGCTTTCATCTAAGCTGACATGCCCTGATGCATAGCGGCTACTAAATCACTTTGTCCAACAATTGTCCTCACTTTGCCAAATAACTTGACTACGGTGATTGGTAGGCTATAGCATGTATTTCTTCCTGTTTCAGGGCTTGGTTCTTGATGGAAGTCACCCAGTGATGTTATATGGCTACGGAGGATTCAACATCTCCATCAGTCCATCTTTCTCTCCGTCCAGGCTTGTCTTCCTGCAACATCTTGGGGGAGTCTATGCCATCGCTAACATCCGTGGTGGAGGGTAAGTAGTACCATCTCTAGTGTTCATTGAAACACTGTATTGACATGTGTCCAAGGTGCTGACCAGGTGCTGATCTCCACGGTGATCTCTGTAAGGGACAACTATGTTGAGTCAGGTGCCACTGTACAGGGATCTTGTCCACCGTGGTGTCATCTTGTGACATGCATGGACCAGACATCTATCCTGATCTCCACGGTGATCTCCTGTAAGGACAACTATGTCCACAGTCAGGTGCTGGTTGTAAGATCTTGTTCATTTGTCATCTGTTTGCACATGCATGGACAGCATCTATCCTTGCTCCACGGTGATCTCTGCATGGAAACTATGTTGAGTCCTGGTGCTGACAATCCAGGATTTGTCCACATCATCTTATCATGCATGGACAATTGGATCTATCCTTGATCTCCACGATCTCTGTAAGGGACAACTAGCCAGGTGCTGACACTTGGGCATCTTGTCCACCGTGTGTCCCATGACATGCATGGACCAAGTCTATGTCTCCATGGTGATCTCTGTAAGGACAACTCTCTTGTCCACCGCGGACATGCATGGACCAAGTCTATCCCTGATCTCCATGGTGATCTCTGTAAGGACAACTATGTTGAGTCAGGTGCTCACACTTGGGGATCTTGTCCACCGTGTGTCATCTTATGACATGCATGGACCAAATCTATCCCTGATCTCCACGGTGATCTCTGTAAGGACAACTATGTTGAGTCAGGTGCTGACACTTGGGCATCTTGTCCACCGTGTGTCATCTTGTGACATGCATGGACCAAGTCTATCCTGGATCTCCACGGTGATCTCTGTAAGGGACAACTATGTTGAGTCAGGTGCTCACACTTGGGGATCTTGTCCACCGTGTGTCATCTTATGACATGCATGGACCAAGTCTATCCCTGGATCTCCACGGTGATCTCTGTAAGGGACAACTATGTTGAGTCAGGTGCTCACACTTGGGGATCTTGTCCACCGTGTGTCATCATTCCTGATGGTGTGAGGCATGACATACCTCATGACATCAACCACATGTTTGTCTGTCCTAAAGTCAGTTATTTACAGCTCACTGATATGGCTGGAATATTGACGACTGTGGCATGAAAGAAGAGATTTCTTTGTCTTGACCTTTCTAGGTTTTAAATGAGATGTTTGTTATGTACAATATGTCTATTTCCAGTGAATACGGAGAGTCTTGGCACAAGGCAGGCAACTGTGCCAACAAGCAGAATGTGTTTGACGACTTCCAGTCAGCTGCCGAATATCTCATATCGAATAAGTGGTCATCAGCTAAAAGGTGAGTTATGGAGTAGGACCCACTGACATGTAAACTGCAATTCTCATATATACTTTATATTTCCTCATTATAACTGTTACTGTGTCCTCAAATTTTGTAAGACATTACTGACATATTTTAATCTGTTACAAAACTCAGTTGACAGCAAGTTATTGTGCATTCCTTAACAGCAATTAATGGAATGTGACTTAAAAACCAAGCTGAAAATGTTCCCAAGTTAATCTATTTGCATGACAGCATCTCCATGCAATACGTCACAAGCCATTCAGAACCCAATTGGATGAACAGAAACATCCTCATCAAAAGTGTAGTAGTTTTAGCCATATTTTCAATCAGTTATGAGAATACTGGTATGTAGTGATTAGGGAAACAGTACTTTGAATATTATCATCAACTTCTTACAGTTTTTGCTGAAGTTCTGCAAATCTAACATTAGAACTATACCTGAAAGCATTATTCACAGGGTAGTATTCCTCTGCATGAAGCAGCCTGCTTCAACCTCCCACACACAAGGTGTATCAATCAGATAATTAGTATGTTTCCATGAAGACAGCTGAAAAATGGTTCAAAGTAATGTTCAAGATTATTCACATTCACAGAATTAGTAACTTTATCATTACAGTTCCAATGTTACAAGGATATATTTCTGGAAAGATATGAACAGTCACAATTATTCTGATGTGGATATTTAGTGACATCAAACCAAACCTTTTCAAGTTATAATGGCTGTGTATCCATCCAGCCAAGGGATATACACAATGGCAGCTGGCCAATCAGAGACGTAGATATTCCAGGAGTCATGACACACAACATACATATGGGTAGGGGTGAGTTGGTATGCACTTACCACGGTACGGTATGTATTGCGGTACAAGTCTTCGGTTGGGTCCGTTTCGGTTCGGTGTATGAGATATGATCATGATGCAGAAACATGACCACAAAAGCCAAACCTTACAAAGTTTAATAACATGGGAAAAATAACCATAATCTTTATGTTTTCTTATCCTGACTCATGCTTATTTGCTTGTCTTCTTCTTCTTGCGAACCTAGTGGAACACTTGTATCTCCCAATTGAAGTTCCCTTCAATAAAAAATCACTCATTAGTACCCACCACGAGTTACCTCCCTTCCACAAGCTCGGGAACGAGGGCGCCACCCGAACCCATGTGCCTCACTCTCTCCTTCTTCGCCCAGTGAGCAAGACGTGAGAGCACCTGTGTCTCCCTGCACACTATATCCTTTATTTATATTAGTTTGTTACCTCTTATATTCATCTATAGAGGTGTAACTAGTATCCTTATTCAACATGCATTGATAATTATTCGTGTTTCTGCTGCTTGATTCACGGTTCGCCGTGTTTACTCAGCAGTTTGCGTTAATAAAAATCTGCACTGTTTGTAAATTACGTTACTCTGCTACCGATCCACATTTAAAATGCCCTAGATGCATTACTCCATGTTCTATTGTTTCTCGTTGTAAATTATGTATTAATTTACCAATTTCTGCCTTTGATAAATATTTATGTTCCGCTTTTGAGACGGAAGGCAGATAAATCTCGAAACAATCTACAGTCATGGCTAATAGATCGGAGTCAGATATATCCTGAGTTACCTTCGGGGATAAGCGTGGGGCGAGATCCGCTATATCTAGAAGCGACCTGCTTCCCAGGGACGTTCCTTCATCACAGTCTAAAACTAGAAGAGCTTCCACTGTCTCCTCAACGTGCGCTCAAACCCCCAGGTCTACAGCCTTGTCAAAGGGAAATCCACGAAGGCTACTAAAAAACTTTGCTTCTGATATTCAGAATTATGTTTATATGATGATGACATTTCGATTATCATTCCAGATGTATGTCATAAGAAGTGACCAGTATCGGCTACCGTCACTTCAGCGCAGATCAACATGCAATCAGAGATGCCTACGCTGACGCCGGAGATTATAACTGAGGGTCTCATCACTATCACAGAGAGGACACCCTCAACGCCAGCGCAGACGACCTGGTCAACCACATAATGAGGGTGATGGAAGACTGCTACGGCTTACAGAGGCCTCAGAGCCACGGGCCTCAGAGCCCACCCCTTATTAAGTCATACAGGGCCTCAGAGCTCCTCAGCTTTGCCAGCCGTAGGGCCTCTGAGCCCCTAGACCGCCTCCCGGCAACCCTGCCCGGGCAACTGAGCTCTTTGCATAAGGTATCCCAGGCAGCCTCCAAAGCTGAAGGAGCCAGAGCCTCACCTTTGCAAGAGGCTTCGGAGAAGGAGCCGCCGAGCAACGACCTTGTCATGCACGAAGGGCATCCATGGCAAGCGCCATATGTCGGATCGGACACTGACTCCAGACATTCACGTAGGACCTTGACGCTAGAGTGGTTCTACATCGCCTAGAAGGACATCTCGTAGCCCCTCAGCGTTCGAGAAGTCCAGGCGCCTGCCTGCCATCACCGTTCAATGAAGCCCACAATCTCCGCATGAAGGATGTCTTCTCCAAGGTCTACATACACTAGCCACTCGTCAGTCCATTCTCCTCAGTCCTCACATAGATCTTCTTACAGATCGAGGACTCTGACATATGACAATACGTCAGAGGAGGACGATGGTATCATTTTCTCAGAGGCTGAGATAAGGTATTGGATGGTAAACGAATTACAACTGGCCTCTCCCTCTAAGAACGAGGATACAGCCCAAACTTACCTTATGTTAGATGATGATGTAGATCATATCACCGTGCCTCCTATGGATCCTATCGCAGCCGTTCCTGCTAAAAGGATTACTAGCCTCCTGCTCATGGAATAAACAATTCACATGGTAAGTATAGATCTGCAGGACGCATACCTACACATTCCGATTCATCCCAGTTCAAGGAAATATCTGAGATTTATGCTAGACGGCATACACTACCAGTGGAAAGTACTTCCCTTCGGAATCACTTCGGCCCCATGGATATTCACAAGAGTAACCAAGCCTATTGTCTCATACCTACATCGTCAAGGCCTGCGGAATGCATTTTACCTAGACGACGGTATACAGGTGGATCCAGATCCACAGCGTCTCAGACTACAGCTGAACTTTACAATCAAGCTACTCAAGTCGGACCTAGAGCCCACGCAGGATCTGCAGTTTCTAGGTATACGATTCCTTACAGCGCAGAATCGTATGGTAGTCCCGGAGGACAGATGGATCAAGATACAACAACTGATCCCCAAGCTACTACTCTCTCCCCGTTACCACTACGTCAGTGGCAGAGGCTACTGGGACTACTCACATCAGCTCAAGACTTGACACTCAGAGGCAGGCTTCAATTACGTCCATTACAAGTCCTCATCAATGCCCATCTCGAGGACCCTCTACCGTTCAGTCTACCAGATTACATCAAACCACATCTACTCTGGTGGACCAAGAGATTGAATGTTTGCTATAAGCGTCTCCTTAGTAGAGCCGGAATCGAAAACACATCTCTACGTGGACACGTCACTAAAAGGTTGGGGAGCCCACCTTACCGGCAGGACAGCGTCAGGCCTATGGAGCATTCAAGAGAGCTTATGTCACATAAATCTGCTAGAGATGCAAGCAGTCATAAGCGCCATATAGGTCACTGGAGCAACCTATTACAGAGCGCTCAGTTAATGATTCACACAGACAACTCAACAGTGGCGTTTTATGTGAACAAACAAGGGTCAACAAGATCACTGAATCTTCTCACTCGATGTTTCAAACTGTTGATTTAGTCGACAGTCTAAACATATCGTATCAAAAGCCTGCCACAGTCCAGGAGCAAAGAATGTGTTAGCAGAGGCTTTCTCTCGGCCGCACCAACCGTCGCCCGACAGAATGGATGCTCCACACAGAGATATTCAATCAGATAATCATGGAAATAGGATCTCCTCTGATAGACCTATTTGCCACCCAATTCAACAATCAACTGACAACCTTTCATTATCGCCAGTGCCAGATCCGTTAGCTTGGGCAGCGGACGCACTAAGCATATCATGGGAGGACTAAGCGCGTACGCTTTCCCGCCTCCTGCGTTAATCCCACAAGTCTTGCTAAAAATCAGTCAAACGAAAAGCCTCGATCTGATTTGGTCTCGCCTTACTGGCCAGCGAGAACGTGGTTTCCAGACCTCATACTAGGAATCGGAAAACCAGTACTTCAGCTCCCACCACGCTCCAATCTACTGATACATCCACACACCAAACAAGTGCACAAAACACCAGAAGCATTCCGACTTCTGGGATTTTATAGCGAAAATCAACTACCAGGTCAACCAGACAGGTTGTTCCATGTCCCAGCTCTCTCATCCATACTTAGACCGCAGGATACGATGGACTTATCACTTTGCCCTGTACGTGCACTGGAAATATATCTCCAAAGATCCAAGCAAAGTAGAGGGAAATTCAAAAGATTGTTTATCCCTATATCTACCACTTCACAGACAGAAGTGTCGCGCACTACCATTTCTATTTGGATCAGAACTGTCATACTAAGAGCCTACAAGGCAGCTGGACTGGACCCTCCAAGTGCTACTAATCCTCACGAAATTAGAGCACTAGCTTCAACTGTGGCTTTACATGGAAATTGCTCATTAAATACCATCATGGAGGGATGTTTTTGGAGATCCGATATGGTGTTTGCCAACCACTATCTGAGAGATATCACCACCAAGGATGTCTCAGGTATCCACCATTTCGGTCCCATGGTCCTCGCTCAACAGTTGACAGTTCCACGGAGAAGATAAGTCTATCTTGTTGATTTTATACTTATCTGATAACAGTACTAATAGCTACATGCTATCTATATATATTGCTTAAGTTAAAATATTAACTTAAGCTCAGTACTATGATTTATATCATAATATATATATACCTACAACTCTTACGAGTTTCTACTATTATATATATGTTCAGCTTAAGTTCTTCCTTAAGCTCAGTCATATGTTCATTTCATAACATGTATAAGTTAACAAACTATCAGTAGTTGGTTACTATTATACAGCTTAAGTTATCTTTATACCTTAAGCACAATTCTGTTATAGCTTATATATATACATATTGGAAGCTTACTACTTTGGTTCTTATAAAGTATTCATTATAAACTATCAACAGTTTATACTATCACATTAATGGCCTTAGCTTAATTAATGTTCTATATACTTTTATTATATGCAGTAAATTGTAATAACCTTCTTTAAAGGCAGCTGTTATATTAACAGCAGGAATTCAGTTCAGTGCCTTCATGAAGTTCCCATACGGTTATTACAATCATATCACTTCAAATCACTAATTAGTAAAATCCAAAGTATATATAATCCCACCTCCTAATCCGTGGGATTCTACAAAACAAATAAGCATGAGTCAGGATAAGAAAAATATGAAATTTTTAGAGTAAAATTAATATTTTTATGCTTATCCTGACTCATGAAATAGCCCTCCGTCCTCCCCACTTAACACTTTGGATTTCCCTGAAAATTCAAATGTTGGGCTCAGTATATGAGGAGAGAGTGAGGCACATGGGTTCGGGTGGCGCCCTCGTTCCCGCGCTTGTGGAAGGGAGGTAACTCGTGGTGGGTACTAATGAGTGATTTTTTATTGAAGGGAACTTCAATTGGGAGATACAAGTGTTCCACTAGGTTCGCAAGAAGAAGAAGACAAGCAAATAAGCATGAGTCAGGATAAGTATAAAAATATTAATTTTACTCTAAAAATTTCATGTTATTTTAAATAAAAAATCTGTCATTTTATGAGTAGATAGAAATGACGGTACGAAAACCGAAAATACCGAATTTTTGGATTGAATTTTCGGTATACCGAACTGAAGGCAAAATATCGCGGTTCTACTAATACCACGATGTACCATTTCACCCCTACATATGTTTTTTTTTTGTGTCCCAGGATCACAATCAATGGAGGATCTAATGGCGGACTGCTGGTAGGGGCGTGCATCAACCAGAGACCAGACCTCTTCGGCTGTGCAATAGCACAAGTGGGGTCAGTTGTTTCAAGTGATGATGTCATACAATATGGCTGTTTTCTTTGCTTAAGTGTTGTTTAAGTTCAAGACTTTTGCTGTTTGTGTTGACAGGAGTGAATGTTTGTTTAGCTGACTGTTTGTGAAAGTTCTGACAGCTCTGTTTCCACCCAGGTTAATCCCTGTAGTGAGTAACTGGTGTCTCATTGTTTGTATTTTTATTCAGTTCTATGCCACAAACACAGAGAACATAATATTCAACTCAGCTCCTGATAAAAATACTGCGCTAGCTACAATGCTTTTGAAAAAGTCATGTGACAAACAACATATATAAATGTCTACTTTTGTATTATTGCTTAAAACAGAACTTCACAAATATCAGTTTTGTACCTGATTCCATCCTATTCCTATAACAAGCCAGATTTATCCTCCCACCTGCACACTCAGAATATCCCTGTCCTATGATGAGTGGTGTTTTACAAGATGAGGAATAGGAAAGGCTGTCGAGTAACAACGAAAGTTAAACTGTGACAAAGGACCATGATGACTATTTCCATAAAAGATCATAAAAATTTGATTGGAGTGACAAATGAAATAGGTATTTGGTAAGGGGGATTATGATGGGCTTGCATTTTGTGGCATGAATCAAAATGATCAAGTCATGGATTGTCATTAGGTTCCAGATATCAAGTCCTTAAGGAATTAATGTACTTTGATTAGGTCCTGTAGGAACCCATTGTCCTTGTCTTTACCTTCACAACAACCTGTTATTTGTCTCAGAGTGCTAGACATGCTGCGATTCCACAAGTTCACTATCGGCCATGCGTGGACTACAGACTATGGATCGTCAGATGATGCCGACGACTTCAAGGTTCTTATCAAGTGAGTCCAGGAACCTTACTGTTTTATATTTGTTTGTGAAGGAAGTTAAATATGCATGCTCTATTAATCAAATGTGGAAGGCAGGCTGACATTTAAAATTTACTGTTCAGGTACTCCCAACCCACTCACTCACTTTTTCCATATTAGCATCTTGGTTATAGTGAGATCTTCAGTTACTCCCCACAAACTCCAGGTTACAGTGTAGCATTGTTTCATGTAAGACCTCAGTTCAGATTCCCACATGGTAACAATGTGTTAAGCTCCCAGTTTCTGGTGTCAGGTACTCCCAGTCTACCTTGCTGGAATGTTTCAGGTACTCCCCAGTCTACGTTACACTGTAACTCAGTCAGTCAGTCAGTCTTGGTTATAGTGAGATCTTCAGTTACTCCCCACAAACTCCAGGTTACAGTGTAGCATTGTTTCATGTACTTCTCAGTTCAGGTTACACTGTAATGATGTTTCAGGTCTCCCCAGTCTACCTTACACTGTAATGTTTCAGGTACTCCCCAGTCTACCTTACACTGTAATGTTTCAGGTACTCCCCAGTCTACCTTACACTGTAATGTTTCAGGTACTCCCCAGTCTACCTTACACTGTAATGTTTCAGGTACTCCCCAGTCTACCTTACACTGTAATGTTTCAGGTACTCCCCAGTCTACCTTACACTGTAATGTTTCAGGTACTCCCCAGTCTACCTTACACTGTAATGATGTTTCAGGTACTCCCCAGTCTACCTTACTCTGTAATGATGTTTCAGGTACTCCCCAGTCTACCTTACACTGTAATGTTTCAGGTACTCCCCAAGTCTACCTTACATTGTAATAATGTTTCAGGTACTCCCCACTACACAACATCAAGGAACAGAAGGACCAGTACCCAGCCCTGTTGTTACTGACTGGTGACCATGATGACAGAGTTGTCCCCCTTCACTCGCTCAAATTCCTGGCACAGCTCCAATACACATTCAAGGACAGTGATGCACAGGTGAGCAATGTGCCCGCTCTATCATAACAGCTTGATCATACCTAAAGACGTTAAAATATGGTACTTGTTGGTCCCTGCCTGGCTCTCAGCATTAATGGGTACAACAAGGACTGGTCGGCTCAGAGTCAGTATAATGTGTCTGAGTGGGTATAATGTGTCTGAGTGGGGTATTCATTCTTAACTGTGACATGGTGTCTCAGTGAGCCAGCACTATAAAACCAGCTGAAGTTTGGACTAGGACAAGCCGCCACACATACACACACATGAGCGAAATATTCTTAAGTGCGACGTTAAACCCATTTCTTGTCATCTCACTCACCTGTGGTGTAAGGCGTTGGGTGGTGCATGCGTGTGAGCGAGTGCTGTATTCAGGACTAATGCCAGTTTGATGTACTGAGATACCATGCTGCAGTGTCTTGGACACCTCACTCCCACACAGTACACTGACCAGTCACACTTCACTCCCGGATACAGTACACTGACCAGTCACACCTCACTCAGACACAGTACACTGACCAGTCACACCTCACTCGGACAGTACACTGACCAGTCACACCTCACTCAGACACAGTACACTGACCAGTCACACCTCACTGACACAGTACACTGACCAGTCACACCTCACTCGGACACAGTACACTGACCAGTCACACCTCACTCAGACACAGTACACTGACCAGTCACACCTCACTCCCACACAGTACACTGACCAGTCACACCTCACTCAGACACAGTACACTGACCAGTCACACCTCACTCAGACACAGTACACTGACCAGTCACACCTCACTCAGACACAGTACACTGACCAGTCACACCTCACTCAGACAGTACACTGACCAGTCACACCTCACTCCCACACAGTACACTGACCAGTCACACCTCACTCGGGTCCAGTACACTGACCAGTCACACCTCACTCCCACACACAGTACACTGACCTGTCACACCTCACTCAGACACAGTACACTGACCAGTCACACCTCACTCCCACACACTACACTGACCAGTCACACCTCACTCAGACACAGTACACTGACCAGTCACACCTCACTCAGACAGTACACTGACCAGTCACACCTCACTCCCACACAGTACACTGACCAGTCACACCTCACTCAGACACAGTACACTGACCAGTCACACCTCACTGCAGACAGTACACTGACCAGTCACACCTCACTCAGTCACAGTACACTGACCAGTCACACCTCACTCCCACACACTACACTGACCAGTCACACCTCACTCCCCACACAGTACACTGACTAGTCACACCTCACTCAGACACAGTACACTGACCAGTCACACTCTCACTCCCACACAGTACACTGACCAGTCACACCTCACTCCCACACAGTACACTGACCAGTCACACCTCACTCCCACACAGTACACTGACCAGTCACACCTCACTCACTGACACAGTACACTGACCAGTCACACTTCACTCCCACACAGTACACTGACCAGTCACACCTCACTCCCACACAGTACACTGACCAGTCACACCTCACTCCCACACAGTACACTGACCAGTCACACCTCACTCGGGACACAGTACACTGACCAGTCACACCTCACTCCAGACACAGTACACTGACCAGTCACACCTCACTCCCACACAGTACACTGACCAGTCACACCTCACTCAGACACAGTACACTGACCAGTCACACCTCACTCAGACACAGTACACTGACCAGTCACACCTCACTCCCACACAGTACACTGACCAGTCACACCTCACTCAGACACAGTACACTGACCAGTCACACCTCACTCAGACACAGTACACTGACCAGTCACACCTCACTCAGACACAGTACACTGACCAGTCACACCTCACTCCAGACACAGTACACTGACCAGTCACACCTCACTCCCACACAGTACACTGACCAGTCACACCTCACTCCCACACAGTACACTGACCAGTCACACCTCACTCAGACACAGTACACTGACCAGTCACACCTCACTCAGACAGTACACTGACCAGTCACACCTCACTCAGACACAGTACACTGACCAGTCACACCTCACTCAGACACAGTACACTGACCAGTCACACCTCACTCCCACACAGTACACTGACCAGTCACACCTCACTCCCACACAGTACACTGACCAGTCACACCTCACTCCCACACAGTACACTGACCAGTCACACCTCACTCAGACACAGTACACTGACCAGTCACACCTCACTCAGACACAGTACACTGACCAGTCACACCTCACTCCCACACAGTACACTGACCTGTCACACCTCACTCAGACAGTACACTGACCAGTCACACCTCACTCCCACACAGTACACTGACCAGTCACACCTCACTCAGACACAGTACACTGACCAGTCACACCTCACTCCCACACAGTACACTGACCTGTCACACCTCACTCCCACACAGTACACTGACCAGTCACACCTACCGGTATCTCCCACACAGTACACTGACCAGTCACACGTCACTCAGACAGTACACTGACCAGTCACACCTCACTCAGACAGTACACTGACCAGTCACACCTCACTCCCACACAGTACACTGACCAGTCACACCTCACTCAGACACAGTACACTGACCTGTCCATGTTTTAACCCCTAAGTGCCATGCATGACATCAACAGTTACCATCTCTTGATGTCTTTTGGTATGAAGCACCTGGGAATCAAACCATGCGTTGCACAATCAGGTGCATTTGATCCACCTGATTTGAGATGCCGTTGAAGGATTGGCTTTGAGTGACTTGTTTTCCCTTTGTTCAAGGTCAACCCACTGATGGGAAGGATTGACACCAAGTCAGGACATGGTTTCGGCAAACCAACAGCTAAAGTTGTAAGTAAATGAGCGGCAACTGCTTTCAGTTTCTATATGGCTTGCCGATATCTATCATGTTTTGATGCATAAACATAATGCATCAATTCATCAGTACAACAAATTTTAAAGCAAGGGAAAGTATACAGATAATTATTGTTATTGTTGTTGTGTGGGGGTGGGGTTGGGGGGTTAACAGGGAGATAATAAATGGCCATTACTCAGAAGTGGTATTCCCAAAACCTACGCTAATCTCAGTCATTTGATTCCTCTGAGCAGTATTCTCTCCAACACAGATTGATATGTTGAATCTGCCTTTGTCCCTTTTTGATTATTAAACAATCGATTGTCAAATTGCCGAATCAAGGATTTTATGGACAGGAATACAGCATGAAGTCCACAGGTGATATATAGGGTAGGCATGTTGTAACATTCCTGATATTTACTGTTTCAGATTGAGGAACTTACAGATATCTACAGCTTCATGTACCAGACAGTTGGTCTCAAGTGGTCAGACTGACTACGGTCCAGACTCTGACCAGCCCGGTTGTCAAGGAAGACATGATACAAATCAGTGGCCAGTTTGATAAGAGAATGATTGTCTAAAGCAAATGCTCTAATAAAGATGAACTTGTTCTAAAGTCAAAATGACCCCTTCTAAGTCAGATTTATGATTTTGAAGCTTGTATGTATTGGATGATATAATTTTGGTGGGTGAAATGAGAAATGAAAAGTAATGGATATTTGGGATTTGGCTAAATGGCTATAACTCATGACCTACAGTAGCAACACAATTACTTTAACATAAGGTCAATGTTTTCATGATAATGTTGTCCAAAAGGAATTATACAAATGTTTCTAATAATGTGGTTTTACGCATCGTGATATGGTATTAAATGGGCATTTTGACATTTCCTGAAGTTGAATTGTAAAATAATGAGGTATTTGATGAGGTAAATTTTGTCTTAATCAGTATACAGTTCTTGGAAGCTGAAAGGTGAGAAAATGGGGGATTTATGATAGATTTGTGCTGAAATTCAAAGTAGCATTTTTTAATATCTTATGGGGAAGCACATGTGCTCTTTAGTGAGTGAGTTTAAATGGTATCGATCATGTTTAGCAATATCCGAGCAGTATCACAGCAGTTATAACCAGAAATGGGTTTCACACATAATACTAATATTTTGACTTGAAACTTGGTCTTTGGCTCAACAAGCAAGTACTTAACCACCAGGCTACCCCAGAGAGGGTTGAATTCCTTAAGATGATCTGTTGGTGTGGTCCAAAGCCAGACTTCACCCATTTCCCAAATTATGATGACGCAGCATGATGTAACTGGAATGATGTAAATACAGCTTCAAACCCATCTCACTCACTCACATTTTTTTTCTCCCAAATGATGCTTATATAATTGGGTTTTTGCTTACTTTCAGTATTGAAAGATTCATTTTTTTTATGCTTTTGATGTTATGCAGAACTCATTTGTTATTGAATACGGAAAATTAGTTTGGACATACGTGCTGTGTAGAAATATGGTGTAACTTGAGTAATAGTTTTCTTCTGTTATCTTGATTATGTAGGATTGAATATGATGATTATTTTAATCTTTTATCATTACATATCTCAAATGACATCAAGGTTTCACTGATTCATCTTTGGCAGGACTCACGAGTTTAGGGAGACGTAAGCTCCTAGCTATGTGTTGGACCAGAGACTGCATGGTCTCTGTATGAAGTGCTAACTGATCTGGAACAATGTGAGTGTAAATGTGTTATTCCATTGTACAAAGCTGGTGCTCTGTAGAGAAGAAGAGACTTGTGATGTATGATATCTGTGTAATTTGTGCTGGGTGGGTTGGCCTACCATCAATAAAGGCCACAATCGTAATACAGACTCTTTTCACAAACACATCGTGTTGTTATGTTTTGATGAAATCAGTTTCTAATAATGTGCTAAGGATAATACAACCAATATTGTGATTGATTAATGATCTTGTGTACATCTGTTTTATTGAAGGACTGCAGATGTCTAAAGATATCTCACTCCTAATTATTTTGTGTATATGACTTCCTTTGAAAGACTGCAGGCTTCGACTGATATCATAGCATCAAGTGTTCATGTGTATACCAAGAGCGGATGGTCGTGTGTTTGATCCCCGGCAGCTTCATACCAAAAGACATTAAAATATGGTACTTGTTGGTCCCTGCCTGGCACTTGGCATCAATGGGTACAACAAGGACTGGTTGGCTCGGAGTCAGTATAATGTGCCTGAGTGGGATATTCATGCTTAGCTGCAGCATGGTCAGCTAGCATAATAAAACCAGCTTAAGTTTGGACTAATACAAGCAGCCACACATACACCCATGCACGTAGTCTTATAAGCGAAATATTCTCAAGTACGACCCCATTTCACCTCACCTCACCTCACGTATACCTTAGTTCTGTCAAAGGACTGTAGATGTCTCAGTATAACATCTGACCAGAAAGCTGTGTTTCATGGTACACACCAGGCATGATGTTTGTCTTATTCTGAAGGAGACAATATTGTGGAATCTATGTTCAGTCTGTGGTACACTTCTGCCATACACATACGTGTGGTGCCCAGTTGACTGTGTGCCTGCATGCACGCTTGTTGAGGTCCAGACATACAGTGACCACTTGCAGAATTATCCGGGAGTGACACATGTTAGACCACACATGTGCTACCCCACCGACTCGCCATACTGTAACTGAACTCGATACCCACATCAGATATAGTATGGTGACTCTTGTGTCTCCGCATAGCGCCAGGCATGGACACATCAAGAACCATCTTAACGCCTTGTATGACACATCTAGGGATGAACCACCGGCAACTTCTCTCCAAGCAGATGCTCTATCCAGGAGACCATGGATGAGGCTACACTTGCACAATATCACATGATGACCAATGGTTTCCAATTGACTGTTTAACTTTGAAATCAGTTCTTCCAGCATGTGTAACCACAGACCTTCAAATCTTCTCATTATAAGAATTTATATGTAAACATATGTTCACACTGATAATTTGTTTTGTGCAACACCGCACTCAGTAATATTCAGCTATATGAGGGGGGTCTGGACCAGACAGCCCAGTGACTGACTGGGCGTTGCCAGATGAGAACACTAGACTATTAAAATCCCAGGGAATACAGTGTAAGGTTTGTTCTGGCAGATGTGAAAAATGAGAGAAGTCCACACCATAAGTGGCTCTGGGCAAGTCCAGACTTACTAAATACACTTGGATAAACGGTCTTGCTAAAGACAGTAATCACATAGGCGGATCCAGAAGGGGGGAGGGGGTCCTTCTCCCCCCCCTCCTTTTTTCCTGTTATTGCCCTGAAAGTATATGAAATGACCATTGAAACTCTCGTGAAAACGGGAACGGTGCACCCACCCACGCACCCCTTTCTCAAAAAGCTGTATCCACCCCTGAATTATGAACACATCCAAAGTGCAGCATCCGAAGCGCCCCCGCACGTCATTGCAAGAAGGACACAGAGCTTGTACAAATGTTTTATTTATTTTCTCCCTTATATAACCTACATCAAGTCACTGTAGCATCTCATGCAGCATATCATACGGCGGTATCATTCACAGAATGAAGAACAACGCTATTCTGTTAAATGGATACTCCAGACGGTATGACAATCCTTTGGCACGTCTCGAAACAAATGCTCGAAATATATCATCAGTTAAACAGTCATTTAAGAACCCAGAAGTTTTCAAAGCTTACCCCCAATCCACTTTCCTTATCACTAGAAATATTTTTAATACATGCTTACATCAGTTTCAGACGATATAAGACATGAATTTGAAAAATAAATATTAAACCGTCTTTATGTAATGATGTAGATCCTACACCGAGCTCCAAATGTTGATTTTCAGTGAGCTGGCCTGAGCGGGCACAAGTAATCCATCCGACATGCTCGCACGATTCTCTCTAGTTTCTTGAGCCAATCCCGTATCTGTAGCTGTTGGTCGTGGTTGTAGCACTTTGGGTTGCCGAAGTACGCTCCTTCAGCTGCCTCGCCCGCACCAGTAGGAATGGTCGCATTCTCAGAAGGAACACTCGTACATTTCTGCCCAGCTGAATATAGAAAAAGCGATCATTTGTGTTTTTCAGTAAATTCCCAAGACTTTGAACTGATCACATTTGTGGGATCACCCAAGTGTTAGTGTGACTTACCTACACTGTTGTCAGCGTTATTCTGGTGAGTGGGTTGGGTGGAACGTTTCTTTGGCCCAGTGTTCATCACGGCGTGGCAGTATAATGTATTAGGAAAGCTCAAAGTAATGCAGTTGTATGATTCTCAGACGTACACCGCTTTGTGAAACCCATAACCACGGTTACGGTGCTGACCAAGATAGAAACATAATCAAGACAAACCATGATTCGAACCCACGGTCATAGACGTTTAATGTGCATAGGGATGCAACTCTTAGACAACTGGGCCACCCGAGCCTCCGTTTCAGTGTCGACTATTGGCAGCAGCGTGCATCATCTGTACGATGCTGAATGAAATCAGGGTCCCGGTTCACTAAGCCTTCGTAACGTTACGACCTGTCGCAACTTTATAGTTTATCATAGGCTTACGAATGTCGCAGCGCTACGAAAGTTTTGTGGATAAAGAACAAGGGGAAGAAATTGACTCACTTTCACAAGGGCACAATGCTGGATGACATCCTTCACCTGGTATAGTTGTCGTCTTCTGGTAGCAGTATCCTGTGAAACAATAATGGTTACAATATTCCTGTCGAATACCATACTGTTTATACAACACAAAAATGAAACATACAACTTTATGGATGACAACTTCATATTTATTGCATAGAGCGACGTTTCGATGTAGATTCTTACATCGTTATCAAGCTAAAAGTGAATACAACCAGATGTAGAGGAGTATATATATGTCAGGGTAGAGACTGCGATCTGGTAGAATCTCCGATCCTACTAGTAGAGATTGCAATCGTAGTCTCTACTGGTAGAGACTACGATTATATGGAATAACCTATGCAAGCAAGTGCAAGCTTATGCAAGCAAGTATAATAAGTGGCGATAATGTTTTCCTATTATTTTCCAGTTATAATTGAACTTATTTATTGTTATCTTGTTAACTTTATTTGTTAAGTCTGTTTTGGAGTAAGGTATTTTGTTTTGGTTTTTTGATTGCAGCCTCTACTAGTAGGATCGGAGTTTCTACCAGTTGAATTGGAAAATGTACTGGTAGAATCTCCGATTCAACCAATAGAGACTACGATTACAATCTCTACCATATTATCGCAGTCTCTACCCTGACATATACACAGTATGTTTTGACAACAGCAGATTAACATTAACAACAACATGTAATTGAATAACAACTGGTACATAATTATGAGAGGCCAGTGGGAGACTAAGAACAACAAATTAAGCTGGGAACGAAGCCAATAAACAAGGGGGATTAAGTTGTAATAACAAGCTGATTGGATGCTTATAGAGTCTATAGTTTGATTAGTTCTTCATAGGTCGATGGTATGTAGTATCCTTGGTTTCTGTTGATCAAAGGTTTGTGGCGGCGGATTTCGATGGCAACACAGTGTAACAACATTATCCGACATATTGGAATGACTTAACTGCAAAGTTCCTAATTAAATGTATCACCAATTCTTTTATTCCATTGGTACAATGTGTGTGTTTCTTGCTGTGGTATTGTTGGACTATTGCTAAAAGCAGCGTAAAATCATACTCACTCCCTGTTATATTACATTTAAATCGTAAGGCATTACTAAATGGTAATACATGCAGCGTGTTTCTTACCATGTTTCCCGTAATGGTTTTGGTGGTCCCAGAGGATGGAGCCATCTTCAGCGTAACAACATCCCAGCTCACACTCACTCTGCATGTAACACCGCAGCTCCGGGGGGAATAGCGTGGCTCCCAGGGTGGTTTCTGGTATGGGTGTTGTTGTGATGGGGAGAGGACGAATGGGGTGACCCATGTGATTTGGAGGGTGGGGAACACCCCTTGGCCCGTGGGGTGGTGCCTGTCCTGCGTGGGGTGGAGGGTGGTGGCCCCCATGGTAAGGCATTCCATGGTAACCAGGATAGGGGGCGGGGCCCATGCCCGGATGGTATGGATGCATTCCGTATGGCGGAGGGGCATGGCCATATGGTCCTGGGTACGGGTACCCTCTGTGGGGGTAGCCGTGGGAAACGGAATTTGGGGCCTTGCCTGACTGGGGTAAAGAGTAGGGCGGGGGAGCGTATTGAGCCCCGGGGCTAGTTTGTGGAGCTGCGGGGGATATGCGGGTGCCCCGGATGCTGCTTTAGCCTGAGCATCAGCTACAGCCGTTGGGAAGCCAGGGGCACCTGTAAGTGGCTTTCTGTCCGGGTACTTATACTGGGCTGGATTCGTGCCTTGTGATAAGAAGCTACCTGCTTGATTTTGGATGGCGTTGCTGCCAGGGTATTCGGCTGTTTGAGTCGCAACAGACGGGGTTTTGGCCGGAGCGGGGACGTCAGCTCCCTGAGCAGGAGTGTCAGCAACAGCAGTTGCAGCTGCACCGGCGTCAGCAGCACCTGCTGGTCCAGTGAAGGTGCTAGTAGCAGCAGCAGCTGATTGAGCCTGAACGTCAGTAGGTGCTGGTTGAGCCTGACTGGGCGCAGGAGCAGGTGCAGGTGCGCCTTGAAAACTGGCTCCCGGCCATGCTTGGTCAGTGTGCGCTGTCTGATTCTGAGATTGGACAGCTGCTGCTGCTGCTGCCGCCGCCGCTGCCGCTGCTGCTGCAGTTGCAGCTGCAGGAGTTTGAGGATAACCGTGATCCGGGTAACCAGGGTAACCCGCAGGAGCCATGAAAGCAGAGGGAGCTTGAAATGGGGATCCCTGGGGTGGGTATTGACCCTGAGCATACTGAGTCGCTGCGCCAGGGTACTGCTGAGATGGGTACTGGTACTGAGGTGCCGGCTGCTGACCTTGAGGATAACTAGCAGATGCAGAACCGGGATATGCAGGCTGCGCAGAAGCAGAAGAATCTGGTCCTGGGTAAGGCTGACCGCCCTGAGGGTAGGCACTTTGGGCCGGAGCTGCGAAAGGATCAGTGTAAGCCGCCTCCCCTGGGGACTGCCCAGGAGTCAGCTGTCCTGCAGTATGGGGGGTGAACCCTGCAGCCTGGGGCTCCGCTCCTTGCTGGGGGTATGATATGGTGGGGTACGAGCCCTGTGCTACTGCACCAGAGTACTGTTCATTTACCCCAGGCGTGCCGTACGAGGGATGGGCTTCAGCGGGGTATCCCCCAGAGTAGGCGTGTTGAGCTTGGGGATAGTGGCCGCTCGGGGGAGCATACTGCTGGCCGCCGGGGGTTTGACCTTGAGATGGGACTACGCGAACTTCTTGTACTACTGCGCCTATAGAGACCTGGAAAGAAACACTGATAATCAGTATTAATTAGCAGATCACAGGAAACAAGTTTGAATTTGTAGAACATATATTGGTACATTCACATAAATCATTGAAAAGTATCTCAATGGCGTTTCAGCTTAAACTTGAGACCAAAACACTGTTTCACTTTAGTGAAATTCACTATATATCGGAAAATATAGTATAAGTTGTCCTGATACCGAACAATGGCACTCATCATTCATACTCAGTAAATCTCTGGACATAATGACATTTATAGTTTTGAATGAACCCACCATAACGTAACCCGTGAAGATTCTGGTTCGAACTGGTCTTCAGCAACCCATGTCTTAAGAGGCGATTGACGGGATCAGGTGGTCAAATTCGCTGACTTGGCTGACACATGTCATCGTATCCAAATAATATGTGTAGATCGATGCTCATGCTGTCAGTCACTGGGTTGTCTGGTCCAGACTTGACTATTTACAGTCCGCCGTCATATAGCTTGAATATTGCTGAGTGCGACGTTACACTAAACTCACTCACTCACTCACAATATTATCCACGTCCTTGGTGTTCCTTTGTAGATAGACACCTCATACACAATAGACACTATATGGCTGAAGTACTGCCGAAGTGACCGAAAACTAGTCACTCATTCATACACATTACCATTCACCTCGCACGAAGAAACATCTGTTTTTAGTAACACCATCGCATACATATCTCACCTAATAACATACATTTCTTGCATAATGGCTTACATCTCACATGCAATAACATGCTCTTTATACACAATGTCATAATGTCGCACGCAATAACACGCAGTTTGTTCATAATGGTATACATCTCGCACGCAGTGACATGCACTTCATACACAAATGTTATGTCGCACGCAATAACGCGTAGTTTTTACATAATAGCATACATCTCGCACGCAATGACATGCACTTCATACACAATGTTATGTCGCTCGCAATAACACGTAGTTTTTACATAATAGCATACATCTCGCATGCAATAACATTCACTTTATACACAATGTTATGTCGCACGCAATAACACGCAGTTTATACATAATAGCATACATCTCGCATGCAATAACATTCACTTCATACACAATGTTATGTCCCTCGCAATAACACGTAGTTTCTACATAATGGTATACATCTCGCATGCAATAACATTCACTTTATACACAATGTTATGTCGCACGCAATAACACGCAGTTTATACATAATAGCATACATCTCGCATGCAATAACATTCACTTTATACACAATGTTATGTCGCACGCAATAACACGCACTTGTTCATAATGGTATACATCTCGCACGCAATGACACACATTGTACGCAGTAGCATACATCTCGCTCGCAATAACATAGGTATTAAAAGCATGCTTCCGAAGCAATAGCATACATTCGGTATGCAATAACATACAAATTCACTTAATGACACACATTTTTCCGTCATTCATCAGTTGCGTTAATAATATCAGAAAGGTGTGCCGATAGTACAAGGAAGACATTATTATTTATAATTGTTTTATATTATAATTTATTATTTATACTTGTTTTCTGCAATCTGCGTGTTCAGTACCTACGCTAGACTACGGCTTTGTCTATGAAAATATCTAACTTTAATTGAAACAAATAACTCCATCTTAATTGAAAAGGAGCATAAGTGAGGTGGGAGGTTCTTATCTCTTATCTGTTGATGATGTGCTTCAGTGAATATACTTTCTCATGTCCTACTTGTGTGCAGGTTAGCTTCCCTATACCCTATTTGTTTCTAATAAGGATTTGGTGGTTACACTGTGGTTGTTTGTATGTCAACCTTGGTACTCCTTATCACTGACCTGCCTGGGTAACACTCATATTTTGCGAGGTTCCCGCTAGAATATTGCTGCATATGGCGTAAACCAACATTGGTTCATCTTCGCTGGTCTTGACATGTGATTTTACACGTCTTAACGAACCCTTTTCAACCCTGTTTGATGGTAAAAAGATCACTGTCAATGGTAGCTGAACAATGCTTTAGTTGGCAGTCGTGTCAGGTGGAATTCTGCAACGCCATTGGTTCATTGTTTCGAGGTATGTTAGGGATGATAGCAAATATCTTGTTTCAGTAGCCGTTAGCGACACGAGAACACATTAAACCATTAATATCAGGGCGACTCCTTAACAATAAAACTGCCATGCTCTCGGCATGTTGTCGAGGAATTTTCACATCATATAGTTTTAATTGCACTAAACATTTTAAAAACACAATTCTTAAATATTCTTAATGAGTATAATCCCTTACTGTTAAACATATGTATAGATTATATATAAGTGGCACTTATAGTACATACGCAGTCAGTTTTCGCTGCCTGACACGCCTCCTCAAAGATGCCATGTCATGTACATGGATCCAGCGTTAAAACGTGAATAAAAGCGACACGTCTTTTAGTTCGCGAATCCACGTATGAAAATATTACAGCATAAGATCAATACGAACAACTTACCATTAAAGAAAAAAGTACAAACCTGACTAAGAATTCCAACGGACAAAAATATCCCAAGATAAATGGACCCAAACCCCATGTCCGCCATTTTGAGAAAGTTGCTCCAGTGGGAGCTCCCCAAGACTGAAATGTTCACGTCGACCAGCGTTATGACAACTTGGCATTTGGCATGATGAAGTGCGCGGCTTGCCTGGCTGCCATAAACAGGGTTTTTATTGGGGCTTCAGTGCGTTGGGCTTTTACATGAACACCGTGTCCATCGCTTACATCACCAAATAGAAGCTCATTGAAATGTAATATTGAATAATGGACATCGCCCGGGGCGTGTGTCATGTCACAGACAAGGGATACTGTGTCCTCGCTGACCATTCGTCACAAAATGTCATACCTCTACAGACAACACAACCTTGGGTTGAAAAAAGAGTTGAGACTTGTAGGATTTCAAAATATGCATGTCCTTTGTAACAGAATGGAAACATGTGTCTCAATGGGAGAATGTAGAAAACAGATTTTGGTTAAACATGCACCGAACTAAGTAAGTCTTTCTCCTTTGAGCAGAAACACACATGCTATTTCAAAGATGGTGCACTTTACTTCTTGAACAAACTGAATACGTGCCATACGAGATAAACATTCACGATGTTGACAAGTGGAATCTTCGTGGTGTGTTACATCTCATGCACCACAGTCAAGTAAACCACGTGGTGGCTGTGATCTACAGCTACTGCTACTGCTACTACTACTGCTACTACTACTGCTACTACTAATGCTATTATGGATGTTACTACCGTTGTTTGTGTCCTGTTCCCCTCATCATCCATGAGATCTGAAAACAATCTGTTACGTTTTGCCCGTTTAGTGCATTATTCAGATCTCGTGGACACTGCCATATCCCTCGTTCTTTTCAATTTGAAAACATCGTATATTATAAATACAAAATCTAGACTGTTTTGAAGATAGGATTTTATATATATTAAAACCAATTTATGAAACTAATTTATGAGACAAACTAATTTCTCAAAATATTTTAATTTGATCTACCTGACCTACTGAGGGATGATGGACCGTCTGTGTTGCGACGTGATGATTGTCGCTTCATGCAATATGACGTCATGCTTGATGTCTTAAATAGATTGCCAGTGTTGAAACACAGACATGAGGTCTGTCCTCCGTGGCTTTACAGCTGCACAGTGGGTACACTAGAAAAACACGTTTGTGTCAAAGGCAGCTTCCGAATACGTCATGGATTAAGCCAGGGCTTGTAACAACGCAATACTCGATCCAGACACACTAGTTTCACCAGTTCCCGTGACTATTGCATGGCAACACACAATTTAGGTGTATAAATATGGTTTGATATCAATTGACGGTTCAGTAGCGAGAAGTTGTATTCACTTTCATGCATGGTTTGAAGTACGCAAAGACTTAAAATGTCGGTGACGTCGTATATGTGGTTGTAATACGTTTAACCTGATGGGTAACAGAAAGCATACAGCCATCTTTGATGGTGGTTGTAATACGTTTAACCTGATTGGTAACAGAAAGCATACAGCCATCTTTGATGGTGGTTGTAATACGTTTAACCTGATGGGTAACAGAAAGCATACAGCCATCTTTGATGGTGGCTAAGATGCAGAATGAAATGGTGTTTTTCTGTCTACCAACATTCTGATTTTCGGTAGAACTATATGCAGGCAGGCAATTCACAGAGCATATTGAAGTTTCTAGTTGTTTGCAATAATATAGATGACTACATCTGTGATTAGATACTTTAATTTAATTTTATTTAATTTTGACTTGAATTAAAACGAGTGTGCAATCTAAATGTACCGTAAATTAGACACCGTTTAGAAATACACTCGCACTAATAAGAACCGTATCTAAGTCCACTACCTCTGCTTTCAGTTGGGGATGCGTGTCTTTAGAGATGCTGCTGCAGGACATCATTTTAGAATCTGTATCTTATTGTTTCTTGCATTGATGTAAACTGTACCGTGTGAGAACAGTCTGTGGTCAACTACGAATGTTGAATTTATACGCTTATATATACTGAAGCCTTCTGCATTAGAGGAAGAAGAAGGTTCTATTTTGTATAAAGGCCATACATGACCCATCGTACAAGGTGGTACAATAGTGATTTTGGTTACCATTTTCATACAACAACGCTAACAGGAGCAGAATAAACATGTTCTAAGAACTTGACAAAATTATTTATGACGTTAATGTCGGATGATGTACATATGCTGTGGAGTGAATAATAATATCCATGGACCGTTTTTGGAATGTAACGCCGACGCATATCCTCATAACGTTTACAAATATAAACAATATGAATATCATCCTCAATACTTTTACAGTGTTTACATAACACAATATCATCATTGCAGGTGGCAGTACCTCTTCTTATATATTTGATACCTAGTGCATTACACCCTGATCTAAATAATGTGAACAGACGCTTGCACTTATTACTTATGTTCAATGATAAATATTTTTCACAGGTCAACAGAGATTATGGGACTACCCCCATTTCACTGGACGGCGGCATGGAAGGATCGTCGCGGATGTGCGCGGAATGGAGTCTACGGATAGTGTTCGGTATTTTTGCACGGAAAATGGGTTAAAATCCTACGGATAAATACGCGGATTCGACCAAGGAAGCTCAATTCTGCAAGTGAAGACGTACTGGAAACACTTCAAGAAGCTCCCCAAAATGGACCAAACTACAGAGAAGGCTGACTTGGAGTTGCTCCACCTGCTGTTGTTGTTTCACGAATAGAACATATACAACGTGACATAGTCATACACCTCAGAAGACGGCAAAGGCGAAGGGCATACACGCCCAAACGCTTCTGGGTACGTCCATGGCTGAGGGTGGAACGAAGAATTGGTCTTGAGAACTATGACAATCTCATGGTAGAGCTCCGTTTCGAAGACAGTCAACCCTTCTTCAATTATCTCCGGGTCCCACGTAACCTCTTTGACGAGTTGCTCACGGTCTTGGACCCCGACTGACAAAGAAGGACACCAACTTCAGAAGTGCACTCAGCGCTGGTCTGAAACTAGCTGTCACCTTGCGCCACCTGGCTTCTGGCGACAAGTATCCAACTCTGGCATATAACTTCAGGGTATCTCGCCACACCATCGCAAGCTTCCTACCCGAGGTATGTCAGGCTATCATCGATCACTAAAAAGACGAAGTAATAAAGTGTCCACATACTGAGCAGGAATGGAGATCATTCAGCTGGGAGTTTCAGGATAAATGGAACCTACCTCATGCCATGGGAGCCCTGGATGGGAAGCACGTCGCCATTCGAAAACCACCATCAAGTGGAAGCCTGTACCATAACTACAAGGGCTTCTTCTCCATCGTTCTGTTAGCACTGGTAGACACCAACTGCAGGTTCCTATGGATAGATGTCGGTGGGATGGGCCACATGTCTGATGCCCAGATGTTCAACGACTCGGGGCTTAAAGAATGCATCGACGACGAAACCACCAACTTCCCCAGACCTGAACCACTCCCATACAACGACGCTGACACGCCATACTTCCTTCTGGGGGACGATGCTGATTCCCTCAGAAAGTACTTCATGAAGCCATACTCCAGACGAGGCCTTGCAGAGGAAGAATTGGTGTTCTACTACAGGATATCCAGAGCACGCAGAGTCGTTGAGAATGCCTTTGGCATCTTGGCCAATCGCTGGCAATGCCTTCTATCTACACGGCAACAAAGACCAGACGTCGTGAGAAGTATGGTTGAAGCTGCTGTCTGCCTTCACAACATCATGAGGACGAAGTACAATGTCAACCAGGATGCACTTGTACACAGAGAAGACGATGACCACAAGATCATCCCTGCATTATTTGGCCAATGTGATGGGTCCCAACAGAGACACTGTAGAGGCAAAGAAACAGCGAAACTCTACTTCAACAGTGATGTGGGACAAGTTGCTTGACAACCATATGTCATCAGACAGGCTCAAGTGTAATTGTGCCGAGATTGATGGACGCTACCTCACCTCACTCAGTGGACTCTTTATGTATGCTATGTTCTCATTTACTCATTCTTGCATTAAAATGTTGTTAAAATGTTTCCTTTGTCATGTTTTTCTTACAAGTTATGTCGGGTTTTGAAGCTTGTGACTTATGTGTTGATAGCTGGACATCATCACCATTCAGTGCCGGACTAAAGAATGTGAACACAATAAAAGTGAGCTTAATGTAAACTGGGCTTCTTGCTAGGGGCAGTGGCGGCATCAGTTTCAACAACACCAGCAACATCTGATTCTGCATCAATGTCATGTGCATCAGGACCTCCCTCTCTTGGTACCAATCTCCTTCGCTCTTGGCATAGTGACTTGCAGCAGAGATGTCTTGCAAATGAATGGCAGACAGTCAACCGCAAGTGTTCCGTATTTTCCTATAGTCTTCCGAAAACGTTCATTGTGTTCCGCGACCATTCCGTAATCGTTCCGTGAATGTTCCGTGAACGTTCCGTGAACATTCCTCCATGTTCCTCGTTACGTGCGTAATTCTACCGCGGTGTTCCGTGTGTATTCCGTGCCTTCCGTGTGTGAGCGAGGGTATTCCGTTTTCATCTGTGCGTAAACGCAATTAATCCGTGGCCGAATTACATCACACGGAAAGGGAAGGAAGGTTAGCGGAATACTCGCAGAAGACTTGCGGTATGTGCGTTCATATAAGGAATGAATACGAACAACTTGCGGAAAGGGCGGAATTTATACGGATTGACCTTTGACCCCGCGGAACACCGACGAAAATATTTTCCGTGAACTTGCTTTTGAACATGTTCAAAAGCTCGTTTGCGGAAAATTTTGGCCTACCGGAACATTACGGAAGAAAACTGCATTCCCTGGAGGAAAGCAGCGGAAGATGGGGGAATATTTTCGGACAATTTGCGGATGGGACCATTTTTGCTTCCGCAATTATGCCGCGGCCCAGTGAAATGGGGGTATTAAGAAAGACAGCGAAGGAACATCTAGGGAAAAATGCCACTCTTGCATAGAACAGTTGTTAGTTCTTTCAGTAAACATATCTAGAAACATTTTTGTATCACCGACATCTTGTGAAATCCAAGCAGTACCAAAGCCAAAATATAATAACAAATCTCTGTCATGACGGGCCCATGTGGGACGAATTCAACAGATAATAAAAATCGATAACATTGATATGGATATCTACTTTGATGCATTCTTAATAATCTTAGCCAGTATTTAATACATCTGACATAATAAACATTGCTTAAGGGTGCCCTCCCACATTCCCCATATGCAACAGCATTAGATGATCTGTAACTAATCTGAAGTAAATATTTGCAAAATTTTATATGGACAATTTCAATACTTTCATTTATATGCTTGTTTGTGTTCCAGCTATATGTATCGCCTCCGTGGTGTAGTGGTTAGAGCGTCCGCCCGGAGAGCGGAAGGTCGCGGGTTCGATCCCCGACCGCGTCATACCAAAAGACGTTAAAATATGGTACTTGTTGGTCCCTGCCTGCCGCTCGGCACTAATGGGTACAACAAGGACTGGTCGCCTCGGAGTCAGTATAATGTGTCTGAGTGGGGTATTCATGCTTCACTGCGGCATGGTATCTCAGTGGGCTAGTACTATAAAACCAGCTTAAGTCTGGGCTAGTACAAGCAGCTGCACATACACATACACACGCATGCACGTCGTCATATGAGCGAAATATTCTCAAGTACACGTAAAACCCAATTTCACCTCACCTCTCCTCCAACTATATGTAAGGCTGGACCAGACCATGCAGTGATTGTCATCATGAACATCGAGCCATACCACGCGACGTTATTAGTCGCATCTTACCACAAGTATGGATTCCTTAAGGTCGATTCTAACCAGGATCTTTCCACGTCTCGTGTCTACGTTACACGTTGAATTTCAATATAGTTCAAAATAGTAAAAAGTCAAAGTCAACTTTGACTAAAACTAAACTGTACTACATTCTGTGTTTTTCGGCACTGAGGTGAGTGGTGAAAGTGTTCAACTCCCTATATATGGTCACGATGTGTGAAGGTTATTTCTGGTTTTCCGGGGCGGTGGGGGTAGCCGAGTTGTTAAAGCCTTCGGTCGTCATGCCGAAGGAATGGGTTGGTTGATCACGTGATCCTTGTGAATTATTGCTGAAAGTACCGTAAAACCACGCACTCGGGCTGGTGTGGATCCGGCGAGGTATAGCTGATAAATAAAACCGACCTTTTTATGTGATGGAATCATCATATGATGTGTTATGATGAAATGAATAGATAGGTCGGTAAAACATTACCACATATCTTCAACTCACGTGCAGCGAAGGCGCCAAGCATATTGCGGTATAAATTTTATAATTGCAGTCTCTACACTCTAGCTTTCTGGGCTGATTTTATAAAAAATGAACTTTACTTGCCATGGTAAGACACATACTTTCAGAAAATACACGATGACAAGTTAATGGCGTGCATGACGCAGGGGAGTCATTCTCAAAAGATGCAGCTTTTTCCCGTATCAGCATTAAAACCTCAATAAAACCGTCAAATTTTATCAGTGTGTTAAAAATCTGATTTCTCCTTCATTGCCAATATCTTATCTTACTTGGGAATTTTTTATCACAAACAAAAGGACCAAAGACATCATGTGTCTGCTGCGCACAATTTCATTTAAGAAGATATTGTTTCTGGAGTGGTTGAAAAGAATAGACCTATTTCTCATTCCTGGTAGATCCTAGACCTAATTTTCCACAAGTATGTTTTTCTCTTTGCATTTGGAACCATAATTATAACATAAGAATGTTGTCTGAACTGGGAAAGGGACTAGTCATTATTTTTCTCTTAATTTACTCTTACAATTTGTCTTTCATATAACAGACCATCAGTGTTACTTCAAAGAAACATCAATATTGATTAGTCACATATTCTTTTATTTTAATGTCAATGTCATTAACAGTTGAAATGCGGTAATGATCTAAGGTTTATATATGCTGAGGTTGAAACACGTTTTACACTTTCTTGTCTGAATGCTATCATACTAATTTTTGTCAAAGCTCGTTATTGGAAAGACAAATTCTGTAACTGCAAAGACAATTTAATACAAATTTGAAAATATACGTTATCTCTGGTAGGTCTTTGTTCATCTAGATTTGCTTTGTGCTCATATTAGGACCTTTAAGATAATATTTTGAGTAACAATTCATATTTTCCCTAAAATTTGTATCCTATATCATTATGGCTTTCAAAAATAGCTGTTACTTTAAAGACTTATGTTGTTACTGCAAAGACAGTTTTAATACTAATTATCTTTCATTTTTGTCTTTCTTTCCTGATTCATTCAGATGAGCATCAAATATATGAGATAAGATTACATTATGCTTCACAAAGAAGTCTGTTCTAGAAACTTTGAATGCTTTTATGCATTTTCAAAGACTGTTATTTGAAAGACAGTGTGTGACTGTGACTATAATAGATATTACATCGTAATGATCAGTCTGCAAAACCATCAAAGTGTTAACATCTAGTTTCCTATGTAAAGTTAATGTGTCATAATCTGAAACAAAATTTCAATGAAACATTCATTTCTGTATGTTTTTCAGAACTGGCAAGATGGGTGTGACAAGTGCGGGAGATTAATTTTAGTGATTGATTTGTTACTTTGACAGCTTGAGGGAGATGATCAAAACTTTGATACTTTTGTTAGTTGCAAAACTGTTTGACAGTTTGAGAAATGTGATCCAAATATGGATACTTTTGCTAGTTGCAAACCTGTTTGACAGTTTGATAAATTCATGGCAAATTACAGTCAAACTTGTTGTGAAATGAGTTTCTGAGTTCCTAGAAAACAAATTTCAAAATGGTAACTGCTACTTGTATTGTTGTTTATTCAAAGCACAATGTCTAAAGTTTTTATTGAACACCAGAATTTAATTCTTCTTTGTCTTCCATCAACTTGATCTGAAATGTCTTTCCAGTAACACTGACATGTTTTGGGGGTAACACATAGGCTAAGTTCCAAAATATAGACTATATATTTTGCGCTTCAAGTATGGTAAAAACAATACTTTTATCAAATGATTAATGTGAACCTATCTTATCTTCACTGCCATAGATGTACATTGTATTCTGATCCTAACTCAAATATACGATTGAATTGTCTTCTCTGTAACAAACATGTCATTGTTACTCGCCTTATTTGGAGATATATATATAACATGTAACACTTACTATACTTCTGAGGGTAACAGGCAAAAAAACTCTTCCTTTCATTACAGATAGATCAAAGATATTCGCTACAATTAAATAGTTTTTCAAATATATACTCCTCACAAAAAGTTAAGCAACAAGTATTTTTTTCCACATATTTTCTTCATGGGTATATGAAGTTTTTACTTGGCATATAAGCCATGCAGGAGAACCCTTTACGATTGATGAACTTAAAGCATTTCCCATATTGTTTTTCTGATAACATTGTTAGCACCGCCTGAACGCAACCACCCTCAAAACTCACATGCAAAATGCATGGAAAACATGTGCTATACACGTCGCACATGCGTTCTGATTGCGTTAAAACTGCCAGCAACGACAAATTGTTGACAGTAACATTTGAGAAATGGCTAGGCGTCACTTGACACCAATTGAAGTTGCTCAAATTGTTGGAATGGTGCAGGGGGGGGTCAGACCCAGAGTGCTGTTGCCAACCATTTCAATGTTCATCGAAGCGTCATCTCCAGAGCGATCACTCGTCACCAACAGACCGGATTGATGACTGAGAGACCACGCTCAGGTCGTCCAAGGGTGACAACTCCCAGAGGACCGATACCAGGCCACCCTAGCCCGGCGGAACAGGTTCACCACAGCCAGATCTCTCCAGAATGACCTCCAGAGAGTTGCTGGGAACAGAATCTCCACACAGACAGTGAGGAACAGACTCCATGCTGAAGGTCTCAGGTCCCGAAGACCAGTGCAACGTATCCCACTGCCTGCACACCATCGTCAACAGAGACTGAATTGGGCTAACCAACGACGTAACTGGAGAGTCAATCGCTGGCGTAATGTTCTCTTCACAGATGAGTCAAGATTCTGTCTGGACTTCAATGATGGTAGGGCTCGTGTGTGGAGAAACCGTAACGAACGATACGCCAACTGTACGATTGCTGAACATGATCAGTATGGAGGTGGGAGTTTGATGATCTGGGCAGGAATCCAAGTTGGACGACGAACTGATCTTGTGGTCATCAGACGAGGTACCATGACAGGTGTGAGGTACCGAGACGAAATTGTCACACCTGTGATCATTCCGTGGGCTCAGCAAGCAGGTCCTAACTTCATCTTCATGGATGACAATGCCCGTCCACATCGAGCAAGAGTTGTCACTGATGTTCTTCAGACCAACAACATCACCCATATGGACTGGCCTGCAAGGTCTCCTGACCTGAATCCTATTGAACATGCTTGGGACATCCTCGGAAGGCGTGTGTACGGCCTCCACGTTCGTCCTCAGACTCTGGATCAGCTTGAACAGGCATTGCGGAGAGAATGGCAGAACATTCCACAACAGACTCTAGACAGACTCATCTGGTCAATGCCTAGACGTCTTGAAGCGTGTATTCAGGTCAATGGTGGCCATACACGTTATTAAACTTTGGATCAGTGCTCAAAACTGACAGTAAAAGTGTTTTCAGACATTTTCATACCCTGATGCAACACATTTTGCACGGCTTTTTCAGTGACACTGTTTTTGATGATTTGCAAGTCAGTTATTGTTCAATGAATTTTGATTTCTTTGTTGGAAAAGTGTGTGGATATGCTTTATCTTTGTTATGTTTGATTCAGTTGTAATGATCATGAGTAAAGGCATATGTACTGACCAAAAATACACTTGTTGCTTAATTTTTTGTGAGGAGTATATTTGAAATATTTTCTTTCCAATAACATTGTGTGACTTTGGCATAACGATACTGTCTTTCATATAACAGGACTAAAAAGTAAATGTTTTATGATCTAAAGAGTAAGACATTGTCAGAAATCACTCAGAAATATCAAAATGTTCTCTTCAAATCACCTTCAGTGCAATGATTTTTGAGGGGAGACAGTCGAAAGGATATCAAGAGTATTGCAAAGTTACCCACAGATTTCACTTTTTCATCTGACACAGTGTAGAACAGGTTTATTTCATAAAATACAATTTTAGAACTGATTTTTTAAGTGAAACAAAATAACACATAAGGTAGATTTTACAATGCAATAATTTTACCAATGTATTTTTAAGAAAAAATTGGATATTACTGTTGTTACAGGAAAGACATTGTGTCTTCGTCCTAATTAGTTTAATTAGTCTTCATAAAACTATGTCACATAATTAAGCCTCAAATACTATTGATATGTGAACCGTAACAACGTATCTTGCCATTTGTGAAAATAAAGATTGACAATTTTGTATTTCAATTATGTCTTTTGTACACCAAATAGCTGCAACTTTTGAGAATGACTCAGGGATGTCCTGTGGCCATCGGTGAGGTAAAGGACCGTCCAAAGCCAGGAACACCAATAATCGTGATGACCGTGTCCTAATCCGTCTGACAATACACCAATAGAATGCAGAACTTAGCTGCCAATGGAGAGTGGAATTCCGACTCAGAATGATGCTGCGGGCTGCTGTCCCGAGAGAACGTCATTAGAAGTCAGATAGGCACAGACAGGAAAGTCTGGCGTGGATCCAACACCCAGAAAACAGCAACACGTTACCGACGCATATGGAGACGTCTTACGAGGCATCGCCATGAGATGATCCATGTAACTGAACCCTCAGTGGTGACGTAGTGATGTTGCTGGGTTGTTTCGTATGGCTGCAAGTTGGGTCTCATTCCCTTACCTGGGATACACAATGTCAACGTTATCAATAGGAAGCAACGGATACCGCCGTCGTGCCACATTTTGATAACCATCCCGTTTTTCGTCCGCCAACACAAATTTGTAGAACGCCATCGAAACATTACAAGGAGCCTGATATGAACCCCATCAAACATCTCGGGGCCTATCTTTGACGCCTGGTTCGACAAATATCCTCCGGTTAAATATCGGCATGAATCCGGTGACACTCCATGAGGAATGGCAGAGGATTCTGTTACTGACAATTCCATGTTCGACAGTCTGAGGACACTGGCAGATGTTACCAAACGAAGTTTGGCTGCTCCAGGTCTTGATGTAGTCGCCAGTGATGGTTTCAGAATAAAAAATCTTAAGGTACCATTTTAATATGCAGAATTTGGTTTTCAAATCACGTACAAGTAGTGTTTTCGTATAGACATAAAATAGTGGGTGGTGTTTGATTAATGTTTATTTGTATATTATTATTTCTAATTCTGGAATCAATCCATTAGTTGTATATCTTTTGAAGATCTTATCTGACAATGTTCTTGTTATAACTTTTTTTGACATGAAGTACTCACTGTGTGTTCCTTATACTGCAAATGAGGTGGTGTTAGGCTCACTTCTTTTAGTGGAGTCCCATCTGGATTTGAACCTACACCCTCAGTCATATACCTAATCGCCAGTAGACGAAGTCAAACCCACTCAGCCACCACGAATATTACCCCACAAGTACTCGAGTCTGTACTTAAGCGAGAAAGTATAATACTAAATACAGCACTTTACATCTGACCACTTTCTAAATGACATTGTGCATGAACTTAAACTTGTCAGAAGTGAATAAGATGAACAGTTATCAAGATTCCGTTTTTGTTGAAGAACGTTGGCTGAGTGGGCAAGACTGCTGACTTTGTGTGCTGGCAATATGGAGCCTGTGGGTTAAAATCCAAGATGTGAATCAACTCCCAAAAGATGCTAGAATCTGCCCTTCACTGAGAAAGTGTAATCCCAAACATCAATTCTCAATATCAAGCTATTGCATGAACCAAACTAACTGTTTTGAACTGTCACCTTGCATTTAGTCATCCCATTGTCTCAACGTTCCTCATGGTATTGAGCTTATACATCCACCTGTGTCAGTGTATCAAAATTTCTCACTGTATCGACATGTCTCATTGTATGGTGTTTGTGGTCCCAGAATAGTGAAGCTGAACAAATAACACAAGTCAAATTTGACATGGGATATTTCATAGATTTTTCAACACTGACATATTACAATGAGTGACATGAAATATTTACAATTTCATTTGCAATAAATACATCTGTACGCATGGTATGTAGCCTTATTTCATTAGAAAAGAGATCAACAGAACGTCAGTTGACATAGAAAATTCCTACAGCAAGCAAAGTGCCTGCTGGACAACCATGTGTATATTACAGGCACAAACCATTCACTCCACACGCTGTAGGGACTTCTTTGTTTCACCCAGATAACCCCCCACCACAGCTTACCCAAATCATATGCATTCATTCATTTGCATCATTCACATTACATGCAACATAAAGTTAACTTCCTTAATTCATACTTACAAAATAACAAAATTGAAATGCCCATAGAAGATACAAGTCCAGTAATGTAATGTTCTTTTCAAATAATCTCACTTGAGTGAGACCTTAATTTCTACCCATGTTTAAGGACTCGTCTTCTCATTATGTAGAGGGGAACAGGGCTTTCACAGAAAATAGTAATAGGGGCCAAGAAAAATCCATTTCAGAAAATGTTCAGATGTTATCAGATATTCTTCATAAATGATGTATACACATGCCTAGTAACAATCCACTTGAACTCTCTTACCCCTAGTTCCCAGGCCCCTTTCTTAGGAAACAAGGCAGCTTCCTTAATCCCTTACAGCTAAAATTCAGTCTGAGTCAGATAATCTAGTGATTGACATCTAGAGCATCCATTTACACTTTTAGGATACAATTACATCCATCAACCAGCAAGTCTGACCTACCAATCCCATTAGTCAACTCTTATTGACAAGCACCCTCGAGACAGGTACTGAAAGCTGTACCGCACTTTATATTGCACTTCATTCTGAAGCCAGTGTCCTCTCATTTTCAGCAATATTGACTCTGATTAATATAGAAATAACTGAATGTTGAAACTTATCATTTACATCCAAACTGTAACCATGGCAAACATCTACCCTAACTTGCCTTACCATTTCCTTGGACTCAATGACAAGAGACAAATTAATAAAACTTGTGGACCAAGCTGTTTCATTTACTGTCATCCTCCTGACAGAAAGGCTGCTCCAAGCTTGTCTATTCAGTTATTTGTTCTTGGTTGTGCAATTTAGCTGCCCACTGACGAGTTGAGGGACTCCAACATTTTCTCTATAGACTCTAGGATTCTCATGTCTCGTAGTTGCTCCTCAGACAGGTACGACTACAAAGAAAAAATCATTCACTTCAAAGCAAAGTAACAATCAACCCAGTGCAATGATATTAATCAAAGTGTAATCAACTAACCCACAAGTGTGGATATCATTAGATGTGAGGGTATTTTTAATCACAACAAAGTCTATCACTACAAAGCAATTTCTTAATTTCCCGGGAACACTCATGTTTGATATAATGAACTAAAAAACCCATCAACTATCCAAACCCATTTCTAATGCAAGTGAACCTTTAGACACCATATAAAAAAGCAGGGATCATCTGCATGAGTGTTTCAAAGGGTCTAACTAACCTTGTATTTAAACACTATCTGCTCGGCAGCCCATGCTGCGTACTTGCTGTTCATCTGTTTCTCCTTAAGGCCTTTCCCTGTACTCATGGCTAGACTGGTGGCAGCCTGCAGTGAGAGAACATACAGGTTGGGAGTTCAAGTTGGCTTACAACCTTGAGTAAGTTTGTTGTTCAGGAAAACAGTCCCCTATAGTGCAGCTATATGGCTGTGATCCATCAACAATTGAGTCTGGACAGGAAGATCTAATGGTTGATATGTTGAACATTGATATACATGTACACAACTGTCATACAATGACATGCATCAACCAATAAAGCAAGGTAGACCTCTATACCTTGCTCATCACCTCGAACAACTACAAGCATGTGTTTCTGAAGAGCAATTCTAACACAATTCTAATCCTAAATTTCTGTGGTTTTGAAAACACTACATGTATTCATTACATAAAAATTTATACCCATGAGAGATCACTAACAAGGTTTCACATTTTAAATTTCAGAGAATACAAAAAGGAAACATTTCATGAATATCTAAAGAAGGGAAATGGGGGTATTTCACCATTCTGCAGTAACATTATTATATCCTTACCAGGAACAAGCCATAAAGTGCCCGGGTGTTGTTAGGGTTGAGCTTCACAGCCTGGGAGAAATAGGCTCTTGATTGTTCCATGTTGTCGTTTCCACCTTGCGTATATCTTATCTGTAAGTGTGGACAAATCATCATCATCACCATCATCATCAAAATAGTTAAACATACTTCAAACAAGGATTGGCCTCAATTTGGAAATGGCGGAAAGCAGTCATATGGACAGCAGTTGAAACAGCAGACTGTCAGCCAGGCACAAATTTGTAGCATGTTCATCAAAACAGACAAAACTTTAAGAGGTGTAAAATGTACAAGCAACATCAACTGCTTTGAGAAATTCTTTGAATGCAAGGAATATAAGAGTTGCTTCCCTTAGTAGTGTATTTTGGAGCGAGTTGTTAATGCTGAAATTGGCTTAGTAACTTGCTGATAAGCTGATTATTCTTATTTCATGTATTCTTAAATATGGGATTATTTTTTCTGTAAACCAATAATGAAACCTTTAGAACCCAGTATCAGTTAACTATAATGAAATCAAATAACATGATCAGTGGACCTAACAGTCAAAAGACTTTTTACATCACTCACTCTTAGTCTTTTCACATAATTTCCATAAAGTGAGTGTGTGAGTGAACATGCTTTTAAGCCGCTTTTAGCAATATCATGGTGGGGGACACCAGATATTGGCTTCACACATTGTACCCATGTAGGGAATCGAACCCGGGTCTTCAGTGTGTAGACCCGGAAGCCTGTCAGTATATAGACGACCTTCGATTTTTTTCTCTCGGCTCTCATCCTACTCTTTCTTGACAACTAGCCAGTTGACAATGTTCCAGTGCCACATTACCTCTGCATATTTTTGATGGAAGAGATGATTGTGAGGATTTGACATGATGAGTTCTTCCACACAGAATGCTGCATTGTTGTAGTCATGTTCCTCGAGGTACAGATCACAGAGTTCCATCCACGCTTCATAGTCCGTCATAAACCTACAGACACCACCACATTTACAATACAGATACAACAGGACTTGGTACAAAGTAAGAAAATGTAAACCATGTTAATTTGTATTTGAGTCAAACTTTGGAAATTGTAACTATAAGTTGTATACATGTATTCATAACACTCATCCTATCTACATAAACAAGAACTTGGCAATTTTGTGGCAATACACGTTTCAATGAGAAGAGAGAAGTTCACATGGGCTAGTGTTTGTAAACTGGCCTTCCTTACTGACAAGACATCACCAACACTGCATTAATTCTCAAGGTAATTAAACACTTAAACGTATACCTTGATCTCCTCATAGGACAATATTCACACCAAAGCAAATGACAGTAAAACAAATTCCAATCCCAATCCAGAATGTCCGACTTCCCCAAATCTACAAAAGTAACTGTAACAAAATCCAATTTTTAAACACTATGACAATTTTCTCAATTTTACTGATCATGGCACTTAGATTGAAATACTAAATACATCCATGTCAGTAGTTATTTCTGATGGTACAGGCACTCACTTCTTGAGGTATTCATTGAGCTTCTCTATAGCTTCTGTAGTTTTCTGTTGAGCTTTAAGTATGGCTACTTGTCTCTTCCTGGCAAACTAAAACAACAACACAGAGTGAGAAGTATGTGCAAATCTAAAACACACTTGGTTGGGTGAGGAATGAAAACTCAATTGTTGTATAGAAATAATCACTGAAGAACAAACACACAAGATATCCAACCAACAACTCATATGATGTAAAGACTTACCATGTTTGTGCTGTCCTGTTCAATGATCTTTTGGTACATGTCGTCAGCCTTTTCATACCTGGAGTGAAGGTTGACAGTAAGAGAATGTATGTTTAACACAGCACTCAGTATTACACGTACATGTCGTCAGCCTTTTCATACCTGGAGTGAAGGTTGACAGTAAGAGAATATATGTTTAACTCAGCACTCAGTATTACACTAGCTAATTTAAAACAGCCATCATGATAATAGTCAAGACAGTCTAAAGACTGATATTATGACTGACTGAGTGAGTTTGGTTTTACGCCCCTTTTAGCAATATACCAGCAACATCATGGTGGGGGACACCAGAAATGGGCTTCACACATTGTACCCATGTGGGGATTCGAACCCGGGTCTTCGGCGTAACGAGCCAACGCTTTAACCACTAGGCTACCCCACCGCCCGACTGATATTATGAGTAATGCTCTATGTTATGCAGGTAAGATGACCACTAGCAATCAATCACTGAACCCGACATACTGATTGAGGCACCTTTTATGACCAGCAAATGCAGCTTTAACGCAGAATCCCTACAGGGTAAAGGTGATTATAACAACATACAATCAACCAAGCCACCGAGCCCGACCACCCAATCCATTCTGTGTCTTATGGTCAGCATACATTGCTGGGGAGGACATTTCTTGACAATGGATCAGATTTGTGTATCACCATACCCCTTGTATATATTTACAAAACACATCTATGCTATAGACTAGGGCAGTTCTATTACAATATGAACAAAATGTCCTTCTGATACTTATTGCCACATACCAACACTTAGACAATGACTAGTTCAACTCAACAGACCCGGTAAAACGTTTGTTTTTAAACGGTTGTGTGCGCTTTGAGCATGCCCCTTTGTGGTATGGAGTTTTACGCAGTAGGGCTGCAACGAATACACTATGTGGCGAATATGATATGTATCATGAATATTGGGAAACGAATAATTATTCACAAATACAATATTGTAGTTAAGTGATTGATGTACAATATGGAACGCCCATGTTGACAGTTTTGATTTGTCACGGCAATAATCAGTGATCTCATGACACTCAAATTCGGTATGTAATGGTTATAATCGACAGTACCATGTGCAGTCTTGGCAAACTAACATGACTTGCACTACTGCAATGCTAGCACATGTTTCATTCTTGCATATCTCACTTTGGAAAGGACATAAGGGTTCAAGTAAAACATGCTCCCTTAAAAAAATCGTAAATATTCGGTTCTGGTGACCACGAATAACGAATTGAATTCATGAAGGGCTACGGTTCGATTCACCGAATATGCGAGTGAATCGTTACAGCCTTATTGCGCAGGATAAGTACCCTCCTTATTATTATTATTATCAAACATATTCACCCTGCAAATCAGTCATGTTCATAAAGGACAAAGCAAACAAAAGCGAAAAGAAGGTGAATACTGCCTTTTGCTACATCAGCAAATATGTAGCCAAATCAACAACAACCATCATGAAGTTGATCTGCATGATTATTGTTTCTATACTAGAATCGCCATATATACTACCCATCAAAAGTTTAGACTCACATACTGAAGATGAATTTCTCCACTAACTTGGGGGAACCAACTGCAAACCTTATGCAGATGAACTGCATGAGGATCATATACGCATCAAATTGCTGAAAAGCATGTCCAAATATCGTGGATGTGAACAGGTGCACTTTGGTGTAAAGTTTTGTTAAGAATTCGGCGAGTTTCATAATTTACTGAACTCATGACCATAAATTTTTCAATGTTATGAATTTGTTTTACAATACATCAGTTCATGTGCAAACAGTACCTTTAAACAGTATGGAATATTTTGCAAAATCTAGTTTAGAACAGTTGACTGAAGTAAGTGGCTACATTGACACTAGTGAGTCTAAACTTTTGATGGGTAGTATATATGGGGATTCTAGTATAGACACAATAATGCAGTAGTATACATTGTATATGACAATACTTTCACTGACTAAGGTGTATGTATTTTTTACGGACATACCTGAATTTCTATCACTTCTATCATATATCACTGATTTTTTCTAAACATCCATTTTCATCTTTTTTATTGCAATATATGAAGTGAAGGAGGTACACAAAACACACAGCTCTGGATCTGCTGGACCAAGCCATATTTTGTACTGTCAGAATTTGCTAAATACAGAACAGAAAAGTTACGACAAAAACACCCAACAACAATAAGGGTGAGAACTTAGTTTTCTGTGTAGTAGGTAGAATGATTTTTACCGTTCTTCTGCTTCGTAGTACATCCCCCATAACCTCTGAACACGGATACTGTGGGGAAACTTTGACTCCAAGGTTTCAATACAAGCCTAAAACAAACAAAGGACTTGTTTCAACATACACCTGAATATGCTGATTTTTACCATCTCTGGTAAATATTACCAAATATACATTGTCTTAGTATTTCCAGGAAACTGTTAGTTCTTTGATAAGGTCACTGTTTTACTTTATTGGATCATTTTCAAGATTTATGCTTAAGATATGTTCAAAATACAACCAAGGACAACGACTCACGTCAGCAAGATCTAATCTTTGGCAGTCTAAGGCAGCTATGCACACTTGTTCATGTACCATCCAAGCTGAAATAATGCAACAGTATACATAGAAAAAACATGACATCACTCTGAACACAATCAAATACCTTCCAATGTCACTCACAAATGAGGATACATGAGAGTTGTTCATCCCTGGAAACTACATTACCATTCTGAAATCAATTAGATATTAAATTAAATGTAGTAGGAGAGTGAGATCACTAATAATGTAATCATTTTTCAACACTTGACAGGGTTACTGGTTTCAAGATAATGAATGTTATATGGACAACAACCTACATTCATCTCCAAGCTTGTCACTCTGTTCCATGAGGACTCTCTCCCAGAGTTGAACCACAGTGTCTCCATCTCTAACCTGCTCCTCACGTAATTTGCGTAGAATACTGCGTGCTTCTATAAACCAAGAACATATACATAAGCTAACGGACACCAGGGAATGGCACAATGATTATATTCATAAAAACCTACATGCACTATATGTGATTCTTCACTTGCAAAGAAAGATAGTTTATAGGTAGCATCTGTGGCTTATGAGAAATCTCAGAGTTCTAGTGTAAGGAATTCAAGAAGATTCTAAAGTCATCGATATTACTTTTAGACGGGACTAAAACAGTCAGCTGGCCATATGTTGTCATATGAATAATACTTTTCTTTCTCTCAGTGAGGTGGTGTACTAAGTTCCACAGCCCAAACCGATATGCTCAATGCAACTTCTATGTATGGTATTCCTTGGTCCTGTAGACCCTACTTAATGGTTTTCCCATACAATCAACTGCTTATCCTCAAATTCATCAAAACAAAACATCACAAGAAGCAACAAGATATGTGATTCGTTTTCACAAAACACCAATAGGCAAACTAAGAGAAAAACTAGTAAGTAATGTTCATTCAGGTATAAAACTTTGTATGGTTTTAACTCCTGTATTATTTGTCACATGTGTCTATGAGTGCTCCTTCTTGTCCCTTCACTGGGTGAAAAAAGTTGCCTCATGTTCAACTTCTAAATGCCAATTAACATTTAAACTACCTTCTACATACATAATACACATCCATCATAAATATGAAACTACCGACCTATGCAAGTAGTTTGGTAATGATAAATAGTTGGTACTTTCCCTTTCACTCACTTAACTAATCAGCAACATTCACTACAGAAAATAAGGAGATTACCACTGTTAGTTAATTGGTGCTTTCAATGTGGAGCTGGTCACTTAACATGCCCTATTAGTATACATATTGTTACCTGGATTAAATACCTCCGTAGAGATGGAATTAACTTGGCACACTGCAGTGATTTATGAATTAAGAGGAATTAAATAATACTATGTGATACAGCTACTCCGTTTAACAAAATGCATGTGTGTGCGATGAATCTATCACTGAAACATACGTTTTACAAGTGAGTAACTTCAAATCCACATGACATCTTATAGCATGATGACTTGACCATTAAGTTTGAAATTGTATCAAATCATGAACATACAAAACAAACATAGTCCAACTAAAATAAACACCATAAATGTGAACATTATTGTAGAGTGGCTCCTAAGGATCATGTAACAATGTAAGTTAGGATACAGTGATTACATTATCTTGTATACAGATTGTTGTTCAGCGACTTTAAGATCAAGTCATATAATTTATAAAGTGTTTTTCAAATGATTTTGGGCACAGCATTACAGCAAACATAGTATGTCAGTGTAAAGTGGACAAGGAATTTTCATTTCAAAACAAATATCTGATGTTTTGATACAAAAATGAGTTCATTTTCGGGTAATGAAAATAACGTAACAGTCAATTGTAGACTAAAGCCGGCTATCATGCAAACGAGACTTGAAAAATATTTCATTATTCATAATCATATTTCTGATACTAACTGACCCATTTTCACAGGTCATGGATAACCGTTTCATTTGTCACTATATGGACTAGTGATCGCCGGGTACATGTGTTGACATATGATGACCACAGTGCGGTAGCGTTTCTGCTTCTGATGCAGTTCACATTAAAACAACAGCAGGAAAGATTTCCGCCCGTCACCCCCGTATTGTTTAAAATCAGTACATGCCTAAGAATATACGCCTATGTTTTTTTACAAACAGCCTATGCCTAACCCTAAAATCTAACCCCAAACCTAACCCTCGAAATAATCCTAATAAATAGAATACATTTAAAGCGGGGGTTACGTGCGGAACTCTTACCCATGCAATTTCGTGATACAGTTAACGATATTTTTCTTTTCACAAACTATTTTAACAACGTAAACCCTATAGTGTCTGGGTCAAGTCAAGCGTATTCTGGCCCATGCCATACAAAATTCATTTGGCATTGAAGGCAGTGACTGAAGCTTTCCCTGAACACACCTTCCCAATTTATGTGCCGCGCCATCTTGGAAATGCTAAATCCCGTTGTTGTAACGTGATTATCGCAAACTACCGCGCATGCGCCTTGCGATGTTGCTATAGCTACAAATCAAGCGTCTTTACCAAACCTCCACACTGGTTTGCGGAGTTAGAGTTCCACACTTGTTACACAGCCGTCAAAATGATTCCACCAAACGCTTCTCTCGTAAAATATGATAACCCAGTGCTTGTAAGCAGAAACACAGACAAGAAAACTCCACGGGTAAGTAAAATGAAAAAGATGCCCACGTTTGTTATTTTATTTTGTTTTATGTTTGTGCAAGTGTCATTTTGAATTAATAATATGTAGCCCCAAACCATGATTTTTATTTATTAAATTGTCGACAAACAGACGACGAGGGGCAGAAAAGAGACAATTCTGCCACTGCCACCGAATTCTGACAATTTCAACTTCATGGCAATATGAATATACGATATATTTATATGGTATTTTAGAGTTTAGGTAGATCTACCCATATATACAGGTGCCCCAAAAAATGAATCCAATTAAGATGAAAATTGAGAAGAGCGGATGGAAAAATGAAACCGTTTCTCCCATTTTGGAATAAATTATGTTATTCTAGACATAAAACACACATTTGTGCCAAAGTAATTTGAACTGAAATCTTATCACAGTTCCAATTAAGATAATGTCAATGAAATAGAAGATATGACCCCATTTTATTTTGTTACCACTGTGTTATCAATATCCAATAGACAAGGTGAGATTGTTGGCATGATCATGCTGTGTAATAAAGGCAAATCTTGTTATACTTATCGTTCCATCTATTTAATTATTCATGATCTTGCACATGCACAGAATTGAAATATAAATAAATGACTAGCTATTGACACATTAAGCCTACACTCTACAAGAAATGAAACCTGTGTAAGTTACTCAGTGCGACCAAACTGACTCTATTACCATGCTTACTCATTGTAGTTGTGCAACTTTGTTTGAATATTTTTGGGAGTTTCTAAATTTTGAACATATCACTGTTTATATTAAGTAATGGAAACTTGGTATAAGTAAACTTATACTAGTGCTTACTATAACTTGCAATACTGTATATATTGATTTGGCAGTTTCACCAATTTTTATCTCTCATATGTATTTTCATATTTATGATGATTAGAAAATCAGTATTTGTCTAATTTGTGTAATCATACAATGATTAAGCATTGGTGTTCTTGCCATCAGTCACTAGTTTGTTTAAGATTTGATTTTTTAAAGGGTAGTTGATATATTTTTGCCTTATGTAAAACAATGTTCACACCTCATTCAAGATTTCCATATAAGGTATGTATTTATATTCATGCAGTTAAAGCTGTGATTTGTTAGTCAAGTTATCAGCTGGCAACAAGGTTCTATTACAACCGTCCATCAGCTCATTCATGTAATTGATGATATGTTGTTTAGAATATTGACATGTACTTTTATGAACTAGGCGCGAGCACTGAAGGTGAGCCCTACCCCGCCTACAGGCACAGGGCCAGTGCCAAATCCTCCTGCCAAACAGAAACTTGCTCCAGTAGATGCCAAGGCTGCTCAGCAGACAGATGAAATTCTCAACAGTATTCTTCCACCAAGGTACACAATATACACATCTGAATCTTTATTCTCTTAATTCATCTTAGTCAGCCATGTGTAGACCAGTCTTCTAAGGCACAACAGCTTGCTGCTAAGAATGTTATGATTCTTGGTTTGTTATTTACTATACCATGCTACATCGTTTCTTCTTATCATCTTATGTTTTACCTTTTCACTAACATGGGCAGAATCAGGTGACAATGGTGTTTGATCATATTTTCAATTAAAGAGTTTGACTTTTATCTCAAATTTTAAAGTTAGTTACTGGCAACATCAGAAAGTATTTTTTGAAATATGTTTCTGTAAAATGTCCCAACTTGACAGTTAGCTAGTGTATCAAAACATTTAGTGCTTCCTGTAAATTGTCATGCTGTTAGGTGTGACTTTTCTTACTACACTTACTACTGGATAGTGTAAATTGTGTGTGCTGTTTTCACACATAATTTTGTTATGACATATGTCAACAGCATATATCATATTTCTTTTATTAGAGAATGGACGGAGAGTGGGCAGCTGTGGGTTCAACAAGTGTCGAGCACTCCCGCCACTCGCCTGGATGTGGTCAACTTACAAGAAGAGCTGGACAGGCGACTTCAGCAGAGACAAGCCCGTGAGACTGGCATCTGTCCAGTGAGGAGGGAACTCTACTCACAGTGTTTTGGTAGGCCGAGTTAAAATGCCATATCTCTCTGGGTGCAAAATTACCAATGCCTATGTAAAGTAATATTCATAGACTCTATGTTATGTCTTGTCATCTGGCTGTGGTTGCTATCTGCACAACCAGATATGTTACAAAACATGGTTTCAAAACCAGTGGAGCGATTAAAAAACATACGTCATTTTTTCTGTGAACTAACTTTTTTTGTTTTGTATGAATGCACTGAAGCCAGTAGAATTGTACCATTTTGTTTTTCCTCTTCTCAAACTGTCAAAGTCACTTGACTATTAACCAATGTCTCATTAAACCTGATAGATTACCAGGAACTTTGAAAGTTGCTATGAAATTAGTTTGTTATTTTTTGTCAGATGAATTGATTCGTCAAGTAACCATCAACTGTGCCGAGCGTGGTCTTCTGTTATTGCGTGTGAGAGACGAGATCCGCATGACCATTGCTGCATATCAGACTCTGTATGAGAGTAGCGTAGCTTTTGGCATGCGCAAGGCACTGCAGGCAGAACAAGGCAAAGCTGACATGGAGAAAAAGGTAAGGAATTATCAAGAAAGTTTAAAATAACTGTTAGTAATTCTTCGATTTGATAATTTCTACTAAACATCATACCTTAAGAAATTCATAGGCTAAAATCTTAAAACAAATCATTAGATTACAGACAAATTCTTATGTAAAAATTACCATGGGATGTTCACCCATATCAAAATGCAAAATATATCATTCCTTTCATTTCAAATAAGGACAGGCATCCTTTGAAAAAATACACTTGTGTAATTGGGTGTAGGAAATTAGAATAAAATATTTTAATCATGTATTCCTATTACCATAATAACATGTACGATGTAATGAAAACATGAACAGTAATGGTGATTAATACAAGCCCTCCTGATGGCTAACTGCTAAGGTTCAGCACCGTCATCTTGCATATTTCATATACCTTTTCCAACCTAAAATTGAGTGAACACTTTATATATGAAGCACTAAGCAATTTTGAGCAGCACACTACATTTGGAATCACAGGCCAGCATGTTTCTTAAACACATCTTAAAAATCTAGCTGTATTTTCAAACAGAGATCCAGTCTTTTTTGAGAGATTGTAACAGTTCTGAGACCACAGTTCATTTCACTGTTTGGAAATACGCAGTGTGTTTAGAACATGCATGGTTTTACAATTGAAGATTTGAAGTAAAGTCACAATTGTTGTGCATTTTTGTGCTGCTTACCGTCTTGGGCACATTGGTGTATATAATGTGTTTGATCAATTTTTATGCAGGTTTATTTTGTAGGTCCTACGCTAGTTCAGTAAATATTTCATAACAGTCAGTATCCATTAAGTTTAAGTCAGTCAAGTGGGACGGAGTAAACAAATTCCATTATTGCTTTAAATAATCACATTATTTGTAAGTTTTAAATGTTGTTGCGTTTGTTGTGTGTTATTTAATGTATATACTGTAAAGTGAAATATGGCTAACATGTCACCTGCATGCAAGTGGTGATACATAGAGCCTTGTCGCCTTGAAAAGTATTATGTAAATTTGTAATATTTTACTAATATGGACATCCAATATTTGCAGTGTCATGGGGTAATGATAGCATGATGTTTTTTAAAGGTTCAACACCTTCCTTTTATATTTACACTTTACATATACATCTTTATATTGTACAAGTTTGAGTGCATCATTGTCATAAGCATGCTTTATTACCTCCTACAAAGTACATCAACCTCACACAATGAATTAATATTCACATCAATCTTTAAAATATTTCTACTTTTGACAAACCTGTATTTTCTACTGTTTTTTGCAAGAAACCATATCTTACAAATGCATTTCAGGATTTTTATCAGTCAAAATTAATACTGACTCACTGATTACAATAAGTTATAAAAGGTTGCTCGTAAATATGCAGAATTATATTTTTTCAATCAGACGCATTAAAATCAGAATTAGAATTTATTATTGAAATGGAAACATGCATGTTTACACAGATCTTTAAATTCAACTTAATATTATATATCAAATAGGCTGACTCAGAGGATGAGGTAAGCTTTCATTATCACTGATAATGAACTACATAATGGAATGGTGAATGACAGACTTTCAAAAAATGCATGTCATTTGAAGTCTTGGGAAATGAATGCAAATTTGTTTTTTAGACATTTTGGACACACAGGTTTTACTGCCAATATCTACCAACCAGCAACTAGTTCACATTGGCTGTTTTTGATATGGGTGTGTGGTAGGCAAATCAAGTTTTGGAGGCTTCATCGAGTTTGTGAGTCCAGTGGAATTATAATGAATGCATTAGTTACATAAAGCTGCAAGTTGCAACAATGACTTCATGCATCTGACTGTCACAAACATTGGTTTCTTGTGACTGAATTACTAGGATTTGATTCATTTATCTATAGATTTGTGAAAATGCATGGAAATATATCTCAGTTTAAGTAAGTTTGAACAGAGAAATGGAACTTAGAATGCTTCACATTGCAAATGGTACTGAAGGTTTCACATAGCATTGTTTCACAGCATGTGTGCAAGTGGGAATGTAAATGTATACCCTTCACTCCCTCTGTATGTTGATTTTGGTTGTGCTTGCATGGTTATGTTTGGGTTTTTCACCATATTTTACAAATGAAATGTTGATTAGAATATCATGTGGTTAACCGATATGTTCCATAAAATCATTTCATCAGCATCTACACATTAATCAAACTTTATGACAGTTTGTACCTCATAAAACTATCCTGTTTCGTAAATATAAAATGTGAAGTATGCCATGACTGAAGAACACTCGGTCTTATTGTATGTGATGCTACAGAAAAGCAGATTAATGAATTACCAATATGGTCATGCCTTGTTTGTGTGTTGGATGTCAGCAATATACCAGCTGTATGACGGTGATCTGGTCATACTGATTGTACAAGTCAGCTCAGTTCTTTCTGTAACTGAAGACATGATTCATGTCCTTCATCGAAACATTCAAATGGAATTGTCTTTGCTTTGGTTCAAAACTAAATAATTTCAATTTAGAAAACTGACAGGACAATATTTTTCCACAATGGCATTTTATCATACATGTGTACCGACTGGAACTAAACTGACACATAGCTTCTGAACCAAGCAGTTTGTGCTGATAAAGGTTTCCAGAACAGATATGCTTTGCTGATGTACTGAGTAAATAAACAGCTGTGAGGTAAGTATGGTGCTGACTATACCGTGCCCTGATATGGTAATCAGAAAGTGTGTCTGTGTTCAGATTACAGACCTAGAGCAGGAGAAACGTGACCTTGAGCGTAACGTTAATGAGCTGAAGGCCAAGTGTGAGCAGATTGAAAAGCGAGCAGCTGAGCAGAGGCAAGTGGAAGAGAAGAAGCATACGGAAGAAATCCAGTTCCTCAAGAGGACTAACCAGCAGCTGAAGGTGGGTATACTATACAAAGGATTGGTTAAGCATTTTAAGCACGTCGGAGATATTCGTGTCTCAAACAGAAATATACCGTTATAAAACACACTTGAGTTGATATGGATGTGCAACTTCTTTATTATGTACACACGACGTTTCTGGGCTAACATCATGTGTAAATAATACAGAAGTTGCACATCCATATCAAGTGTGTTGTATTACCCTAACAACTTATAAATGCCTATCAAACATCAAATTTACTGTTGTATTTATCAAATATTACCTTTCTGATAATATCCTTGAGAAAAATATGGACACATATTCCCATGAAGAACTACCCCATAATGTATTGATAACTAACCCCCCCCTTTTATTTTATGTGTCCACAAATCCTTTGCCTAAACACATTTGAAATTGATTTCTTTCCCTGCAATGAGAGACGTGCCATCAATTATTTCTTCAGTAAGTCTAATCAGAAGGGTGTTGGGCGATGACATCAAATATTAATGGCAGTGTAATCTGGTGCTATTGTATCATGTCAGTACAGGCAAAACCAGACTGAAGATTACTGCTTGTTCCAAAGAAAATAAACATGTCTACAAGCCTGATTGCGTTCCAAAATCTTTTTTAATTTTCCATACATTTTTAATTTTTTTTTATTTTAGCAAGAAAATAGCATTTTCAATACATATATTTTTTACTTTTGGTTTTGTTTTTAGATATATATTCATTTTCCAGATCAATCATTGACTGATTATTTTATTAACTGCTTCAGCAAAGAGCAGTCATCGGTGATAGGAAACTTCTTGCTCAGTTTGTAGATCTGGTCATGCTTATAGGACAACAAATCATTAAATGTAGTATGTACATTTAATATTGTAAGACAACACATCAGTCATGTTCACCAGTAATTGATTGGTAAACGTCAAGGAAATACACAAAATCAAATAATTATTACAGAATTGTTTCCTAAGTCTGACTATTGATTAGTTTTGACAACTTCATACAAACACAATTGATCAATAATAAAATCAATCATAGTTTCTGACTTGCTTGTCCTAAAGTACTTTGATGAGCTAGTTATTCAAATTCATGATTACCAGATAAACTTTTCAGACAATGATTTTATTTTCCTGTAGGATGATTGTATCTATGCTGATGATTGTGCAAATGCGTTAACCAGACAATCTTTCGTTTTTCAGACTCAACTGGAAGGAATCATTGCCCCAAAGAAATAGAGTCCCAAACAAAACATTTTGTCTGCATCCAAGTGTACATATTTAACTCTGAAAATCTATATGGTATATATAGCAATAATTGTATGTTGTGTCCAGTGTATATGAAGGGAGGATTCAACACAAGAATACAACCCTTGTAAATATATCGGTTACATGTAGGTACTGTTGATACTGCCTTGCACACTTAAACAGCTGTGATATCTGGGTTGACCATGGTGGGAAGTGTTCCCTGGAACTAAGAATCTGTAAATTGTAAATAAACATTTCCTTCCTATCACCTATCTCTAAATGTAAGAAAATGAATTTGCATTTATTTGTGATGATTAGCGTTTTTGATTTCATGCACTAAATGACCTCTATACAGAACATGTTGACTTTAATATTTGTGGACTGAGTTAATATTTTCTGTCACTTTACAAACCTTTTGTTCTGATGACAGTTTCCATGTTCCATCAAGCATTATTTACAGCATTACAATCCTTTTTATCAATTGTCTCCTTCTGATTATGTAAACGAGTTTGTGCTTGTTTTACAGACGTGGAAAATTTATCATTCAAACTTTTTGTGGTCTTGTTTATTGTATCAGAGTGAAATCAATTCTAAATTCAATAACTGAATTGTGTTACAATATCTGTGTTAAAAATTGTCACTTGGTAGTTCTAAAGTTTCATGGACAATTTGTCATATCATTTGTTAAATGAAAAACATCACTGAATAAAGTTTAATAACATTACCATCTGTTGTGTTGTCTCACAAACACTACCTTTGTATATTCATTCAGTCTTGTAATCTCAACTAATGAGTCAAATTAATTGAACTATTCAACATGACGCTGCAATACATGTCATGCAGATTCCACAGTTATTGCCACAGACAGCTGATTAACTTATAACTTGAATTAACACTTGATCTGAGAAGAGGTTTTATTCAGAACCCATTTTCACATGAATCATTAACACAGTTTCATTCTTACTGACACAATGAAATAACAAAGATTGGCGTAAGATAAATATTAGTAGATAATTCAATCTCTGGACCAAATACTATTTGTGTACTGATCATCTGAAAACAAAGACACTACATACTAAAACAAAACATGCTTGTTACATAACTTAATGAATGGCACAGTAGATAAACAAAACTACACTTACACTTAACAGTTTGTGAAAAACACTATTCAAAAAGCACTACCTGTGTGTTCTTTTTTATTACTGACACATTTGGAATATGATACTATAAAACTGTCAAGTTCAAGTCAACAAGACTTCATCACAACACTATTTAAATATTACAGACAGAAATGACAAGACTATAGTACTCTATGGTTAGCTTTCTGTAGTGTTCATGCCATTCATCATGTGAAGATTATGTGTTCATTAGCATTTTGAAAGTACACTTTATCTCCTTGTGATGCCTGCCTGCCATGGAGTGGGTTGGTGTGGCAAGTAGAGACATTGCCTCCACTATTTGTAGATACTGAAACATGCCTTCCTGACAAACACACTTCCCTGAACTCACTCTGGCTTCCAGATGACATATATAGAGGCTGAGCGTTACCTTGTGCACATTAACTTAGAAGATACTTTCTATGCTACATCCTGTGGGGATTCTAGGTTAGAATATGTCCACAGCTAGATACATCCTCGATAATCTCCAGGGTATACGTTACGATCACTCTCCACTATACCCTGGATGCATCCACGGCTTGACCTGATAGTTATATTACCTCCCTTGGCTGGCTCTGCATTCTCACGGTAGCCAATCAGCTAAGCCGCCGTTACATCCGAGCTTGCCAGTGTCAACAAAGATAGCGGTTGCAGTCGTGAAGGTTTGTTCGCAGTGCCACTCACATTTTTGAGGAAATAATACAGACAAATTGACAGATCTGAAACTTTCAAAAAATATATAAAGGAACTCCTTCTATCTCTTTCAGAGTACCTCTGCATCAATTGTGTTGCCAAGGTTAAACGGTTAGATAATTTAAGAAGCGAAAGTGAGTTATGATTTGTTAGCTCAACTTCCCTGCGTAGATTGGATTGGATAAAAGCCAGCCAGAGGAGGTAATAAAATCATCGGGCCAAGCCGTGGATGCATCCAGGGTATAGTGGAGAGTGATAGTAACGTATACCCTGGAGATTATCAAGGATGAGCTATATATTGTGGTTACAAGTGGTGACTTGGATCAAAGGTAAAACTCCGCAATGCCAAGAATTGTTGCTCATAATCACTGGATTGTCTGATCCAGATTCCAGTAGTATGTTTTAATCCGCCATCATGTAGCTAGAATATTCCTGAGTGTGACATTAAACAATAAGCAAACATTCTTACAATACCTCTTCAATGGACAAAAAAAAAGATATTCAAACCAAGTCCTTCACTGTAACAATTATCTTGAACATAAGTCTACTCTACAGGTCTGTGGATAAACAGGGCCATTGTTAAAGGTCACATAAACCCTAGGGGGTAAAAATACATAAATCACTAACTCGCATCATTATAAATGAAACCCCGTCATTAAAACTACTCATTTCGACCTTTAATTGACTTAAATCGACCTTTTTTGACAACAGTGCACAATTCTCACCCGCGAACGAAATTTCAACCAATCAGAGCGGCGCGACTCTGTGACGTCATAGTAGGAATAGCTAGGAGGGCCTGTGCAGAATTCATCTACATTTTAGGGGTTAAATTATCTTGTTTACAGGCTTGTATAAACCTGAAATCGTGACAATTGTTGTGGAAAATGAAAGCTATATGTTCTCACAATCTACTGTCATTTAATTTTGTCTCATGCTTTGCCTAGTTTCCGAGTTACAACTTGTTTTCATAGACGATTCTGTCAAAATCGATTGGTGTCGTTAGGCCCTATTTGTATAATGACTGATCCAAATTGATCCCATTTCTGTGTTTTTTTACCTCGATATTTAATCATGTCATGTAAAAATCTGTTTGTATTCTCAAAACAGTGTCGGCCCATAAGTTTTCACATGCAATACAGCAATTAATACTCCCTTGTTGTAACCCGTGTTAGGTGGTATAAACCTACACATGTTATTTGTCATCATTCATTTGATGGTCAGTTAATGAATTTATAACAGGTATAATTAGTGGTAACACACTTAAATTACCCGACAAAGGTTCCCATTTGGCATTTCTTGTGTCTGGAGTAAATATTCAACATTATAAACATCGATCAAAGGATTAACCGATAACACGCTGATTGATTAATTACTTTTATCTTACACAGCGGAATTGTCAAAAGGTAGTGTTTATGTATGTAGATTTACTAATCTATACTGAATACACTCTGTCGTGTCGGTGTCTGCGTAAAAACAACGTCCTTCTTTCAAAGGATTAACCGGCAATACATTGATTGATTGCCCATTATTGGCTAACTAAATTACTGTTTTAAAGAAAGGCGGACATTATGCAATTAGTTGCCAGGTGTGCTATCTTGGGTGACCAATGAGACTATACATCAATACCTGAAAAGATTTATCACTTTTTCGTATATTAAACTGTTAAAAGACACATCATTTGGAACAGTTTTGTGGATATTGATGGATACATTCCTCGAACAAGGTAATGGCCTGATATTGTTCCTATAACTTTAATCTGTTTTAATTTTAATATTTGCATTTTGTTTTTATTCATTTGTCGTAGCATTCAACAGAATCATTGTTTTCGCCGTGAAGTGTAATGAGACAGACAACATTCACTAGGGTGTGTGTGCGAATTATGATTCACATTGGCAAACTATAAAATGTCTAGATATTACAGTTCTGTTATAAATTCACTATAAGTATCAGCAGATCGTCTGCTTTTTATTTAGTTTCAAAATGCATACAAGTATGATAATAAACTAATTAGGATTATAAGACCAAATATAAAGACGCACATTGACTAGTATCTACATACTGGTGAGTGGACATTAACCATGGGAATGTAGCAAGAAATTTATCGCGTAGTATTGTGACTTCGACCCCCACCTCGCTTCCGTGGAAGAAATCGTTATGTTATAAGTTGTGTCATGCAAAGTCCGTTTGGTTATGATTCCAATACATATTTAACTACGAGTAGAAAGTAGTCTTGATTTTCTAACTTGATGAAAACAAACTATAATCTCCTTAATTCTAACAGATTTTTTTATTTTTAAAATGGCGGCGCCCTGTCGGGAACATCCGCCAGTCTGAGGATAAATGGTATTTAGGTTTGTTTCCACCGAGTTACAAAATCAAAACTACTTTCTACTGGTAGTAAAATATGTATTATATTGATGGCCAATAGGATTTTGCATGACAAAGCGTAAAACATAACAATTTCTCTGGTGGCAGCGAGGTGGGTGTCAATATAATACTACTTACAATATTATTGTTACTTCGACCACAACCTCACTTCCTAGGAAGAAATCGTTATGTTACAAGTTGTGTCATAGAAAATCTTTATGGTCATCAATCATATGCATATTTTACTACAACTAGTAAGTAGTTTTGATTCTTTAACTTCCGTGAAGCGATCTGAACACAAGTAAGATATCGTTTCAGGCTTCCACAACTCTCGCTTCGCACTCACAAACATAACCCATTTAGCACGAACTGCGGGGTCCTGTGGAAATCTGTGCATGGGGACACCATCGCCCGACCCCTAGGAGCAATTGACGACAAAGCAACGATTCAGCATGTCGTCGTTGATGTCGAGAAATCATCAAAATGATGAGCGTGCTACACATTTTCTATACAACTAACTGAAAATCGTTCCTCATATGACGTCACTGCAGTGCTCTGGCGACAGAGTTACGTAACCTGTCTGTGGTTTCGTTGGCGGGCGAGAGGGAAGCAGGCGACTTTTTGGCAACTTTTAATCGCTCGGTATTAAATAACCACAAGTTTTTAAAGAATAAATTTGGTGTTCCGCATAAGACTAACCACAAATCTTTCATATGTAATGGTTAAAAGAGTAACAAAAAACAAAGTTTAGTGGTTCTTTAACAACCTACTGTCCTACAGATGAACATAATCATTGCTGTTAAACTACTGACCTGGGGTGAATATATTCATCATCATAAAATGATATTGTTGGCTAGATTATGTTTATCCGTTCAAGGGAGTAAGTAATACTTGGAATGAATGTTTACATTTGTAGGCAGTCCAATAATCTAGCTATTATATGGTGATATATAGTGATGACACACAATCTGACTGACCACCAAATCTAATTTAATTGCCTTCAATAACAAGCAATAAAGGAGAAAAGTATTGGGGACCAATTCAAATCTGGGTCCTCATGGAGTGATAACCTTGAAATTAGAAGTCAAGGAAGTCTTAGGAATTCTCGGGCAGAAAGGATCTGAAATACCTGAGGTGTGGGCACCTAGCTGATTGAGTCTCCTTTCACCCACATGACATGGTCTGAGCTCATACTATCGGTCATTGGTTTACTAGATCAGTTACAACGGGTAATAATACAGCAATAATACTTCCAACTGTAACAAAAGCAACATTCATTCACTAACAAAGCAAGATAAAAAAGGTAAAAATAGAAACAATGTGCCTTATTGTGATCTGGGTTCTGACTAACATGATGCATGAAATACAGTTATCCCCCACCATAAATTACAAATGGCAGATGGAAAGGAGGATGTAAAGGTCCACAAAAATTCCAGTGTTTCAACCAGCCAGACAGTGAGTGAGTGGGACTGAACACTATTTCAGTTTCCAGTATATCACAGCATGCAAGTTTACAGATGGATGAAATCTGAAGTGACGCAGGTCTTAGATGTCTATCGGTGAATTCAACAAGCACAGGTATCGTGCTGACAAACCAAGGTCAAACTCAGGGAGAACCAGGGATTCAAACCTATGATCAAAGGACCATGCTCTACATAAGAGTTGTAAAACTAACATAAGACTCCGCACAGTTGGTTGTTGGGCCTAATACTGTGGCAACCTGTAGCATGGGATGAGAAAATCAAACTCCATGTATGCGTACCAACTATGCAGTACATACAGCACACGTATGTGTACCAACTATGCAGTACATACAGCACATGTATGTGTACCAACCATGCAGTACATACAGCACATGTATGTGTACCAACTATGCAGTACATACAGCACATGTATGTGTACCAACTATGCAGTACATACAGCACATGTATGTGTACCAACCATGCAGTACATACAGCACATGTATGTGTACCAACTATGCAGTACATACAGCACATGTATGTGTACCAACCATGCAGTACATACAGCACATGTATGTGTACCAACTATACAGTACATACAGCACATGTATGTGTACCAACCATGCAGTACATACAGCACATGTATGTGTACCAACTATACAGTACATACAGCACATGTATGTGTACCAACTATGCAGTACATACAGCACATGTATGTGTACCAACCATGCAGTACATACAGCACATGTATGTGTACCAACCATGCAGTACATACAGCACATGTATGTGTACCAACTATGCAGTACATACAGCACATGTATGTGTACCAACCATGCAGTACATACAGCACATATGTGTACCAACTAACAGTACATACAGCACATGTATGTACCAGCAGCATACATGTATGTATGTGTACCAACTATGCAGTACATACAGCACATGTATGTGTACCAACCAACTATACAGTACATACAGCACACATGTATGTGTACCAACTATGCAGTACATACAGCACATGTATGTGTACCAACTATGCAGTACATACAGCACATGTATGTGTACCAACTATGCAGTACATACAGCACATGTGTATGTGTACCAACCATGCAGTACATACAGCACATGTATGTGTACCAACCATACAGTACATACAGCACATGTATGTGTACCAACCATGCAGTACATACAGCACAACCATGCAGTATGTGTACCAACTATGCAGTACATACAGCACATGTATGTGTACCAACCATGCAGTACATACAGCACATGTATGTGTACCAACTATGCAGTACATACAGCACATGTATGTGTACCAACTATGCAGTACATACAGCACATGTATGTGTACCAACCATGCAGTACATACAGCACATGTATGTGTACCAACCATGCAGTACATACAGCACATGTATGTGTACCAACTATGCAGTACATACAGCACATGTATGTACCAACCAACCATACAGTACATACAGCACATGTATGTGTACCAACTATGCAGTACATACAGCACATGTATGTGTACCAACTATGCAGTACATATGCAGTACATATGCAGTACATACAGCATGTGTACCAACTATGCAGTACATACAGCACATGTATGTACAACTATGCAGTACATACAGCACATGTATGTGTACCAACTATGCAGTACATACAGCACATGTATGTGTACCAACCATGCAGTACATACAGCACATGTATGTGTACCAACTATGCAGTACATACAGCACATGTATGTGTACCAACTATACAGTACATACAGCACATGTATGTACCAACTACCAACCATGCAGTACATACAGCAGCACGTGTATGTGTACCAACTATGCAGTACATACAGCACATGTATGTGTACCAACTATGCAGTACATACAGCACATGTATGTGTACCAACTATACAGTACATACAGCACATGTATGTGTACCAACCATGCAGTACATACAGCACATGTATGTGTACCAACTATGCAGTACATACAGCACATGTATGTACCAACCATGCAGTACATACAGCACGTATGTACCAACCATGTACATACAGCACATGTATGTGTACCAGTACATACACATACAGCACATGTATGTGTACCAACCATGCAGTACATACAGCACATGTATGCAGTACATACAGCACATGTATGTGTACCAACCATGCAGTACATACAGCACATGTATGTGTACCAACCATGCAGTACATACAGCACCATGCAGTATGTATGTGTACCACTATGCAGTACATACAGCACATGTATGTGTACCAACTATGCAGTACATACAGCACATGTATGTGTACCAACCATGCAGTACATACAGCACACGTATGTGTACCAGCTATGCAGTACATACAGCACATGTATGTGTACCAACTATGCAGTACATACAGCACATGTATGTGTACCAACTATACAGTACATACAGCACACGTATCTTCCACACTTCCTGCAAGATGTCTCCACATTTCCTGAGCCGAATAAGTTACATGGTGCAAGAATAGGTGTACTGAATAAACAGTGTTAGAAATAACAGTTGCACAGACACAAAACACACTTACAATGTTTAGTAAAATTGCCCATTTGTATTATTTATCTTTGTTGTTTTTTTCCAACTAAATAAGCTTGGAAGTTTAAAAATACTGAAACAATTAGCAACAATCGGGTATCCATATAAATACCTAAGACACAATTCTTACATACTTAGATGACAAACCTCAATGCATCTCCTCCAGTATCAGTACAGTGTTGTAACTGTGTTGTAACTGTGTTATATATAATATCCCATAGTTAAAACATTACCCTGAGTGACCAGACAAGAGAACCCACAAAATGGAGCTCACCATTATTAAGCATTACATAATCTTATTAACAGTGATGCTAGGTACTGAATTACACCTACTGGATGTGAAGTTGCTGTTATTCAAAGTGACTGCCACATCAGCCTTTCACATAAGTAGTTTACAATCTGATTGTGATATAAATTGTAAGTAAATATGTAGAGCTTATCTGCATGAAGAAATTATCATGATTTCAGTGCCCAGTATTCACCTTTTACAAACACATTGTACATTGTGTTTGTTGTCAGTTTACCAAAGTATGGTAGTAACCATATACACAATTGTTAGTGAATTTTACATTCAAACGTTTCAGACATAAAAAAAATAACATACAATATTAACATAGTTTAACCTTGTCAAACAGGGCGTCATGTCATTGAAGTTCTTTTCAAGATGGGGCATCCATAGAGAACATGCAGTGAGTGTGTATGTATGGTGTCAGACAGGGATGTCACACTTAATCAAAACAAAGAATAGAACCACAACATTGAATGAACTGGTCAGAGGGTTGGAATCACTATAGTAAGTAAGACCTTTTGTACAGCTGTAAATCTGGCCGTATCTGAAGCACTAGGGTGCCTGTCACACACTCTAGTCTCTATCCCTGTATCAGCTTGGTATACTTGTATACTGAGTGTTCATATACACGTGACAAGGGAGAGAATCCAATGTTTTGTCAGTGTCTGATGACATTTCATCTGATTTATGAATTCTGTGTCCATAACGGAAGGTTTTTTTGTATTCTTTGTCCCTCTCACGTTCTCGCTCTCTCACAGGTATGTTTCTCCTTCTGGCCAACTGTCGACGTTCTCTATCTCTCTGTCGCTCCTGTTCACGGTAAACTGGATCTTGCCTACGGTTCTGCATTCGTTCCTTGGCTTTCACTTTTTCTTTCTCCCTGAATAGTAAAAACAATATGAAATATTCTGACATCGATGCACCCTGTGGTTAATAATGTCAAGAGTAATACATATTATTTCACACATAACATGCACATTGAGTTATTAGTAATGTGATTTAGAAACTTAAAAACATTAAAAGTTAAAACATCAAACTTTTATTTGCCATTTCCAGCTATCTGCTCCGGATCCAGCCATCTGGGATTCTATTTCTGATCCCCACAGAACTTTTGTCACATAATTTACTTCAGAAATTGTTTCATCAAAGATTAAATAAAACCAAATGGATAAATGTCACAAAGTTAAGTGAGCTAAAGCCATGAAGAATTCCCGATTTTGTATTCTGAATAGCTTAATATGGTCCAGTGTGCAAAATAGCCACTGGCCCACTAGCCCGTGGCTAGTAAAAATCCAGTCATGCCAGTAAATCTCTACAGTCATTGGCCCGACTGGCTAGTGAATTTTCATGGGTTCATTTTTTAAATACACCACTCTCTCCGACTTGTTAAGTTATAACCCACGTTTAAATCATGCAAGATTATGGCCTGATAAATGATGGTATTATACCTTTCTTTTAGAGTCATCTCACTACTGAAATGGGCCCACTACTGGACACGATAAGAACAGATTTACCGTGGTCTTGGGCATTTGCATGGATGGTCACAGTTGTGGTGATCATAAAAAATCTTGTGAATGTTCCAAAATGCGAAGTCCCCAAAAATATTGAACTGTTTCCAAAGGTGGATCAATGACCGAAGCCCTGATTGAATTTTGACTTTTAAAGAAGTTCTCTCAAATGATAGTTATGTTGAATGATGATTGAATTTGTTCATGGAATAAGATTCGTTCCATTAAAAGTTATAAAAAGAACAAAGTTTTGTTGCATTTTACCTCCTCTCGAATTTAAGCCCAGGGCTTAATTTCAGAAAAAATATTTCTTAGATGAAATGGGTCAAATTCGAAATTAAGCCCAGGGCTCAAATACGAGGATTCCCTGTTGCTCTGAAACAGTTTCACAGGCTGTTTTTTTTATAGTATTTGTCAAACTGGATGATACAATACATAGAAATATTGCTTTGGAGCATACATCATGGTGACCAGGTGTTTTGTACTTCTTATTCACTCAGTTTTAAGCATGATACTATGCCACAGGTCTATACAGAATTCAGTTGCTCCTGGCATGAGTGAGTGAGTGAGTTTAGTTTTATGCTGCACTCAGCATTATTCCAACTTTATGGTGGCAGTCTGTAAATAATTGAGTCTGGACCAGTCAATCCAGTGATCATCAGCACAAGCATCGATATACGGAACTGAGATACAATGACATGTGTCAACCAAGTCAGTGAGCCTCACCACCCGATCTCGTTATTTGCCTCTTAAGACAAGCATGGGTTACTGAAGATCAATTCTCTAACCGGGATTTTCACAAGTCTCCTGGCATGAAGTATCAAGATGGGTCAATGCCATACAGTGAATGTTAACCCTGGGCAAAACCCTGCCCTTGCACAAAGACCAAAGTTACCTGAAGACAGGATTAGCTCGGAGTTCTCGCTTCTTAATCCGATCTTTCTCCCTCTTTGTGATGTCCCTGATGGACAGACACATGCTGTCTGACTTGGTAGTCACCTCCACTTGTCGAGCCACGTCAGACACTCCATCGGATACAGTCAGTGGAGACACCTCATTCTCGCTCACAAACATCTCCTCATCTCTACAACATTATCAGACATCTAATATATTTATTATGTAAGCATATTTTTCTGGCTACCGGATTGGTCTAGAGGCGGTCACGTGACCGTCAACAGAAAAGCATATTGACTCCAACCCAGGTCATATTAACCAAAAGTCATATTGACTTGAGTTACTAAAAATAGATTTTGACGTCAAGCTATGACGTCATTCTATTGTTTACATGTCACAGTATTGTTGGCATAACATTATTGGTTTGTAGCGAAAATAAAATTACTTTTCTTGACTAAATGGACATGTTTTTTTCCGTCCTCGGTCAATATTGCTTTTCGCAGGTCCATAATAACAGGTATTGACCTCATCACCAGTCTATAATTGTATAATATTTCATCTATAAGTCTGGTCTCGTATTAATCCTCATTTAATACCACATTAGAGCCTGGGCAGTTACAAACCTGAATTCAGATCTACATTACAGCATGGGACCTCATTAGATGTACCACACCCTGCTTGTACTTGGGGCCCTGCTCTCAATTCAAAGCCTTACCTTAAGTTAAAATGATTCAAGATTATTTCACTCATGTAGTAATGTGCATGCACATATGTTCAACTGGTGTAGGGGCGGTGGGGTAGCCTAGTAGTTAAAGCGTTGGCTCGTCACGCCGAAGACCTGGGTTCGATCCCCACATGGGCACAATGTTTGAAGCCCATTTCTGGTGTCCCCCGCCGTGATATTGCTGGAATATTGCTAAAGGCGACGTAAAACTCAAATGGTGTAATATCACTAGCCCACTGGGATACCTTGCTCCAAGTCTAACATCCAAGCACCACACCACTCATCACACTGACTTTGAGCCATCCACTCCTTATTTTGTAACCATTAATGCTTAGTGCCATGCATAGAATGAATCTAATATGAAAATCTGATCACTCCAGACAAATGCAACTGTAGTGTATTACTGGAATACACTTTTTTAAATCCATTGGAATATGTTTATTGTGTTCCGGTAAATTGGGTCAAACAAATAAAATTCCATTATATTTTTTATTAAATATATATATAGATATAGTGCAATACATTTATTTTGCAAATACACAGACCTGCAGATGGACGTCACTCAAATGGGATGATCACTGTGTCTGGTTAGCTACGGAAACTAAATAACCATCTCACATTGTGAAAACTCTAAATTATTAAAATAGATGGCGACAAGTCTACAGTTTTCAGATGGCTTATGAGTGAGTGAGTTTAGTTTTACGCCGCTTTTAGCAATATTCCAGCAATATCATGGCGGGGGACACCAGAAATGGGCTTCACAAATTGTACACATGTTGGGAATCCAACCTGGGTCTTCAGTGTGACGAGTGAACACTCACTCTGCTACCCCACCGCCCATATAGCTTATGAATCTTTCACCAATACAAGTGACAAAGGCCTTCAACCATGAGTTTATTGTGGTCATTTTACAAAACAAACTCTACAAAATTCTGACACTATTCTTACCCAGATTTGGTAAAATCAAACTGAGACCACAGAGTTCCATCATAAAGCATCTCAACTGGGATGACCTTGACCTCTACAACTTTGCCTTCTACTGCATCAGCACCTCCAGCCAATGCATCCGATGATGACAAGGCAGCTGTCGACACATACTTGTCAACAGCCCCGCTGGGTACAGCAGCAGGGCTCACGGAGGTCACAACACCAGGATCCGGTGATACCAGTGATTCATTGGACTCTATTGCTATAGCAACAGAAGGGTCTTCAGTGGCTACAACTGCTGGAATAACAGTTGTATCATCAGATGTTACTACAGTCTCTGTGAAGTAGTCAACTGGGAAAACAGCTTCCCTTTCCACTTTACCTGAAATATGATATCAGACATTGGAAACTCCAGCAACAGTTGCAAACTTGCCACTTCTATTAAAGGAAAGTATTGTTACATTTACCGTAAATGAATGCCATTATACTCATTACTAAAGTTACCCTGTTCTAACACAAAAAATACTTATGACCAGTACTTGGAATAATATTATATATTTGAATATAAATATAAGAATTATATGATAACAGATTTGTAGTTATTTTTGTTGTTTTTTAGCCAATCCTGCCCACAATCTGCAATATTTCAAGTACCAATATTCAAGCCATATCTCTGCATCCTATAATCGATTCTGGGCAAAACAAACACTTGGGGGCAATTCAGGTCATGGGAGTCACCCAACTACCTGACACTGATTACCCTTTTGCAAACAAAACACTTGAAATTTTCACTTTTAATGAAGTGTCTTCAATTCATACACAAACTGAGTGAGCATAGTTTCTTGCCTCTTCTTAGCAATATTCCAGCAATATTATCAAACATCAAAACTTTATCTCTTTTACGGAATGTGAAATTACAGAAGTTGATCATCTCCCCAAACCTTAAGCCTGTTCACAAGGCAACAAAAACCAGCTTGGAACAACCGTGATATAGCACCTTAAATTTCTCACCTGGAGTTATCTCCAACTGTACACGGAGATGCTGCTCTTCCCTTACTCCTGCTGTCTGCATCCCGGTACCTGCATACTAGAATCACAGGCCCTCTTCCTGTCTGGAGGATAATTATGATATCTGTGCTATATTAAATTCATGAGTATCATAGAGACAGATGTTCACCTTCAAAAAGTCTTTATCATTTACCTGTATGTTCTTGGATTCCTTCCCTAAATTCAAGGCAATACAAACTAAATAGTTCACATGTTAAACAACATGCAAGAAGTGGCAGATCATTGGCAGAAATAAAAGTCCATAGTTAAAGATCTTAAGTCTTTAAAAATACTTAATCACATTTTTTCATAATGCATTATGTAGTTGTTATGTTCAGTGACAATATATTATGCATTCAGTATAGATTTAGTAATAGCTAATAAATATTGATTATCAAGAAATGTGATTGTCTTATTTTGGGTACAATTGTAAAAATAATCATTCACATCACAGGTGAGTGGCAACATATTTATCCTTAAACTGATTACCCAATTTTTACATCAATAATCTTTAATATTTCTTCCCAACAATGAAACTTAGTATGAGTGAAATGATCAGGGGCCCAGATAAGCTGCGTATCCAAGTAAAATATGCATAGAAAATTTCCAAATATGCAACGAAAAATAATTGTTGTGTACCAATTACGCATTAAAATGTTAGATACGCAAAACGTTTAAAACAAATGTGTCCGGAATATATTTATGAAAATCGCTTGCATAATGAAAAAGACATCGATTGCTATCAAGTTGTACTGTTAGTATAGGACTAGTGTTGTACTGTCAGCATAGGATGAGTGATTTTTTATGAAATAATTTCCATTATATTTAGGTTGGTTTTGATTAGGTATGACATAAGGCAGAACATACCTGCTTAGTAAACTTACTCAATGACATAAAACTTAGGTGAGTAAAATGACTGAAATACGCACATATTTGCAAGCAGTGGGTATGAACCCACTCAACATTCATAATACCCACTCCAAAAAAATACAGTGGGTACAGTACCCACATGAGCTAAATCTTATCTGGAGCTCTGAATGATACACCGGTACAGTGGAAAAATACAATACACATGGTTCTAACTTGACCAACAAAATTAGGGGTCCACAGGAACACCACTTATAAATTCCTTAAGTGAAATATGAGGGTCCTGTATCATGTGTAAGGTAATGAAATCATGTAGTACTGTAAGGTTTAATGATTACTTTAATTATATGAACTTTATATTTCTTGTCACCAAATTTTGAACAGAGAATGTTATTGTGTGTCACGGGATGCAATGTGTGTGTGTGCGCGCGCGCGCATGTGTGTGTGTGTGTGTGTGTGTGTGTTTCTACGGCCATTTGTGTGTATTGGACTAGAAAAGTCAAAAGGGCCAAGGGAAAGTCAAAAGGGCCAAAACTAGAAAAGTCAAAAGGGCCATATATTTAAGTCAAAAGGGCCAAACATTTCGAAAATACAAAGATTACAAGAAATTCATTACATGTTGTTGCAGTAGATCTAATCCTAAACATCACAGAGCGTGAAATGTTTTTTGTTCCGGTGTCAATTAACGATTTGGTATTTGGCGAATTTGTCTCATGATCTGGAGCTGTGAACTTGACAACATATTTTCGAGACGTGCACATGTCAATGTTTGTCTGTCTGTGTGTCCCTTCACCACGGAACGTGCACACGAAACAACCGTTTACTCAAGAAATTAATTTTGTATATACGTCTACCGCCATCCACAAAACACCACCAATTCCTCAGTATTAAGTACTTACAAATTGTTATCATTGCAAGATATTCGTCGATTTTCGTCTGGTTATACCGGAAGTGAATGGAAGCAAAAGTATTTCGCAGTTTCATTGGTTGAAATCACGCAAAAGGGTCTTGTGAAAATGGTTCGCGTCTTTCTATACGCTCAGTTAATATTTGAGCAGACAGAACCCAGTTCTGCTATTCAGGCGCGTGAGATGTGTCAAGGAGCCCAGTCCACTGGCCATCGTTTTGTTGCTTATTTCCCAAGTTACTATATATCTCAATATCAGTACACTGTGTAAGCGTGTTTGTGTGTGTGACACGCACACGATAGTGCATGTTTGACAATTTGAAATAGAATCAGATTTTGAAATATTTCAAATGTGCTGTGGTCCAGTCTTATGACAAAAAAAATGTGGAATAGGTTTGATATTGTAATAGACTTTATGGAGAACACCATTCGCAAATTAAAGAGTCTGTGGTCTCCAAATAGCATCTAGTAATCTGTTTATCATACTGATGTTTAACAGTAATATGAGCAACCAAGCTGAATTATGTCACTGAGCATGATGGTCTCAAACATATTTTGTGTATTTCACATCTGGCAATAATCATAGGGTGTTTTGTCAGGGGAACTAGTCAAAAGGGCCGAAGGACAAAAGGGCCGAGAAGTGCCTAGTCAAAAGGGCTGATGGAAAAAGTCAAAAGGGCCGAGGTGAAAGTCAAAAGGGCTGTGACAAAAAGTCAAAAGGGCCGAGGTGAAAGTCAAATGGGCCGAATAGAAAAAAAGTTAGAAAGGTTTTACATTATTTATTGACACGTATGGCATGATATCAACATAACATTAATAAAGCATGTAGCCAAGTTTTCATGTAATGGCAATACATATATCTAATCAACACAAGGTCACATAATTAACAAAAATAACATTATGGCAATTTACACAAGTTCATTGGTTCATAATTCACACAATTTCATAATTGGTGCGGACTGACTGGTTGAATACACACCAACTGACCACTGTGAAGATGGAGTGACTCATCCACTGTCGCTCCATGTAGTCACATAGATCAACTAGCTTCTGTGACGACACTCTCAAGACAAGAATAGGAACAGAAGATGACTTTGAAACATGTGGCTATATGAATATGATGCTTATACGAATGAATGAATGTGTTCCTGGCAATGTCGCCAGATGGCTTGTGTGAGATGGAAAACACAGCCGCGTAGCTTGACATCGGGGAGGAGTCGATCAAATACCTTCCATGTGGCAGCTTCGAAATCCATCATAATGCATCGGACTTGGGGTGGACGGGGTAGGACGTGCAGCATCTTCGTATGACTTTCAAATTCCAATTCCAAATCTTTCGGATTCTTTGGCCGAAGTTTTTCTCTACACCTGTTGGCGATACGAGCTAAATATTCAGGGTTGTCTCTGCTCCCGGATGGCAGTATTGGATCTACCATATCGCTGGTGACATCCTCAGCTATTGACCTGGCAGACTTAAACAGGTCTTGCGTTGCAGTCCTCTTCACCTATAACAACAAGGTTGATTGATCCAATTAAGAATCAGTTCAATTCGTTAACATCTACCAATTAACAATTAAGGATGTTCAATTGACAATTTAACTAATCCTAATTAGGAATCAATCAATAGAAAGTACTACTCACCTGAGCTCTTACTTGGACTGAAACAATTTTGCCTGCCTCTGCTGTGTGGCTGTGGTTATGTTTGCCTGGCACTCTGTCTCCTGTTGAATTGGTCTCGGCAACAGTTGCCTTACAGGGACGTTTGCTACATCTGTAGTAAATCTTATTCTGAGTGACCTGCTGAAAGATGTAATAATATAACGTTAATATAACGTCAAAAACAATAACATAAAATATAGAAATATCCAGGTATAGTATGGTTGATATAATAGGATTAAGATGTAACAATACCTTTATTACGTAGGTGAATCCATTCCTGTCTACCAGCTTGGGTTTTGATTTCTGTGAGCCGTCCGATACCAACGTGTATAGAGGATCTTCCACCTCCCGCTCCTCCGCAAGAATATCCTCCTCCATTGATCTGTTATGTCAATAGAAAATTGTGTTATTAAAATACATAAACTTGAAAATATATAATATATATAATTGTTTGATCGGCATTAAGTTATATGTTATACATTATGATGTTAAATATACTTACACTTCCTAAACTTCAAGAGTGTCATCGAAAGCAACGGATGGAGCATCTATTGAAGAATCCAACTGGAGAGTGAAGTTAGGAATAGATGTCTTGCATAAATGACACAAGAAATTAAATTCTTCTCCACTTCTGCATAAGTCTAGGTAGCCGACACGAGTCATCCCTGTGCCACAAATCCTGTGTGTCCATGACTGACATTGATCACACTCTAAGGCATGCTGATTTCTTCTTATAGTCTTAGGGCACTGTGCACACTGGACAGCCATGGTTAGTGTTGTGAATGTTGTATGTTGGGAAGCAGGTTATATACCATATTGTCAATTGAAGTGAGTTCATTAGTTAAGACACTGAGTCGACAACAACAACAAAAACAAACATCCCACACGGATTAGTCATGACACTGAGTCTCATGTTCAAATTCCATTGAAAATAAACAAAAACAACAAACTAAACACTATTCATACTATTTTACTACGTAATTTATTAAATTATCATTTATTAAATTTTATTTTATTTTCGGCCCTTTTTTCGGCCTTTTTGACTTTTCATTTCGGCCTATTTGACTTTTAGCCTCGGCCCTTTTGACTCTTTTTTTCGGCCCTTTTGTCTTTCGGCCCTTTTGACTACAACCCTTTTGTCAGAAACAACTGACTAGGTATGGCCAGAAAAAATCAAGAGTCAGGATATATCATAACACCGAGCCATGTCCAAGGGACACAACCCTGCACTGACTAAAGGCCTATCTTAGCCGACAGTGGCCCTCTATCTTCATAGAGAGCGAGTGAGTGTGTTTAGTTTTACGCCGCTTTTAGCAATATTCCAGCGGGTGACACCAGATATGAGCTTATAACATTGTGCCCATGTGGGGAATCGAACCCGGGTCTTCGGCATGACAAGCGAACGCCTTAACCACTAGGCTATCCCACCGCCCCGATAGAGAGCAGAAGACAGATTATACCTATATCATGTATGCTGATATTACTGTGTCTTTAATTACACTTCCGCAAACATCTTTCATGAAAAATCATCCCTTATAACACCAACTAAGTTCTAAATGCTTCAGTTTTACTACAAATTGGAAGTGAATGAAACCAACAGAAACAAATATAGGAGAGTTAAAAAAAAAATTTCTTGCATAAACATTACCAGCTACGAACTACAAGGACTGGTGTTATCATGTGTCCTTTATCCAGTATACTCCTTTGGATTAGTCTAAAAACAAGTGTAGAAGTGAGCACAGCTCACATACCCCCGCTTCCCACTTTGGGACATGGAAATGACTGATATTGATATATATAATGTGACAAGGATCAGCAGCTCGCAAGACTTTCTCCTTGACTCTACTAAACTTTATATACATGTTAGATAATAGTTTTGCCATGTACTGATTACAGTAATAATTTATGGAAACATTATTTTTTTGTGTTTTCCGTGGAAACCTGACATACAACTGAACTTGACTGTCTCATGTTGCACACAATGAAGTGGACATAGATGAAGAATGTCACTGACTCATGTTGCACACAATGAAGTGGACGTTGGTGAAGATTGTTACTTTAAGAGATATGCTCCGGACAAAGTTTCGGGACGGACAAACAGAATGAACGCTATATACCTATGAATTAATAATGTATGAATGGTCATTAAGACCATGTAAGGTTGAAAATGGCCACTCACTTAACCAGTCTGAAGGGCAACTTGTACATGTTTAACGTGGTAATTAAAGTAGATTGCTACTTGTTAATAAGAAAAGTAAATGACTGTCATACAATATATTTCTTTCAGATAGTTGTTTTATCTGATCAGTGTTGGGTGTAAATATTATACATTACTCTATAAATGACTTTTGTCTCCCCAATCCAACCTAATGGACTGCTCAAGGTTATAGCTTAAGACGTGTAACACTATTGTGTAGCCCACGAGCATGGAACCAATCCGAAGATAACAAGGAGACAAAGTCATCAATATCCCCCGCAATGGCAAAATACTCTTCATGATTATGTCTACGAGTTATGATTATGTCAAATATTTAGGTGTGTATATAGAAAAGTGGAAGGAGAGTATTGAAAGGTTTTTAAAGTTCTGCTCCAGAAAGGAGCACTATCACCAATTTCAGTCTATGTCAAACTTGTTGCCATGGAAATGCCAAAAATATTTTATTCAGAAATCCAAAACTACCAAAAGGCACCAGTGCACCACCAGATCTATCTATGTGCCAAGTTTGGTGAAGAAATAGTGAACGGTTTTAGAGTTCTGCTCCGGAAAAGACAAATGTGCACGGACGGACGGACGGAGTCCATTTTAATACCCCCCGCAAAATGCGTTGCGGGGGATAACAATGAAGGCATTTCTAACATGCAAACCCACACAATCAGCAGTCCTTAGTACTCATGTGTACTCGTGATAAATCTGCACAACCGATGACTGCACCATAAATCACGAACAATGGGCCCGCTACACAAACACACTCGGTTAGCTGACAAAAACATTTTGTCAACAGCAGCATGCTCCTCTCAGTACATGGTTGGGTTTGCTTACAGAGATGGAAACAGCTTTGAAAGATATCCCTGTCTATTGTTCTAGCAACAATAATCACAAGACAACTGTTTCAGTTCTTCCAACTGAATAAATTATTGATGTATGTCATGAAATAATGACAAACAGCATTGCCAGGATTCAAATGTTTTATTCATTTATGCCATACGTGTAGAAATATGTATCTCTCCTTGTGTCAACATCAATCACTTCAGGTTACTTATACACAAATGTCAAAGTTATACTGGTTCCTGTGCAAACTGAATTAGAATGACTCTGAAATGGGACATTGAATGCTTTGCAATAGAGATTATAACATGTGGGTTTCCACATCATATATATATATTAGCAGCGTTCGAAATACCTGCCTGCCCGACCGCCCAGGACGGGTTATTTTCAATACAGACTGCCAGATTGTCAAATTCAGCTGCCCAACAGTCGGGTTAAAATTTAGACATGTATATGAAGATATTTTGTGGGCAGGTAAGTGTTGGTTAGGGCTGGCATGTTTTACACCTAACCAGCCCTGTGGTCTGGCTGATATTTTTGGGAGTTTCATACCCTGATTTTAGGAATCCTATTATGTGAGCGTTTGGTGAACACAATAAATATTTTTAATTCCTTACATATGCCAATTTACAATATGGAAACACAAAAAGGTACTGACTTCTATCTCATATGGGGGAAAATATTACATACAGCCAATGTTTAGACAATTTTCTGTCCCACATGAAAACAATGTTGGATTGAACTTCCTATGACACAGTGTGAAAATGCTCCCATATAAAGAATTCCCTACCTAAACATAATGGGAATGACTTTTAATGATGAACTGACTAAGCAGACATTGGATCTGTCAGAGGCTTAAAAGTACTTCCTGTCCTTTGACCTCATTTGCATATTTATTGGATAGTGATTAGCTGCAAGCCAATCATGCTTTTATGAATGTTTCCTAACTTGTATTAATACAAATCACAAAAAGTCTGTTCTCATGATGAACAAAGTACACAGCACCATTTCACAGCAAGCCGTTCATGGATGGCTGTGGGTAGATGATCGATTGGACTTCCCACAACACAAGGTTTCTCTTCAACCCATTTCAAACCACCACCACATCATCCTACTTGAAATATCAAACTGGATACTCTTTGTCTGCAGCATCGTGGATCTGTTTACTGTATTTCTAATACATGACAGCAAATATTACTGTCTATGACTCTGTTGTAAACTCTTGTTGTAGAGTTTTTAGACTGTTCATGATCTAATGCTGCACCGTTGATTTTATAGAGAATCAGTAATCCTGGAAATGTGAGGATGCTCCTGCTGATGAAGGATGACAATGATGATGATGTTTGTTGATGTATTTACACTATGTACATCCAAAATATAAAAGTCATTTCTTTTCTGGTGTGCTCAGCCCGTACTTGGCCTTCATGTCCTGAATATCTTGCTTCTTCTTGTCAGTGTCAGTTTTCTTGAATGCCTGGAAACACAAAAAACAATTATTTCATGATAGATGGATAGACAGACAGACAGATAGATAGATATGTCTGTTCACATACAAGTATGTAGCTAATACAAACTTACATGTCTGTTCATATACAAGTCTGTAGCTAATACAAACTAGATATTGGGACCATGAGAAATAAGGAGTGTTACTATATATTTCACTAATCTCTTTCACTCATTACTCACATATTAAATGTGAATATTAACAGAACATAACTCCAGATTCGAAGACAGGTGAACAGTTAGTATTTTGTCAAGTCACCATGGGCAGCAATGCAGGCTTCAATGCGGAGGGGCATATTACTGATCAAAGAAGTTAGAAAGTCGTGGTCCATGCTGTCCCAATATCGGACCACCTCTTCTTTCATTTCAGCAATATTTGTCAGATTTTTCTTATTGACACTTTCCTTCATAAGTCCCCAAACATTTTCTATTGGATTTAGGTCAGGGCTATAGCTTGGCCAATCTAATAATGTCATATTTTGGGTCCGAAACCAGGCCTGTGAATGCTTTGAACGATGTTTTTGGTCGTTGTCCTGCTGGAAAATCTTCAAATTTCCATAGAACATGGAGCAGATGGAAGTAAATGTCCCTCGAGAATATCTGTGTACCACTCACTGTTCATATTCCCTTCAATACACAGAGGGGCGCTGCCCCTAACACAGATATGCCACCCCACACGCTAAATTTTCGGACTGTACTTTGGCTTGATACAAAGGTTTTTCAGTTTGTTTGGTCCAGAATTTCAGTGTATTAGGAAACAGCCACACAGAACTTTCATCTGAGAAAATCACATTGTCCCAGTTTAAATTTCTATGCTGTAAGCACCATGCAGTTCAACCTTCGCCTCCTTTTGTTCAGGTTTCATGATCGGTGATGGAATTCCTTGACTTTTCTGCTAACCCATTGCATGCAGCTCAGTTCTAATTGTCTCCTTACAGACAGCCACAGTTCCTCTATCAATCATATCCAGCCTTAAGCTTTCTAAACTGCTTCGTTTGTTTTTAGAAACAAGAACACCAAGCTGCCTCCCGTCACCGACAGTCAATTTTCTGGGCCTACCTGCGCCTCCCTGGTGCTCAATGCCATATCCATTTGCAATATTTTTCAAAACACGATAAACAGTGGACAAAGGGATGCCTGTTCTACTTGAAATCACTTTAGTTGATCTGATGTCCTTGTTATAATACTCTAAAATCAACTTCCTCTTCTCTAAATCATCCATACTGTGGATCCCTGAAAATATCGTCTGCTAGCAAGTAAACAAAGGGGGATAACTCTTCACAAACTAATGAAAAGGGATTAACAGAGTTGTCTCTTGAATGAAACCAAGCACTTGATAGCTGGTCAAGGTTGTTTATACTAGAAATCCAATTAAACATATTCCTAAAATGCTCAATAATTTCTGGTCATACTATAAAAGAGTGCTTTGTTGAACGCCATTTGTATATCTTCACATCATGTAACAGTATTTCCAAGAAAAATAACATTCCTTAAAAATATTAACGGTATAAAAGGGGCAGTCCATTTGGGCATAACTAAATATTTTCCACATATTGCAGTAATATTACAACAGTGAAAGCAACAAGTTTGAGTACAGGACTGAATAACGTTTTCCACCAATTTTGACCTGCCTTTCATTTATAAGGAAAATATGGCACCATACATTTGCTTTCCACTGTTTTTTGTAACAATCATGTAGTGGGGAGGTTGGGTCATTATTTGCAACTGTAGCAAAGCATACTAGTAATCACAGGAGGTAGTTGTTGATAGCAGTAAACATGATTATCTTCATGATTGAATATGTAACTTTGCTTTTTTGAGTAAGTGAGCTTGGTTAGACTGGCATTTTGAACAGTATTTCAGGCAAAAGTGATCCAAATCTCAGAACTTTACCTATCTTGTGACACCCACATGCATTGCGAATCATAATCGGGGGTGAATAGAAGATTTGAAAGCAATGATCCTGGGCTTTTGCATGTCTGTGCATGCTAAGGAATGCAAAGGTGCATAGCTAATGTGCAACATGTATGGGCCTCAAAAAGCAGCTTACCTTAGTTGACTGGTAGTAGAGGACAACAAGGTATCTGTTGCAGACATTGAACCCTGAGAGGTGATCACAAGCATTTTTGGCATCAAAGATGTCTTCATATACAACAAAGGCTGTTCCCTTAGTCTCTGGCATTACCCCTGCACACAAAGCAATGTATACAATTAGCATGATGAGTCCTCAAGCATGAAGCAACACAACAAACTAATGATCACCTAGTTGACACTTACTACTACTGCTGCATCATTATCCACCTGACAAAGGGGCAAGAACTAGCCCAGAAACGTTGTGTAAAATAAATCAAGAAGTTGTTATCCATAAGAGATGTCTTCAGACTTGTATCATTAAACAGCATCACAAATATTGTTAATACATATTGTAACTATTTCTAAACAGTGAGACACATTTTGAAAAAAGTAGTAAAATTTCAACAATTGTACCTTTAGATGTTTCTGGCTCTTAGATATAGTCGGAGAATAATATGGCCTAAAAAATATATGTTGTGGTTCCGATTACCCGACTGACCCTTGAATTCTGGTCCCGGCCCTATTTGTTTTAAGCATAATGAATAAAATAAGCTTTCTGATACCATTGTTTTTTCCCAGCACCATAAGATATCTGTCATTCTGATAGAGAAAGTCGATATGATGTCCGCAAGCTTGATTGAATAAACAATTACACACTGATAAAAGTGTTATTAGTTTGTACTTTACTTCTAAAAAATAAATATGCAAAAAAATATTAAAAATCCAACCTACCTACCCTAATTCTTTAAGAGGTGTTATCGGAACCACAACATTTATTTTATCTGGCCTATGATAAACATTTGACAATACAATAATTGGTATCATAAACTGGTAGCACACTTACAAGGTCTCCATTATGTGAATATAGATCACACTTTTGTGAACAGAATATTTTCTATACTTACACTCTGATTTGCCTGATTGCTCCATACTTCCCAAAGATATCGTACATTTCTTCTGCAGTGATCTTGTATGGAAGATTCTTGATGTACAAAATGCGGTTTACCTCGGGAGGGAGCCGCACCTACAATGTGTACAAACAAATGTAAACATGTTACTTATACTTTTCATAAATCACAATACTAGGAAAGAGTTCCACATACCTGCTCAATTTAATTATTTGTTACATATATATAAACTCAGAAAAAAAGAAGGAATACCCCATCCTCTTTTTACTTAGTATATTTGCTCCTGGAGGAGTCCTTCCCCAGTGTATTATTCCAACACTGAAATAAGTTCATTGATTGTTTTTTTATATCTTATCTAGTTTATTGAATGTATATTTAGGGTGAGGTATGCATGTGTGTTTAGTTTGTAATTTTGGTTTTCATGGGGACAGACACGGGCGGAACTCTTTCCAAACTGTGAAATATATGATCACACCATGGTAAGTTTTTAAACCGACCGAATTGTTAGGTTCAATTCGGTCGTTTCAAACGTATTTGGCACGTTTTCGTGTGTCGATAAGTTCGAGTGAATCCAATTTGTAAAACATTTCCGGGCGATTGAAAATCAATGGATACATTGATGTCCCAATGTCCCCAATTCCGAAAAAGGTACAACATTTAAAAGCAGGTTTGAGTTTGGATAATGTGTTTCATGTTTCCCTTCACATCAACTGGCAATGTTTTATAACAGCGCACATGAGCACGAAAACTGAGGGACTTAATTCTTGAATCTTTCATTCACTATACTGACTTAAACAGGCCACCGATTTGCACAAAATGTAAACCTTACGTCTCAAAAGTAATTCATGTGGTTTCTGTACTCAATAACATGTCCGGATATTGGAAATAATGCCTAAAACTTACGTTTCCTCTTTTGCTCATCGCCATCTTGAATGTTTTATTGTGTCAAGAAAACTGGTATCTGAAATCAAAAGCGCTGCGATCTTTGACTGGGTTTCTGCGTTTTCACTTGTCGATTGCGCATTCAATGACCAATACCAGTTACTCGGAAGAAGGCCACTCAATCAGCTTCAACGTTTTCATGTCACGTTATCCGAATGGATATATAATAAACATTACCATGGAATAGAACATCACAATTAATGACATATGTCGAAGAGGTTTTTTCAGTAATTTGAAAGATTGTCACCACCTTGGACTTCAGAGTAAGAGTGAGTGAGTGAGTTTGGTCGAACACTTTAGCCACTTGGCTACTCCACTGCCCCTCAGTGTAGGAATGTAAACAACACGCACAGCGACGGTAAAACGGTTAAATCATATAATATAAACAGTAAGTGTGACCTCACACGCTTGATGTACATGCACAACAGTTTGATATTTGTTCAAATCCTCCTAATGTACTATTTGGCCGCCATACTTTTGAGAGAACGTTTTCACAAGTTCTTTAAATAAAATAAAATAACAACAAAAGACACCATAAAACACCACCAAACAGAAACAAACACACAAACTTGTCATATATTTCTTTGGTTGACACTCGACGCACAACCGAGTCTATCCCCCTCTTGAAAAACGCCCCCACCCCAAAGTTCAGCAGTTGCCCCGCCATATAGCTGGAATATTGCTGAGTGCGGCGTAAAACTAAACTCACTCACTCAGCAGTTGCCTGATGTATACTAACGGAAAAAAGTAACTGTGCATAACCATAAAATTGCATGAAATAAAGTTATTTGAATGGTTATAATAATAACCAAGTAAATATGTAGCAAAGCACTTTGCATGAAATTTAATATCATGTGGCACGTGTGGCACGTGCACTTTGTGCCCAATGAACTTACTCATCACGTTTTAAATGCTTTTTTGACACCTGAAGTTCACACACCTCATATTGAAATTTTAAGAACGGTTGATTTTTCTCTAGCCTCTGAATGTTGTGGAAAACAGACATTTTGGTGTCCATCGAATAGTATCGTCCATGCGTCATCGTTGGCAACGCCAATGGTGGACACGCACACTACTGAATTTGTGAACTGACTTTTGACTCCACATCTCTCCAAGGGCGTGTCACGATGCCTCGTGTCAAATCATACAGTAGTATATATGTTACCTTGGGATTGATGGTGAGTTATATACTCTTTAAAAAAGGTGGGGGAAGTTCATTTTTAATTTATGATTAAAAAAATGGGAGAGATATCGGAGTCAGTCAATGTTGACATGATAATAGTGAATGTTTTGAGAGTGCATCACTACTTGCACTTCCCCATGACCATAGTTGTTTGCACAGTAATCGCTCTTGAAGGATGATTGGTGTATGACGTGAAATTTGCCTGTGTACGATTTTCATTTTAAAAACAACAACAAAAAAAACAAAAAAAACAAACAAAAAAAACACCCCTGCTTGAAACAAGTACTAACAACTGTGTGATGCAAGTCAAAATTAATGGTCTACAGTGATTTATCAACCTATTGAAAACCGTCAAGATAGAGAATGACACCCCATGCACGTGTATGGGGCTACTGCGCTGTGCACGTGCATTCCATGCGTTCTGTTTAGGGGTGGTGATAAAGAGATATACTGGCATGTTCATGAGATGTCTATCTTTGAAGAGTTTGTTATCGCTTATATTTTTTATTTCCATCTTTTGAAGTTACATTTTCTATCAAAGGTAAACTGTGCATCAAACTTTATAGCTATTGTTGTAAATATACTAGCAACATATACATTTACATGTACATATACACGCACATATAATCCGCCAGTGTCGATATACGCTCGTCTTGATTGCCAAGTTTATTTGATAAGCTTTATGTACTAATCGTTAAGATTACATGTCCGATGAGAGAAGTAAATATTACTCGATGATAACACACTCTTCGAGAAAACTGTTAGATAATTTTGGTAATTCCTGCATTTTCAAGTCTTTCAAAGCTACGGGGTAGTCTCAAGATTCAGATAGGCAGCAGTGTAGATTAGTAGCATTTGTAAGTATTCTTTAAAGAATTGACCGTTGAACGTGCGACTTTATCACGAACTCTGAGACCATCGGTGGTATTTATTATGGCCTGTAATCGGGGTATTTCACTCATGAAATGCACCGAATAAAGACTGGCCACTAACCTATGCTTCTCTTGGATATATGAAGGTCCCAATTAAAGCTAATTCCCCGACAACAAATCCTAGATATTATAGTTTCCTAGACCAAATATAAACCTTAAAAGGTTACTATCAGGTCATGGTTATCATTAATGGTGGAGGAAATCATAGATGACCAGCGGAACACCCAGTTGAGAGGCCAAGAGCCAAGGTTCTTGCTCACCAGCCTGTCATCCCCACGACTGGATCACCTACGTCGACGCTGTCATCACCTGGAGCAACGTCGACGACACCTGCAGCTACGTTGGCAGCATCAACAGCAACATCAACCATAACTTCACTTGTCAACACAATTATGGCAAGTATGCCACATTAGAAACTCGAGGTGTTCCCTGTAGCTGCCAATGCCCAGAATTGGTGGCAGGACTCAAAAACTTTTCAACCTTTTATTTCTTCAATGATGAACGAAAATGCCAACTATTACCATTTTATCTTGACGGAGCAGCTAAATTGTGGTATCGAGAATTACCCGAGAGAGATCGGAATAACCTTGGTAGAATAAAGGCGTCATTTGATCAACGCTTCTCCTCTCAAGCTGCGTTTGACGTGAGTGTGCTGGAGATGGCAAAGGCTACCGACGAGACTGTCAGTAGCTATGTTACCAGAGTTCAAGCTGCTACGACACGCCCCAACCTCCCTTCTGTTGTTGTGGCAATAGTAGTAAATGGTCTTCGTTCTGGAATACGGCAGATTGTCAGCAATAAAGAACCTACCACATTACAGGAAGTAAGGCATCCGACAGCATTGGCTGAAAAGTCCTTGACAGCTGGTGTTAATATTGCACGAAGGTGGACCAGCTTGCCAACTTGGTTGCCACCTTGATAACCATGGCAATGCCCCCACCTCTGCAGGCTCCCGCTGTCGCATCAGCTACTGGTCAACAAGACTTACAAAGCAACAGACCAGTTATGCAGAGACGACAACAGCCTCCACATCACCAGCTGCAACAACTGACACCCCTGTACCAGCCACCACACATTCCTGCTGCAACAACTGACACCCCTGTACCAGCCACCACAGATTCCTGCTGCAACAACTGACACCCCTGTACCAGCCACCACAGATTCCTGCTGCAACAACTGACACCCCTGCACCAGCCACCACAGATTCCTGCTGCAACAACTGACACCCCTGTACCAGCCACCACAGATTCCTGCTGCAACAACTGACACCCCTGCACCAGCCACCACAGATTCCTGCTGCAACAACTGACACCCCTGTACCAGCCACCACAGATTCCTGCTGCAACAACTGACACCCCTGTACCAGCCACCACAGATTCCTGCTGCAACAACTGACACCCCTGTACCAGCCACCACAGATTCCTGCTGCAACAACTGACACCCCTGCACCAGCCACCACAGATTCCTGCTGCAACAACTGACACCCCTGCACCAGCCACCACACATTCCTGCTGCAACAACTGACACCCCTGTACCAGCCACCACAGATTCCAGCTGCAACAACTGACACCCCTGTACCAGCCACCACACATTCCAGCTCATCCAGTGAACATGCCCGCACAGCTACCTCGACCAGCACTCAAGCACCAATATCAGCAAAGCAATATCCACGTCGACCGCGATTACCAGTCCACCTCACCTCCAACAGAAATGTCATGGCTGTGGTATGTATTGCTAAAATCGTTATGCATGCCCACACTTCAACACAGACTGTACTTATTGCAATAAGTTAGGGCACCATTTTAGCGTTTGTCTCAGTGCTTGTTATTCACAGAATAAAGCCCCTACACCATAGGGACTCTATTCTCATATTTCTGAGGTCAGGCATGAGAAATCTATGGTCTCACTTGTGGCTCCCCTGGTCAAGAACATTGTTCTGTTAAAGGTGAAGCAAGTGAAGATCCCCCGCTCTTGTTGACACAGGTGCATCCATCAGCTGTGTCAGCATGCGCTTCTTACACAAGGCAGGATAAACCAGGGAACAGTTATCTAAGTCCCATCGTAGTCAAATAACAGGAGTGGGAGGTGAACTTCACTCAGTATTAGGCTCCATTTCCCTTGAAATTACCGTTGGCAATGTTCTCCTTTTCCTGTTAAGAACTCCGAAAAGGGTGTGTACATGAGACATCTGAATCCAACAAATAAAGATGTCCACTTAAACTCTAAAAGAGTCCTTGCAACCACTTCAGAGGTTGACACTTCCTCTTTATCAGTTCTCTCAGACACTCCTGACACTGACACTAGGTCCTCTACCTCCATCATGTCAACACAGGCCAATGCATACTCCAGTCATTCATCAAACCCACACTCTGAAGGTTCATTCACACAAGACTCTGGTGGTCCATCCAACTTGCCTACACCTTCAAAGAATGTTCATGCTGTTAGACACTGTTTAGGTTTAGCCAGTTACTTCAGAAAATTTGTCCCAAACTTTTCAGGAATTGCCTCACCACTGTATGACCTTCTCCAGTTCTTGTTTATCAAATTCCTCGTCCATTTATTCTCACTACTGACAAAGCATCAAATGCTTCCATTTACATCTTAGGTCAAAAGGACTCTGAGGGACGTGAACATGTAATATTTTATGGCGGTAGATCTTTACATCAAGCAGAAAGAAAATGGGATGTCACACTTAGAATGCCTGGCTGTTGTAGAAGGTGTTAGACATGTTAGAGTATATTTGGCATCAAAGAAATTTCAGGTGTACACAGATCTCAAAGCCTTGAGATGGCTCCACAAGTTTAAAGAAGATTCCGGACGTCTAGGCAGATGGTCACTTTTGCTTCAAGGTTATGATTTTGAAGTTATACACCGTTCAGGAAAGTCAAATGCAA